AGTGATTATAGTGTAACCTATAATCAGGCTGTATATACAATGAAGTCAACCGAAATGTTGTCACAGGCTAACTTACTGAGAATCACATCAAAATCACATTAGGCATTTCCTCCGATAGGGCTATAAGGCTTTCAGAACCTGACGAAAATTTCTAATTGTGAAAATATTAGTGTCACAAAACTCAGGATAAGTATTATAACAAAAAGTATACCCTGAGAATCCCTTCAAAGCTTTTAGTTGGACAGTTTTGTTATTACTTTGACGATATTTCGTCTTTAACTTTTGTTCAGGACTCCTATAACCATGTTTTATGCTTTTCGACTTTAGTTAGATCGTGTTTGACGAGACTCAAGGTTACAGTGTGGTTTCTCGGATGATTGTCAACATATATCTGCCTACTAGAAACGGTTGCCCGAATCCATTGAGGTGGATATTTATCCCATCTCATTGAGAATACTCTTGTTAATCCTCAAGTACCAAAAACTTATTTATCACTCATTCATTTTGCTGTTTAGTGCGCTGTTTTTAGGAATTGACCTTTGACGGTGTTGTAAATGAATTTCTACAGTGGCCGTTCCAATGGGTTCCAATAGGGGCACTCCTGTACGATTCTCCCAGTCCCGGGTCCCAACCAAGTCAAAAAGGACAAAAATTCTAGGAGAAAGCGTCTTATTTAAATAAAAACATGGAAATACAAAGCATTACCTGGAAATAGTGCCTCTTCCAGGGTACAATTACTCCGAAGAGTATCAGACACAGTGATAGATAAGTGACGCTAAGTCCAGCGGCCACTGCATCAATCCAAATATGGCAGTAGCCATATTAAAGATCAAATTTAAACAACATATATACAGATCAGAAGCAAACACAAAAACTTCAATATAAGTACAAAATATAGAAATAATAACAATATACAATGATAAAATCTCAAATTGGAATCAAATAAAATACCAAAAATGTCAACAGAAAAAGTCCGTCATGTCATAGCAAAAATATGTAAACATGGAGGGATTTTCCAAAAAACAAAACATTCAAAAAGGATTCTACAGGTGTAGCACAGACTGTCGTTTGAGGTATATCGTAATTTCAGATTGCACATCAAAGAGCAAATACTCAGATTCGTGCACACTTTTTCTCAATGCGAGTCGTCGCAACTTGGAATGCTCTACCAGCCGAAGTAGTTACAGCCCCCTCAGTGGACTGCTTTAAGAAGAGACTTGATAATCACGTACTCACATACGGACTATCATCTCCCTCTTGGAAAAGCTGTTAATGATGCATATCTTGAGACCTGCTAGTTGCTATGATTGCCATCTCCTCAGATCACTCAACTAATCTATCTCGCCTATTATCTCTGTTTCCTCTCCCTTGCTTACACTACGGTCCTCTTTCACAATCTTCACTACCAATTAACAAACTTAATTCACCTATATAGTACTCAGTTCTGAAATTTTACTCAGATTATCATTTTAATTTATCCTTATTACTCTCCACATTGCAACTAACTGATCTCCGGTTCGGTAATGTGACGGCTGCTAGTATCCAGAAACCCTACTGCCCTGAAACAAACGTTTCATTCAAATCCCCAGACATACAAACTCACAACCAACTGCCAACTGACTAGAATTAGACAGTCGAGTGGCTAGACCTCCATCCATTGGACATAACCAAACACCTGGAACCGTACCGAAAGAACAAGAATCGAGCGCGAATAAATCAGATTGGTTTAAACTAGCTCGTGAAAAAAATATTGGATATAATCTGTTTTCTATCTTCAATGAAAACCGATTGAACTGAGCACAGAATTAGTGTCTATACAAAATTTAATACGAGTCACTCAAAAACGCTTCTTTCTCTAAATAGGGGAACTTATTTTAGTCCAACAGAATGTTTGTTAGCTCTATGTTCAGATAAAATATTGTTAATTCGGTCGTTGCCAACACAGTGAGGCCTAGATGAATATCCATCGATTCCTAAATCTGTTAAGAAATTCAATTCATTCACCCTACAATTTGTGATAAGCAATCTGACTTTGAAAATGTATTAACATGAGTAAGGAGTTGATAAAAAGTTCAGTTTCACCGTATACATTTTGTGCAAGAGTGGCGTTCCAATTTTTTACGTCTATCAACCACTTTGAGGTGATCCTTAGTTGTATGCTTACAAGATATAAGACTTCACATTTACTGAAGTCGACCGAGAATAGAGATAAAGGCAAATCTAAGCTTCATATATACGGGGTAACACATTCTCTTTTAAATAGATCAGGTCATTTGAATTTTAATGAATGTTGGTTTTCAGAGAAGCCTTCAGAATATTTTACTAGCTAATTAGCGTGCGTGTCCATCATTCAAAGACTAATTATACATAGTACACAGTAACTTAGTCTTAGTGAATGATTCGTTTTTTTTTTTTTTGCATTACCATCTTCATAAAGATAAAGCCTCGTTCGCATTTTTGAAATTTTATAATTTCAAAAGGCTTAAAGGTTGACGAATAATTTATGTACCTAATTTAAGACCTAAGATAACGGCAAGTTTACATGAACTAAGTTTAAGCAACATTTAAACGATACACGTATTAAAAGTTCTACTATTACAGAGGAATCACCTACACAAATTAGTGTTAAAAATGTTTTGTTAACCATTAATGTAAGCAAACATCTCATTTATATAATTAAGACACATTCGTTTTTGAATATAAAAATTAAGGTCAGTTTATATTTCAAGCGTATGGAATCGATAATTAAATCATTTATAAGATAAACGTAGTCTTTATTATCACTCGTTGTTACAGATAAATTTCAAAAAATCTCCATTATTTAAAATTGACATTAATTATACCTTGAAGATTTAGTATCATCAAATTTCACACATAGAATAATACTTGAAGTAAACTCTACCACTATGCGATTTGAATGGACAGTTTCATCTCTTTGTACTATGTGATACGGCAACTTGTATGAAGTTCTACGTTGTAGCTGAATGATTGACTGACTTTAAGTCAACAGACTGTTACGAAATTCAGCTAAAAATTTTAACTTAAGAACTATCCGAATCCATGGTGTACCATGGGCTTTGGTTTTTCTTTTTGCAGACTACTCAGCTGTCTACGCAAAATACTTCGTATTCGTTGGTCAGACACCATCAGCAACAACGTACTGTGGGAGAAAACAAACCAGATTCCAGTGGAGGAGGAAATCAGGAAGAAGCGTTGGAAGTGGATAGGACACACATTGCGGAAAGCACCTAACTGCGTCACGAGACAAGCCTTCACATGGAACCCTCAAGGCAAAAGGAAAAGAGGAAGGCCAAAGAATACATTACGCCGAGAAATAGAGAAAGATATGAGAGGAATAAACAAACATTGGACAGAACTGGAGAGAGAAGCCCAGGACAGAGTTGGTTGGAGAAAACTGGTGAGCGGCCTATGCTCCATTGGCGGTAACAGGCGTAAGTAAGTAAGTAAGTAATCATGGACCTACTAGGATTTAAATGCAGAACGTTCAGAACCTGTGATGAGCATAACAAATCGGTTTAAAAATATCTATTTACATTAGGCTATGATTTGTATGGACCATTAAATTCTTTATAATATTTGTGCAGCATACGGTGTGTAACAGATATCTTACAAAGTAAAAGGCTAAATATCACATAAATTTCTGTATATGAATAGAGAAATAAGAAAGTAAAAGTAGAGAGAATATATTTGAAAAACAAGGAATATATATATATATATATATATATATATATATATATATATATATATATACATTATACATAATGACTGAAATTCAAAAAGAATAATCCAGAACAGCAACTGGATTGATTGATCAATAGTTGAATCTTGTAATTAATGTCATCAGATGGTAGTAACTCCAGGATCGTTCTAACTAGTAGATTAGATCCGGAAGACTAACAAATGAAAGCAATATGACGGGACAAGAATTAAGCCTAACAGTCAATTTCCAATTTATTGGTGATTGAATAACCCACAAAACCAATGGCTTACGACATTGGGTCATCTGAAACTTCTGTCAATGTTTCGTAAGTAAAATATATTATGACACAAAAACTTTTTCTCCTCTGGCTAGTGTTGTCCTGCCTTTGCACATCAGTTCACCTGAGGCTTACGTCGGTAAATCGACCCCACGGGTATATTTCTCACTCGGTTATACTGTGTTATAGTGGTTCATCCATTGATTAGGGCATTATATTCACTTATTTTAACAGTTTAAAAATCTATCAATGAACATCAATACTCCAAACTCTTGATTCACAATAGAAAGTGATTCACATTTTTATTTATCGAATAATGAACGAAATGCATTAGCTTACACTGTATTTCTGATACATTCAATTTTCCACATCTACAACAAACATTTCTGTAAAATGTTATTGAATATGTACAAACATCTACACACACCGAAACAATTTATTTTGCGCCTACAGAAAAATTCATAATGCACTGCCTATTCATAACACTAAAAAAACCCATCCAAATTATTGAGAAATGTATTCCTTAAGTAAGGGCTCTTTGAATCCTCCTATCATTAGTGCCAAAGACTACAATTGACCCAATCCTATTCAAAAATTAGTATTTGTGTTTTAAGCGGATAAAATAAGTGAATGACAAGAGAACTAGAATTGGAGATGAAAGCATCTTAACAAAAAAACCATTACTGTGGTTTATAATGGGAGCGACCAATAGCCCAATAATTTATTTGTATAATCGAGTCAATAGTGTAATAAATTAACGAACACTGATTGGTTTGTTTTTTTTTCTTGAATCTTACGGAAACCTAAACTTACCTATTAAGCATTAAAAATATGACTTACACAATTATTATGACTGTACGAACGGATTTGTGCTAGTAGTGCATGAATCGATACAATATATAATGAATACTTTCTCACAGAACCTAATATTTCACTGAGCCGCTCAATTATCAAATACTCGGTACATAATTCTTAATTATTTATTTATCAAAAAATATTTATCTCTCATATTTTACAAATTCATTCGAAAGACAAAAACAACCAGAAATATACATACTATATATATATGAGAAAATCACGAAAGGACCTGAATAATTGAAATAGAGAATTAGTTATAATAGTTTAGCGTGCATACACATCTATTATGTTATGTTATATAGAAGAAGCCTGGAAAAAAAAAAAAGAATTCTCTTTCGAAAATTTGAAATGGTAAAGTACAAAAACCAAAACATTTACAATTGCAAATGTGTATAATTCGATAAAATGTTCAACTTATCTATCATTTGAGAATTTTGTTTATTAATTACATTCCACAGCCTTGAATACATCTGCATTGATTCATACAATAAATAATTTTTAACAGAGAAGAATGATAATCGAGAAAGAAAAGAAAAGCCTTCTACCAGTTTATCATTGATCTGATTTAATTTTTCACTTAGACTAGTTAACAATTTCGACAAAATCAACTGTTTCTCATTGAATTCATGTGATATTATGAAGACAGCCTTGTGTATACCGCTGAAACATAAGGTCTTTGAATAAGATAGTGGTTGAATACTACAAATTCTAACTGTTTCATTCAATAATTGCATGAATTTACTAGTTGATTTATTCTTGATATTGTTTATTAATTGTGATGTAATTTTGGAGGCGAATTGTGAACTATTTTGAAATTGTTTTAATTGTTCCTGTTCACTTTGTTCTGTGTTCATTTTTTCATAGATAAAACTGACTAGTTGAGGAAAGAGATCAGTTGAACTTATTGCTTCCATAGGAAAAAGAGATGAATAAGACGATCTAAGCGAAATAAAACAAAAATTTAACACAATGATTGAATCGGAATATAATATTGATAAAAGCATAAGCCACTTGCTTTTTATAGTTAAAATGAAATTGTGTCATATCATAGGAGAGACAGATTGTGAATAGTAGCGAAATCTACAACGCGAATCTCGTCCTTATTGTGACTTGAAGGCTAGATATACTTGCATCCCATGGTTATCATGATAACACTGGGATTGCGTTGCTGACGACACTCGATGTATTACAAAAAATCTTTTGACAGAAAGGCTGTATCAAGACAATCCAAATAGGATGTATAAATGCTAAGTTCGATCAAAATTCAGTTTAAATGATCGAAAACGGGATAACTGAAGTCCATTCTAATAGCGATATAAAGTTGTGTCATGTCTTTTGTACATATGCAATTATTCTCTATCCTATTGCGAATTCTGAATCTTTGCTATTTTAGAACCACCTACTATCTGATTTCTGATGAGTTTCTGCATACTGTTCATATTTCCCTAATACGCTACAGCAAATGCACATGTAGAGTGATAACTTAGTAGCTGAAGCATTTGGGTAACGAAATCGCAAACCACTCCAATTATCTAACTCAACAATTAACACGAAGAAATGTGACTCAAAACCAAGTCTATACACATGCACCTAGTCATCTAGTTATATCTATAAGACAATCATAACAAGATCAATATATCCTTTAGAAAAATGTAGAAATATGGTGCAAAAGGAAATTATAGATATATATATATACCCGGCTTTTCGACAGCCTCAAATGATATCACTACTAGAAGTATGAAAGACCATTTTTCTACCATGTGATAGTCAACCTAATCTGCTACATGCTAGAGTAATAAAATAGGGAAGTATACATCATATTTATAAAATTATGATTTGCAAGTAAAAAATCAAGCGATAAACAACATAAGATCTTGCGTAGATCAGCATTGGACTGAATCGCTACACCATACATAATAAAATAAGTCATAACAGAATAATAGTACCATGACTAATATTTTCAAAGATCAAATATTATGGAATGAGATTCGCAAAGAAAAATGAATTCAGAAAATAACAGTACAGCATAATATTGAAATTCCATTTATGAGCGAGTACAAACAATGAATGTATGTGCACTAATGCGACCGATTTCTGTTCATATCATTGAAGATTATCAAAGGTGACATGCTCAGAAAGCAGTTTATCAAATGATCACATCCAGCGTATGCATATCAGAAATTCAATAGTTAATTTTCATTATCGTAAACGATGAATTCAATAAAATTATGGGATCTGTTTTATATGAAGGAGTAGCAATTTCATGAAATTGTAACTGAAGCATGAGTAATAAAATGCGATTCTTTCATTGTTAAACGAATAACAGAAACAACGATTATTATTTCCAACAATATTCACAGTCTCACAACTATGCAATAAGTAATTTCGAAGTAATGTAAACTGCTTCAAAACACTTTAATGTATGCTTCAAACTCCAGTATGAAGGGATATCTCAACAGATTATTTTTTAGAAAATCATTAAGTCATTTTTGCTTGAAGTGACACTTAAGAGAAAAAAACAACGGTAGAAAAATCAACATAGTATAGCTTACCGATTGGCAGGGAAAAATATTATACAAGGAACATTCTCAACTCTAAGATGCCAAGGGAGATCCATTTTCGACACGTCCACTCTAAAGAATGCATGCAAATATAAAAATAGGATTTAGGCGGAATTTTAAATAGATCATATCTGTTTTACAGATGTAGTAATCTTAACATTAATAATAATTTTCTCACGATAAATCTTTACAGTCAACTGTCAATCGACTTATCACTGACTAACACTTCATTTATTTGTCATTAAAGTTAAAATACATTGAATTTCAGGGTGTTAACTTCATCGTATCAGTTAGTAACTATTCTTTACTGGCCATGATTTTATGAGAGATAGACTAATGGTTAACACACTGGATAACTAACTAACTAATGAGTTACAAGTTTAAATTCAGCTTAAAGTTAACTACCGGAAAATTAAGTTTTCTATGTGGACTGATAAAGAGACTGTTGTAATAACTAGACGATCCCAATCTGTACCAATGTCAGAAGAATACACACGACTTGTGTGTAAAACGTTATATCTGAAACAATCTCAGCAATTGAAATTCCTGCAAAACCGGTCTGAGCTCCCGCGAAGAAATCATATACTTAGCGTCCCATTTGACTAATGTCTTAATAAAGGTGCGTAAGAGTGATTGGAAAAATATTATGTTCTGCTGTTCTGAAGCTACAATGAAGTTGCTTAAACACACTTCATGGATCTAATAGGTTTTAAAAGATTAAGTAAACTTATAAAGATTTAAGAAAAATAAATATATATGGACGACTGTTGTCTCTGGCTGTAGACCCTCCGGGGCTACTGCCGGTCCCAAGCCTGGATAAAGAGGGAGGGTTGGGCTTGAGGTTGACGAACTCATTCTGTGTAAAAAATAACTCGCTAAAAAACGCTAACAAGAAAAAATAATTCAAACCATTTAAACTCTGCTTTGGGAGTTTGAAGGTCTCCATTTAGAAGAGTTATAACGTCTCATGATGAAAACCGAGTTCCTTCGGAATTCACGAGGCCGATACCCCTTCTGACAACCAGAGCCCTTCCACCGTGTAGATATCCGGGAAGTAACACCCGCCCTCATACCCATAAAAGCACCACACTAAAACCAAATCGATCAGAATCAAAGCCTTGACTAACGACTGTTGAACAATTCTTGCCTAATACATAAATTCATAGTTCGAAAAATAAATCAATCTATGCTACTCCACAAAAAAACCACACATAATTTATTACTGTTTTCAAAATTGAGACAATTAATTACTTAGCAAACAACAGATATTGGTTTGATTTAAAAAACCGAGCTGTTGCTTCAAATTGCCATAAAGCACTATTTCCACCAAATGAATAGATGCATGTTGATGAATAATAAAGTAAAATTAGATTTTTCCTTGAATTTTCCAAACTAGATGATTGATCAATTAGATTTGTTAAGTGCATGGAACTGTTAACAGTAAGAATAAGTAAATCGCTAGAAATTGTAGAGTTGACGGACGTATGTCGACTAGCTTTTGGATATCGTAGCCAAGGTCGTAGAGTAGAATTATGAAAACTTGCAATGAATCGACCTGGATGAGAAAAATAAACATAGATAAATTGGTATGAGACAGATTTGAATTTATTACACAATATTAAATAATCATTTATAGGAATTCTCCTCAAGACTTGAAACTGTAGTTTCGCAAGCTTGAACTAGACTGAAGAGTTAAATATTCGCAATTAATTGACTTTAACTGTTCACATGTTTATAAACATAATTTTATTTCTAATTTCATAAAATAATATTGTCATTACTCTGAACCACCTAGTAGTGAATATCTGGTAAATGTAAATCATACAGCTTTTGTGTCAAATCATGCCTTCTTCCATTATTGCTTCAGGATAACTGTGGTTCTTTTATTGCCTGGTTCACCTTCGGTGTGTTTGTTATACAGCGCATCATTTTTTTAAAAAGACAAAGGTGACTAAAATTCCAAGGATCAATTAATCTCTTAATTAAGAGAATGAAAAACAAAAATTCTCTCTGGAAACAAGTGTGCCGAGAGTTAGTGTATTAAATTAAATTCCTGAACATCTGAAAAGTTATTTTTTTTCTAATTTTAAGCTTTCTCATTTAAAAAAAATGACCTTAACAAATATTTTCAATGAATAACACATTGTTTATATAGAGAATAGTTTACCAGTCATTTGGAATAGGTGGACTACAGTCTATAGTTATCTTAAGATGTAACTAGTTTACAAGATATTAAGCTTTTGCTCAATTTCATAACGATTGTTAACTGGAAAAGAAAAGTCGATCCAATTGCGCATGAGCTTTGATGGCGAACAGTGGAATTCGAAATAAGCACTTTTATAAGTAAAGTCACTACGTAGTTGAAATGGAATTTGTGAGTGTATAATATGTTTTTCGAAATTTATTTCATTTACAGACAACTAATAACACAAAAAATCTTGAATAAATGAACCTATATCTATAACATACTCATAGACTGAAAATTCACAGCTTCTTCAAGACGAAAAACATTTTCATTCTGGAAAAAAAACATTCAGTAATGATTGAACAAATAGAGTATGAATGGAAGTTTTCATATCTTTTTTAATTAATAGTATAACATAATACTTATCAACAATTACAATTAGAGTAACTATACAATCATAGACAACGTACGACCCGGTACAAATACATATTGATCCAAGTTACTGGATCAGCACAATCAGATGGAAACCAACTTGTAGAGTAGCAAAAGAGTAGAAACAATACCTATGGTTATTGAAAACCAAATCCTGAAAATATAGTTATATTACAACGAATGACAGCAGGAAAGGAAATGTATGAGATAATATTGAAACTAAAAACTTGGAGGAGAATGAAAAGTGAGTGATTATGCATCGCTGAGATCAACTTTCAATTATATTAACTACTCTCTGAAATCATGGATGACTAATATCTTGTGATCTTTAATTGAAAAAGTTCAACCTTGCAAAGTGGATTAAACCATCAGTCAATGACTTCATAAACAGACCGACACTAGGACTTCTAAGCCTACTCTTAGATTAATTAGTATAGTACTTAATAGAAAAGGTTCAGTAATTTATGAAGCATAATTCACTTATTATGCTTTATTGTCTAGTTTATGATTCTTTAGGTGATTATGAAGACTCAAACAATTTAAAAAAAAAACGGGTCGATTATAAAAACCTATTGAATGAGATGTTAGTCAACGTGTTAATGAACTCTCTAAGAAAGCTATATACAAATCTTTTTTACAGCTAATCATATTATTTGACTAACTGGATAGATCACTATGACAGACTAACATAATTTTTAAGAAAAAAATCACAAACCAAGGAGTACGCAATAATAATTTCGAGGCTTGAAATAAAATCTGAAAAAGAGCCATCGAATGACCTTCTACAGTCGACAGTAGAAAGAGTCCGTCCTTCCTCCCGGAATGCTCTCACATGGACACGCATGTATAGCCACTGTTAGAGAAGTCCTACTTACTACTTTCTCGTAACGGGAGTGCTGTTTTACAAAACTGAGAAGACGAAAAGCAAATGTCCGGTGTTTAGAGCGAGTTGGTGGGTACAGAGGATCCACCTAGGGAAATTGAAAAACCCTGAATCTGAACCAATGGCGTAGAATGGCTCCAGAATCCTGATGGAACGAATGGCGTATCAAATTGTCTTTGGTTACCAGCTACCGTATGACTGCATCTCCTGACGTTGCTCTACTGTCTTGTGAATTAGACTACTAAGTGAAAAGCTCTAGGAGTGGGTTCCTAAGACCGCCTGTTTTGGTTTGGACACTAGGCAGTATCCCAGCCCACTCATAAATTCAATCACTTGTGTGATGCATAAATATTTAGGTCTCTTTGTACCAATAATTATGTGTTTAAATAAGTGAAATAGCAAAGGTGGACATTATATGAAAGGAGAGTCAATTAAAAATTGTTGCGGTGAAAATTTCTATTTATGTTAAAAGAACAGATTTTAGTGAGTATTAATATTTAGTTGATGCGGCAAGTTACATTTCGAAAACCCAACAAACTGTCCTTAAAAGATAGTTTGTTATATCCACCTCTTACTTACAATGAATATAAAAATAAAGGAGAATAAATAAAAAAAACTAAGATAATAATCATCCTTCATTCACCTGTAAATCAATAATTGCAGCGCCCCATCTACTAGAATCAAGCCAACTGGAATCATTTGAATATCCACCAATTTCCCAAGCTAATGTTGGTTGCATGTATGAATCTAGTGAATGGAATTCTAATGTTCTGTTTAATGAACAACCTAAGTTGTAAATAACTGAGTTCTTCAAATTCTCATACGATATATCCGCAAGTATTGGGTTTAACTGACATTCACTATCAAATTTTTCATGCATATTAACCAAACGATCAACATGATACCAATGACAGCACATAAAATTTAATTGTTCCACAACTAATCCACTATCGATTCTATAATGATCATTGGGTAATGACGAATACATTTCATTCTGTTTATCATAAAGAGAAATTTCATACAACAGACTGACAGCATACTTGATAATATCTGAAAATCAAATATAAAATCTTTCTTACGATCTATGAAATAAATACTTCCCATTTATAAATGACATAAACAAAGCAATCTCGTAAAAATAAGGATCAAATAACCCTAATTTATGTAAGCGCTAACGACAGAGTTTAATCCCACACACTGAAAAAGAGGGATTAAGATAGTAGCCGCGACCTATTAGTTAAAACTTGAGTTCTTTGACAACTGTCTAACTCAAGAACTGCTTCATTCTAGATTACATACACGAACTGAAGTTTTTGTTTCTGTAGGACACAAAATGAGTACAAACTACTGAATCTAATTAGTGTTTTATTGAGCCATAATTATCTTTTTACAAGTTTTATTAAAAACCTCTAACATGTTCAAACATTTTCCAATACAATCATACTGACATAAACCATAACAATTTCAACTTACAACACATGGAACTCCTTAAATGGTTTGTGTTAATTAGGTGAGACACGATACTTCAGTTTTTATTAATTGCAAGCCTTCAGTCGAAATTTTGAAAAAAAAAAACAGTGATGATTATCAATTTTTATCAAGTGTTTTGGGTGCCATTTGGACAAATGACTCTTTTACCCTCGTTACTTATTTATAATCAAGGTACGATCTGTAAAAAATGTGTATCTATACGAGACTAATCTCTAAAAACTCAGGAAACAATCCCTAAGACTATATGTTTGACTAAATTGGATAAAAAAAATGGAAAAGCGAGAATTACTCAGAGTAAAAAATTTATTTATCTTGATCGACTTCTCTTCAGGTCAACGAAAATAGTTACAAATAGACGTTGACAAATATCCATCTCTGAGTACCTCTCAAAGGATAAATAAAAGTGCCTGAATACAAATAGATTCTACCATTACTAAGATCACGGAGTGAGATATTCTGGTCTTCGATTCTTTTTGAAAAAGGAATTTGAATATCACCGTAACCCACAGTTAGAAAAATAGAGTAATATAAGAAAGGTTTCAAAGAGGACAAATAATGAATGCACCTCCGTCATTGTGAACGATTCCAAGCCGTTCCATCCAACATTACTAAACATGATTAGAAAATCATGTGCACCCCAACAATCAGCAGTACGACTTCGCCCTCAGACCTTCAGTAGCTGCTTTTAGTCTCATCGTTCTTCAATCGATCTACCTGGCACGGTAGAACCTTCAGGAACATATGTTCCAGCCAATATAGCCCGGTTGCGTCATAACGATGGACAAGCCGGACCACCGTGCCAAGGTAGCAGCTACGGTCGGGCCTCAACTGATTAAAATTCTTATTGATGGAGCGCGGTGGTAAAGACAAACGAGAATAGTTAGTCGTGGAGACAAAAGAAATAGAAAGATATGACGGAGGAATTTGATCGTAAACAAGTTTATCTCGTGTAATATCAAAGGTTTGTGGACGATTATCATTGCTCTATCGCCAGGATAGTTCTTGAGAAACCTGAAACCTGTGTAAGTGGTCTAAGTATTCTAGAAGCGTAACCATAGAAACCAAGAGACAACTGCTTGATGTCATTCATTCATGGCCTACTTATCATGAGAAGTTTTTGGTGTGCTAGCTCCGTAATTCAAAAGATGTGGAAAGTAATTACCAACAGATGTAATTGTAAGCTAACTTCCAGGCTGTCGAACACAAAGTCTTAGCTCGGTCAAAGTCATGACAATTAAGCTATTTGGCTTGATAAACCTTATCTATTTCTATAATGTATATTAACACCGCTAGTGCACAAAAGACATAAATTAATATTCCACTAAAGTGGAAAATGAGAGACATGAAAAAACATACCAAATAGTACCGAAGGATAAGAAAGATGAATAATAAAGATTCCCATTGTGAAAATTAAAACAACACATATAAGCGAACAATATTGTTTTCGATTAGATCGTCATCAGGCTTTACTCGATCCCGTCTCCTACACATAGCAGAAGCCATAGGAATTTGTACATGCAACCCCAATTTAGGTATTCAGAAGAAATTCGTGACACCCTATTTCTTCCGTGGCCGGATATGACGTAACTAACGTTTGAAATTTTTTTAAACTTAATTTTGTTATTATTAGCATTATTTTCACATCCCGTATTTGTTAGTAATTCTCTGCCTCTTTCCGTTTATATTCTTCACTATCTAATTATGTACACACTTCTTATTACGTAATGGTTTAAGGTTTTGTAATAATTATTTTGTCTATTTATCCACGTTTAATAAAACTTTTGTTATCGTATTTTATTTTTCTTACTACTATCAGTACACCTATCTTCCTACTATCAATTTGTACTTTTGCTTAAGTCGCCCTTTTCGGTCTCACTGTTCTTTGGTCAACCTGCCTGATATGGTAAGACCTAAAGGAACAAGTGCCTCAACCAATATAGCTCGGCTGATTAATCATAGCAGACCAGCCTAACCACCACGTCAAGGTACCAGCGATAGTCGAGTTCCCTAACTATGGAACCGAATGAACCCATTATAATTTTTTTACTGACTATACTTACTTACTTACTTACTTGATAGTGGATCCCATCAAAATGTACACCTTAATAGCACGATGTAACTTCGACGGATGCAGCACACAAAAAACGTCAATGTTAAGTTCAAATAATCTAGCCTATATATATGGGTAGTCATTAGTATCTAAATCAAGAATACTGGTAGGCGGCCTAACAGGGGTAACAGGCGTAAGTAGGTAAGAACTACCTGTTGAATTATTCCTACACAAAAATTACTCAAACTATAAAACGAGAACTCACATCAAATCCTTAAAAAAATATTTTAAAGATTAACTTACTGTCTCCAACTGTATGGTTTTTAAGTAACCCAAGGATTTTTGATGCAGTCGAGTTCAGTTTATGACTCTGAAGTAAATCAAGCTTGTGATCTGAAGAATCATCATCAGTCACAAATTCGGAAAACCCTTTGCGTAGCTCACAAATACTTTCGTTACGGATTCCGATGTGGGAGCTGATAAAACTCCACCATTTTGGACAGTAAGCTGCTAGTTTGCACCGCTTACGTGCTGCAACAATCGCACCTTTGTTCAGAACTTCCAGAGAATTCCTCATGGTGAGATTCAAATTGAGATTTGAAAATGACGGATTTACCACGAACGTGTGACACTTGTCATGTGGAAAGTAAGAAAGCCTTAGGACTTTTAACTAAAAGGTAGAAATAATTTTAAAAATCACTTTATGAGAAGCTCAGGTAAATTATACAAAAAACTATGTTAGCCAAACCACCTCAATTTTGCTGACTAATTGGTGATCAGATACTGAACTAATCAAGATATTTTAAGATATGGGTGAATCTCCAACATAAGACCAACTACTAATGCTGCTTTAGATTTGAGTCTCAGTTTTGGACGCTTACGAGTTTAGAGCCTGTTAGGGTGAAGCGCTGAAAATAAGAGTCAGACATAGCCTCTGAGGCACAGTGGGTTTATTCAAGATCTGATGACTGGTTACTATCCATTTATATCAATGTCTATACAGCATACGGTACTTGCTGCTAAACTAAATTAAAATTGATACTGTCGTTAACCATAGTAAATGTAAAACTGGTTTCCGTGAACAATTCACACTCTTAACAAATTCACATGTACTAATAAATAACTCACGAAGTCATAAAACAGGTTTCTATGGAAACTCTGAATTCAATGTTGATTTAAGCACCTAGGTCAGTTGTGTTTAATACATACACATGACAAGCTAAACACAAAAGAAACTGATTTTCAACTATCTCCATAAACTACATAAGTGAATTCTACTATTTATACAATACTTTTTAATCGAATAATATATAAGGTATTGTTTAGTGACATTAGGATTTCTGCTCCGTTGATAATTTTTTCATTTACATTTCTTAGACCACAGGGATTAGCCTTTGAACTCTCGAAACTCGGACGTTTAATTAAAATCTGCGTGATCACGAGCATTGTTCATTTTACCACATTTAGTCAGCCTTCGTGGTATAACATAACAAGGAAACAAGTGTTACAGCGATATGGATCAACCAGATCATCACAGCAAGTAAGCACAACCATCATGTCTACACAGCGACTATGAACCTATAAATACACTGCGTAAATATTTATTCCAGTTAACAATTTTCCTTATTGTGCCGTTGTCTAGGTGTCAATATCAGTCCAAGAAATTAGAAAATGTTTATTAGACAAAAAGAAGTATAGCTTAGCATTTCGAATACAAATTTAGTTTATGTTAATTTATTCAATGATTCGATAAACTAAATAATACATATGCTACCTAAAACATGAGCACCAACTGGAAACTTGCTTCTTTAGAAAACTATGGTTTTTCATTACAAAAACAAAGCTGAGTAATTTTTTAGAATGTCGTAAAGTTTAGTACATCTACAATGGTAATGAAAAAACCCCGCATATCTTTTCAAATATTCCACCAAAAGTAGTACCAAAAAAATACTTTATATCGATCCTTACCAAGTATAGAGGTAAGTCCATTGGCTCAGCCAAAGACATGTGAGGGCCAATCAACAAAAGTATAGGCGCTTTTCTCAATATATTATTCCATAAGTTAGAGCGTTCATTGTTCAAAGGGGTTATATCCACTGGATTAAAGCAGGTAGTAGTACTACGTTTTTGAGAATCGAGCATCTTCTCAGACAGCAAATTTCGCAAACCACGATCATCGAAACGCTGAACATCGACATAAGACTATATAAGGCAGAAAATATATTTGTGGTTTATTTTTTTACTAGGGTCAGCTGAGATAAACAGATTACAATCTTGATAAACCCGATAATTTGTTAGTTAGATACTAAATATAGTAACCAAAAAGCTACATTACGAGACGATACACTGCATTAATTAATTGAGGAGCTAATGAACGGCCACAAAAGTTTAGGTAGCAAGGTCTAAGGACCATGACGTTTATGCAACTAATATCAGTGACAGAAGACAACATAAGACCTATTAAGGACATGATGGTTCTAGAGATACAGTGTATTCCCATTCTAAGAACAAAACGATTAGAGATTTAACACACATTGTGTTGTGACGAAAAACAGTTTTGTTGTGACCTAAGCCCTTTACTGACTGCGTCATACAAGCCTGTAGAACTAAGACGATGGGACTAAAGCTCCTGAAGTTTTAAAATTCTATGGTATGACGGGATGAAAGGACAAACTACATTTTTGAACCTCTGTGATTATTGTGTAACATTACTTTTACTCAGTGTGATGATTACTCAGAGTATTTTTTATTTTATTTTCAGAGGCATATTTCACTTAGTATAACACTTAGTCTATTTCGGTGTGACGTTTGTTTGGGATATGATATTCTTTGCATTGAATTAACATCAACTATGTTCAGCGTAACACATGCAACTTTTTATAACTTCACATTTATGACTTTTTTCTAATTAGTATTCGAATAGGTGTAGAAATCAATATAAGTTTATTTTTGGCTTAGGTTATTGTCGTGTTTCGGAGGAAACAGATATTCAGTTGTACCCGTCTTAGTGTTTTGATTCGCGCAGTCGGAATTGTGGTGGTTCCTCGTTTTCAACTAATAAAGCAACGCAGATAAAATACTGACAACTAACCGAAGATATTAAGTGGCGACAGAGATTCTGGAAAAAACAAAGCCATAACCATTGGCAGAGTCAATTTACAAGTTTCACTTTCTAGAATAGCTGTCTGGTCCCAGTTGTAACCCAGTTTTCTGTTTAAGTTACCCCAAATCCAGTGTTTTCAGCTGTAAATAAACTTCTAGTTTTTACCAAGTCCCTGTAGCAATAAAAGACGCAGTTACAAGTTTAAGAACATGTCTATTTCAGTCGCAGAAGTAAAATCAATAGTTCAATTTAATGATCGATTTACTAAATCTGGTTTGATGCTAATCGGCACAGTGGAGAAACATATGCTCGAACAGTCGAATCAAGAATAACATTCAGAAGTTATAGATACGTTTCCTACTGAAATAAGGAAGAATTATGATAGAAATATATTAAATTTTTTTCTGGCAGACTCCACTCATTCTGGTTACCCAATCACGTTGGGTTAAATTCAAAACCAATATGAGACAAATGTCTCAAATGAATCAGTTTCTGATGGTATATCAACTGATGATTGTTCCAGTGATTCGTTAACTTTTAATAAAGTCCTTAATAAACTTGAGAAAAATTTCAAATGAATCAAATCCTGATACCATATCGGATGTTGCTTGTTCTCAAAATGGATTTGTTTTTAGTGGAAACATTGGTGAATCTAGGTTACAAGTTCTCAATGAATTCAAATCTAATTACTGTTCTGATTGTCACATAGTAAAACGTTGCTTATCCTCACAACGCAATCATTTCTAGTGACTTTTCTAATCAGCATGAGGAATGATCTAAATTAGGCACGCTCTAATATTTCAGATGCCACTGTAGCAGATTCTGAATTCCCTCATACCTTATATATGTCACATAGAATCCCTACTCAATTCTATAATTAATCGATTGACATCAGTGTTTCCGAGGCAGTCCCGGAACCGGAATGTCTTAACAAATGCAAAATCTAAATTTAGTCCCCGATTCTAAGTTGGAAATTCGGGATAAGGCTACATGCCTGCAAAGGTAGAAATGAAGATTTATTTAAGATGAAATCGGCTGAACCAGACACTGGTTAAAAAGTCTTGCTCACTTAAGGAGGACAGGTGTGTCAATTTTAGCTCGCTAAACATGTTAAACATGGTCATTTTTAATACAGCACTCACTATTTTTGAAAGTTTTATACGAAAAGTCGTCATTTTGCAGTATTGGTTGTAGTTGCCTGCAGCTACCCAACCAAACTTTAAGTCAATCATTCTACCGATACAGACAGCAAGTCATTCAAACATTTCAGTTGTAATATACCCATACATAGTAAACAGCTACCTACTGATCAGAAAGAGTGCATATAGACTACTTCAAAATTATGCCCATCAGTGATATACCAATCGGTTTCAGAGCAGATATAGTCTTGTTTACTTCAACCATTGCAAACTCGCTGATTAATGACATAAAGTGATACACTAACCAGAGTTTATGAACAACTAACTTTATAAGCCTTCGATGAATCTTTAACTGAGTAATAAAACATCTTTGTTTGGTACTGAACAAAATAGTCAAAACGCATTTGATTAATTTGCATAAATACATCTAGACATATTTTAGTACAAATTTTCCTATGTCAAAAGTTACAGGTGATAAAAGTTAACATTGGGAATGAAAATTCGTATGTTGTTAAACTACTTGGCGTAAATTAAGTGTCGAGATAGTTACAGATTATTCACTAGCGAGTAATACTCGAAGTTTACATGCAAATTATTTCAGAAAATAAAGTCTGGCACAGTTATAGGTGGCGCTGTCTGTGGTTGTCTTCTATATCCTACTGCAAACTACTATGTTAATTAGCTTGGACATCATATTTAGTCGGTTCAGTGTTACCAAGCTTTGAGCTTAATCTCACCAGTACTGCAACGGTCATGAAACGTTCACCTAAGAAAGACTAGAATGATACGAATTTCTCTGATTCTGAATGAGAATTCAAAAAGAAATAAGTGCTAATCAATCCTAAACCGTTTGTACTATGACTATAATTTACGAAACGTATTGACCAAATCAAATTGTGGATAGCAAGAAATGTAGACTATGAAGCCTAATAGACTGGTTCCGAAAAAACGGGTATTTGAAGCGCTTTTTAACCGTGCAATTAATATTTGATTCCACGTGGATTAATCAGTTAATTCATTTTATTGACAAGCGATCAAGTCAACTCCCTAATGGATAAAAAAACTCAATTGTGATTATAAACTTACAGTGTTGCCACACGAAGTAATCAGAGTAAGGTGTGGTTTCGTTTCAGTAAAATTAGAATGATACAAATCAGTAAAGGTGGCCATAGAAAACGCAATGTCTTTGTTCATCTGTAGTGGAGTTTCTCGATATTTGGTCTCTACAGATACCTGATACATGCGATCAAAATAAGACACATTCTGTATGTTTTGGAGGTCAAAAGATCCGAGAGCAATCACCTTAAAATTAGAAATATTATCAAAGAGTAAATACTTTATGATTTAGTAAGAGGAGTTGCAGGTCTTCCAAATTGTTGATGCTTTTCAACGGAAAGCTGACAAATTGAAAAAGCTTGAGTAAATGACTGATCGTAAATGGTCCTGAGTATTGGGCTGTGACTGATGGAGAAGTGTGAACATTCAGCAGAGGAAAATGTTTCACTATATGTGTTTTTCCACATAAGGAGGATGATAAACCGCAATTGACTGCAAAGATCTACCTTGGAAATAGCAATAACAGAAACGCATTTACATTGTATGGAATCATGTTTTGCACAGCCTCAAAAGTTGATCTAACTTTATTTGAGTCAGCGTCCCAGTTGGCATATAGAAGTATACCCAATACAGTAGTGGAAGGCGTATATTCTACGCCATACGAGCTGTTAACCAAATCATACACATTTGATTCCGAACTAAAGAGAGCGCCGAATGATGAGCTGTCTTTAGTAACCCTAACTGACCTGAAAATAAATATGCATCAACGAAACATTCAGAAATTTCTGGATTAACCCATTTACTGTGAACATTTCGGAAATTCAGATAGCCACATTCCAACCGCACTGAACAAAATGACGATGACGTCAACATGGTTTTTCATTTGGATGAAAAATGCATGAGCACCACAAAACTTATACCCGAACCAACAAAACATCGCCACACCCACTGACCTTGATTACGTAGTCGACCTTGTGCAACAGATCAAATAAGCAACAAGTGCTCTAAAAGTTAAGCAGAGAAAATCATTGAATTTGATACCGTCGAAAGCCATCTTTAGATGCAGTAAAGAATATCGAAAATTCCAGCGATTCAGGTTGGTCCTGATGAATTTGCCAGGAGGGAAAACTGTAAATCTGAATTCCAGTAAATCTGATAATATCTAGCATAGTTCAGAAGCCCAACATCATAACTGTAATAGAATATGAAATCTGTGATTGGATTATTCGTATTCCTAAACCACCAATCTAACAGATTTTTGTGACAGTCGTGTTATTTAATCTAGTTGCACTTCCATGTAGTACTTCCTGGATAATGGGACTCAGCTTCATGAACTAGCGCAAGCGGTACATCCGATGGTGCAAATCGAGTTAGTGCCTCAATTTACCAAGAATTACCGATGATTGAGAAGTGAGGAAACAATGCACAGTTATTACAGGTGTCGAAGGATTTACTTCAATGGAGATGCAGAAGTCAACCCCGATATCCGCTCCCAGTAAAAACTGGTCAACAAATCAGAAAAGAAAAGCTAGAAAATCCAAAAAAACTAAAACTTTGGCAATGGAATATCCGGGAATGTGTGTAAGAAGGCCAGACCCACCAGATTGTCAGTTAATTAAATGAACACTTTTTACCATAAAGCGATCTTAAACTTTGATACAATAAAGGACTTTAAAATACAATTACATCCTGTACTTATCCTAGGTAAGGTTGACGGCTATTCGGGCCCGCAAATCACCATAGTCATGCGAGTATCATAAGAAAGCACACCAGTGAAGAAGCTGAAACCTCATCTGGACACAAACCGTAAATCTAAACATGTAAATACTTATCGTCCGATTACTTGGACTCAACTTGTCTACTAAGTGGCCACATCGATACTGAAGTTGAAATGTACAAAATATAAATTGTTCTTCAGTTTTTTAACTGTCAAGTATTAACATACATCTCTCTATTTTTACCCATTTTTGGGTTCATTTGTTTTACTCAGGCAATAAACTTGTTTGCTGACAGCTTTGTCTTTATTCATTCTCTGTTTCAATCTTTCGATTTAGTATTTTATGAGTTTTGCTTTGAACCCGGAAATTGAATGTTTCTTTAAAATTTTGGTTTAAAGTATTACTAAAACGACGTATTTCAGTTGACTACTCATTAAACCTAAAAGTTCTGCAAGAAGAATAAAGTTTGTTAGAAACATTGATAACTGTGACGTTCAGTGTCTATCTCTTTTTCTATCAAACGCCAACCTCTAAGCTTTGCTGTAAGTGCATGAGTAAGCATACCCATCCCAGCATTATCAGGGAAACACTGGTCTAGGGAGCAGCAAGCATATGAGATCAACCTCAATATCATTGATTAGTCTCCTCATCAATCAAAAAGGGTCCGTAATAAGCGAAATGTTTTGTTTCCACAAACATGGGTGGACTGAAGTCATCGGCTTAGCCATTCACGTTTGCCGGTCATTAACTCCACTTTCCCTCCTTTCATGTTCTCACTCTCAAGTTTATTCTCAAGTGACAGTGTGTTACATGAGACATACCGTTTTACAGACAGGATCAAAATGTTAAGAAAGCTAACACATAGAGGCCGAACATTGTTTACCTATAATTATAAATGTTCCAGACTGTGGAATTTACAATAACAGTAGTTAGCACGAGTTATGCGGTCGCATCGCGACGAACCAGCACTGTTTGAAACTCCTTGCAGATCAAATACAGGTCTGTAAATGACCAGAACTGATAAGGTAAATGTGTATTGATCTTCTTCTTAGGATTCTTCAGAAAATTATTTGACAGACTCCTTGGTTATACAATCAAGTCTTCAACAATATCAAGGTTAATATTTAAGGCGCGGGATGAGATGCTGAAAAAGGGAAATGAAGAGAATGAGTCTAGGAGCAGAAGAGAGAGTGTTCTGGTTTAAAGCTGAGCCATGACACAGTAGATACTTTTTGAGTAAAACAAAAGTATGATTACTCAGACCTTTCTTTTTCTGAAATTACAACACTAACTATACATCTGCAGTTAGGTTGGTTAACGAAGACAAACCACTTTCAAGATAACCAATGGGCAGATAGTCTTATGAATACAGGAGAGTGAAAAAAATTAAAATTGTTAGAATTTATATTGATTTTTACCACATAATACTGTAAACTATTTGGGTGAAAAATGCCAGTTTTAAAACATACTATTAGCATTTAGGATGTAGCGGCGGCAGGAGTTTTAACAAAGTAAACCGGAAAGTTCAAGAACACCATGGTTAAACTTGGGGAAACTGATAACGAAACAGACTCAATGATAAGTCAATAGAATGTATGTGAAATTATTAAACTGCTGATATGCAATAAGGACCTTAATAAATTATCGTCACTGATGGAGTTGTATGCTATCCAAACCGGCTCACGACTTTTCAATCAGAATGGATACACGGCCATTGGAGGTCAAGCAGCAAACGGTGGAGCGTGAACAGTGACTCGCAAGGGTATCAGAGCTTGTTCCTATCAGCCAGCTGCATTTGAGCAGTATAGACTGCCCCACTGAGGTGTGTCTAATTAATGAGCCGGGTACGAGTGCGTTTACGAGCGCTGGATAACCAATGCAAACGAGGTCCTCTTGAAGAAGCTTCACAAATGCATGCAGTCCATCTGTATGCGTATTTTCTAGGGTAGGCAGACTCGAATCAGTAAAAACCCAAAAGGAAAGAGGGTTACTCGAGGTCACGTTTGATAATTTTAAAGCTTGATCGGAGGACGTCTATCAGGAAGGTTATATACGTGGACCTGGCTAAGGACTACATAGCAAGAAAAGTGTGTGAGTCAGTATCGAAGCTTGAGACAAATAATCAGACTGAACTCACGCCTTCTTTTCTAGAGTGGTCCAAGTTGAACGGAATGGCATCGGGTGAAACAGTTAATGAGTAAGTTAGTTTAAAGCATTTCGAAAGTTAAATGCCTATAAATTCCTTCAAGCCTCAGTATATCAGAGAAAGCATTCAGCGATAGGCTTTTCAAATATATTAATAACATAAACTACTAACTACGAAACACTAACAATCATTTCATTGCGATTTCTTTACAACACGGTATAGCTGTTAGTCAGCAAAAAGATCGGGGCCATTATATAAGACGTAGGACGAAGTGATATGTTCTTCACGTACTTCCATCAGTGCGTCACAATGGCTGTGAAAAAGTGAAGAAAAGGGGAAAGGGAGAGGAGCAAAACAAAAATCATTCATTATTGGATGAGTCATGACTCAACAAGTACGTTTTTGAATAAAACATTGAATATGTGATTACTCAGACCCCTGTCTGTTTTAGGTCACTTGCTGCACACGTGCATTTATGTAGGTTAATGACGACAAGTCTGATGGTTGTGTGTTCAATATTGTTCAGTATTCAATATATTCCTTGAATTTGTATACTGCTCCTCCAGACAACTATTACTACGGTGAATAAATCAGGAGACAAATACGATGTGTTAATTACGCTCATTGTGGCACCATACATAGAACACAACACCACAGGCACAGAAAGCGAAAATGAAATGAGAGTGCCGAACAGCAAGGAAGTGAGTCAATGAGTAGGATTAAAATGTACATGTTTACTGAGGAAAATAAGTGAGTCACCGAAATATTTCGGAGACTAACATTAAAGAGAATAGAATGGATGTGCAAGTAGCCATTAAGCAATGTTTGATCATACCAGTTCATACAAGCTCGATAATAACAATAGCACAATGGTGCAGATAACTCAGTGCAATGCGAATGATTCAGTTAACTGAATTAGTCAAAAGGGCTCAACCAAATTCAAAGTGCCAATGCTAAAATGTATGTGAGGTATCACACAATTCATTAGTATGATAAAGACTGGGCAAATAATTGCCTGAATAGAGCAGATTCAAAAGAACTATAACGTTAAAAACTATGTAGGTCTATAGAATATAGTAAGGAAAGGATAGCTACATTTCTTACTACTGAGATTTAAGTTTTAGCTCTTACGCCATTTATCTATATTACTAAGTTCATACTGGATTGTTTGATATAAACTTCCAAGACTACATCAGTTAGTTTCATAGACGCCTCTTAGGTCATTATTACAGAGGCATGTTTTGTCTGTGTTGAATCAACCACATATGCTGTTGATATAGATCGAGAAGCTATAGACCGAAGACTGCTTTGAATAACACTACAGCTCGAGACGTAGATGTTGTAGAGACAATTTTAGTAATTTCGTATCTGTTCTTGAGAAAAGATCTAGTCCATTGCAATAGTAGGCCAGTAATACGGTGTAATGATGTCTGTTGGTTAAGAAATTATGACGTACCTTATTGAATACCTTCATATCAAAATGCAATACAATCACTTGCTTTCTGATCGCGTATGCTTGTAACTTCATAAAAAGATCTGTCAAACATGTAGTGAAGGACATAATTCTGATGAAGTGGTATCGTGCGGGATCGATAAAAATAGCCAGGCGATCAGATAACTGATCTTTTATCGATTTGTCCATCACCCATTGGATTACAGGGGTGAGTTTCATTGGTCTGTATTTTTGGATTAGGTTTCTCTGCCCTAATTTATGTTGATAGGCAAGAAAGGTTAATTTACAGGGTTCTGGACATGTACCAGCCTCTAATAAAAATGTGAATATTTTGACTAATAGTGTTATTACATTTAGCCCTGCCATTTTGAAGATTATCGATGACATGTCATCTGCACCAGAGTTAGCATTGAGTTTGGAGGTTACAGTGGCAGCATAAATATTGCTGAAATCAGATATGATGATATTGAGATTATTCTTACTGATACAGTTAATACTATCTGAGGTGAGTGATGTGTTCAAACTGAGGGAAAATCATGTGCTAAGAAGTTCATAGATAACGGTATAGTTAAAGTGTCTCTCCATAATGCAGTATAGAATAAATTTATAATCTAGGCTCTTAGTTATGCCTTCTTCAAGATGATAATAAATGTTTTGTGATTTAGATGCGGTAGCGAGTACATTACGTTACTCTACTTGTATATATCTTTGAAGCTACTTTCTACATTTTCAATTACAGCACAAATCTGGGGGGGGGCGACTTAAAGTTTCGAAGGCCGTTTTGGAGGAGATGGTAGTTTATGTTGTAAACTTAATAGTGTCACTGAAAATATGTAACGTTTCAGAAACTTTATCACTAATAAAAATAAAAATATAAATTAGAAGCCATCCTAGTCAGCTAGTAGAGCGTCTAAGTTGAAAACGTGTAGTTACTGTTTTGGATTTACTACATTTTGCAAGAAACGATAGAACTAAGATGGTTGTTTCATGATTACAGTTTTAAATCTGTCCACCGACTTCCACAGACGTCAGTGTATCATCGTGACAAATTATCATGTAGCGAATGTTGTAGTTCCTTGTAGGCAGGTGCATATGTTGTTTCCAGCTATGAGAGGGGACTAAGTATGCGCAATGGACCGGAGTGGGTCTGCCAATAAAATACAGGGAGTTGAAGTTACAGCAAATAATTTTTCAGTCAAATACAATATAGCCAGCCCTAGCCAATGATTGACCAAGAATAGTTTCAATCGACTGCTGAGTGTTCTTTGCTCAGTATATTCATCCTGCTAGTATTCCGAATTCATGGGCGTGTATAGTCAGTCATATCGAAATTCAAGATATTTTTCGAGATCATGATTTTTCTGGAATATTGTAGAAGTATTTTATGGTAGTAAGTCATGAGTGACTTGGCTAAGGTTAAGCTCACTATGTTTACAAATAGAATTATCATTCAAGCAAATAATGCAGTTTACCTCAAACCCTTAGGGTTGACAGGTTTGCGTACAGGCTTGTTGCGAGTGACTATCGGTTTCCCAGGACGTGTATACTCAGCTGAGATAATTGATATTTCTTTGGGTAAATAATTCTGATCTGCGTCACTGGATTTCCTACTGCGGACGAACTTGCAATCTGTGAGTTGCTGAAAATTGAGTCCGTTTGTGAACTTGCTGAGTGCTTAGGATCAGCCACACTTTCTAATAGGTGCTCGCATAAGTATCTGTTTTGGATGAATTTCAGAAAGCTGTAGAGAGTATTGAATCCCTCAATTTATAATTGGTTGAATTTATATCTAATAGTGAGATACAAGGTAATGAAATGTATTGTCGAAATTTATGGTACAAGTCTATTATGGACATGGGAAGGTCTAAGTACGATACGGATTGATCAACGTTCTTATATAGTTTTATTTTATCAGTTTTAGCGGCAGATTTAGATGTTTTACAAGTGTTAAAAGATTCAGGGAAAACTAAATGTTTTGAAGATATCCGTGATATAGTTTAAGAAGTAATTATTAAATCCACTCAGTGGTGGATTTAGGAATAACTGCTCAGGAAGTTTAGTTACACGCCTTGCCCACTTAAAATCCAAAAGAAAGCAACTGATCTGGGAAAGTCACGGTTCTATACAATACAAATACACATTATTACCTAAACAATATTACGACTGTTACTCCTTCCGTACTAACACAGTGTTTCCTATTCTGGAAGAATTCTCCAATTACCGATCCAAACTGCACCCTTCCAGTCCAGATGAGCGTACCAACCGCCAGAGGATCAAATTCAATATAGCTGTCGCCATAATTAAATATTAACCTAAACAACAAAATGCAGTTCGAAAGGAAACATAGAAACTCTAATAAGGGTACAAAAAATAGAAACTATAAAAAAAATACAAATATTAACATTCCATATAAGATTAAACAGACTACCAAAATGTAGAACAGAAAGAATCAATAAGAACATATTTTCCCAAACAAAGCCTTCCAAAAATACTTATGTACTATTTGAAGAGTTACTAAGGTGTTTGGTGTGTCTTAGGCACTTACAGTGTCTAGGTGGTACGCAGAATAGTGTGAAGTACTATACAGCCAATATGCTCATCAATAAATAAAAGGACTAGGACTATGTTACTGTATACACAAACCGACTGTGCCATAAGGCAACTTTATATACGTGTGACCAGATTCTAAGGTGCAGTTCGGAGAGTGTACTGTTTACTACAAAAGAACTACAACGCACACTTAATGTTCGTAGCTCAATACGGCTGGAGACGAGACCATTATAAAAACCTAGAACTATTGTCAATTCTTACCTACTTTTCCGTATTACCGCTTGTAAGAAAAGAATTTAATGACAAATTTATTTCGCATAGATAACAAAACAATACTAAAATTCATTTCAAATTTATTATGAATTCTAACCAAGTAATCAAGTTAGTGTATGTTCCTCTAAACATGCACTAGTGCTATCCAGTGTACTAGGACATTCTACCTGCGTTCACTTGCCGCTATATTTGATAACCAATCAATTCTTTTAATGGAAACTACTCGTGCCAGAATTCGAGACTCTATGTTGTTACCTGATGTTTGTCGGTTACAGCTGTCTCTGTTAGGGAAGACTGAGTTCCTGACTACCTGCTGAGGAATGTGACTGAATAATTGCTCACACTCTCCATGACTCCTGAACAGGGGATCTCTTGGTACATATTCTAGAGAAATATGTATGGAACAAGGAAAAGTTACGTGAGATAACGAAAACCGCCTACAAATTACGTATGTGTAATGGCGCGAGTCGCGTCGAAATTAACTAAGGTCACCAATACAGATCACTTACGTGCATATCACAGATAAAAAATGCTGATCCATACAAAGGAATATATTTACTGGCGGTTTCGTCAAATTTAAAGAATACCGAAATCATGCCAGAAAATGGGCTGAAATTGCAGAGACAGTTAAACCATGAAGGCAGCTACACAGCAGCAGAAATAAAACGTGGTCGACCTACACAATACACTACTATAAACACTAGCCAAGGTAAGAAAATACTAAAACACAACGAAGCTTTTATGGGTTAAAAATGTTAGACAGTACATACCATTAAAGATGATCCACCACCGAAAGTCTTTTGCAAAGTTTCTAGCTTGTCCTTATCAACAGATACTAGAAGAGCGAGGCAGTCTGCCAAGAAGCGAAGTATATCAAATTATACAAATGTAAAACACCCACCGTTACCACCGTCACTCAAGGTCGTGCCGACAAAAAGTGAGGCAGTTTTAACTAAAGGTCATGAGGTCAGTGGGAACATTTCTCTACGTCAATCTCATACTGGTATTATTTCTATTTGTTGTCGATTGCTTTCTCTGTTAAATGTAAGTGCAATTTGTGTATTTACTGCATAGTCATCCCACCTCTTCTCTTGCTCTTTCGTTTTCAGATGACCTCACATACTGTTCCACACACTCCCCCAGCATACAATGTACCTTCCGGCCAAACACAAACATACCATAGGCTGAAGTTACAGTTATGTAACGCATTTGCAACCTTACTCTACCCACTTATGGTTCCGATTACCAGTTTGACATAGTCTCATTCTTGAAATGATTGTTTTCGATTGCTTTTCTTAGTTAGGTATTAGTGCATACTGATTTTTTGACCTGCGTTTCCTCTCTGTTTTCTCTCCCAGATAATTTAAGTGCTCCTCACTTTTACAGCACAAATTACCTCCAGGCTAATCACAAACTTAATAAAGACCGGAAATTACTATTAACTTATTCTTATGCCTTTATGGTATAGATGCGTTCTGTGTAACTACGAAAATGGTTAAGTTTCAGTGATATATTTTAGTAACTGTACAACCCAAATATCATGGATTATTTTGCATGTAAAAACTGCTCCTAACCACAAACTAACGGGTTTGAATCCTAATCGGCCTACTCTGGTTTTGTTTCTAATTATTGAGCGAAGTTAAAGACTATTGCAAAACCTTTTTGGTGATCCGTAGCTTTCTGAGGATTAATTCGTGTTCTTATTATTACGTTGTCTTCAGGCAGCTGCATAATATTTTCTAACTGAGAACTTTAGTGGCAGCTGTTGGTTCTTATGATATCCCGATATGTTTTGATTACCATCCCTACCCACACGTATTTAACTTTTAATGTACTAGTATTTCAATGCTTATACTTGAGAGCTTGAGATTTTCTACGGTATATTGTTGTGTCATAGTATGATTATTATTGTTGTTGTTCCTAATTATTCTGTAATGGTGATTCCTGTCTTCAGTGATGAGGTTAGAAGGCTAAGTGTTACATACTCTAATTACAAAAAGCAGTTCATATCACGACAACGAAAATGCCTAGGTTGCATTTGCCTCCACCTAACTGTAGGATGCTCTCCAATAACCCGTCTACATTACAAAGGAATGTTAAGTGTATTGACTATCTCAGAAATCTTGAGATTCTTATAAATTCCAGTGGTCCAGCGACGGAAACATACCGGTACACAATCATGATTTGCCCTGCAATACAGGTGAAATGTTTATGAAAGAGTAAATATATGGCACAGCAGTTCATCCTTCTATCCAGAATACTAAAGATAGAGCCTTTGAGGATACATAATTTGTATCAGTCTGAAGTAAATGAGTAAACAATTCTTAAAGAAAATCCCAGCATTCAAAACTACCTAGTATATAGCGGTGATATTTTGTACGGGATCAGTCAATCAATGGCAACGTAAAACTACGTACGTACATCAGTTCATGTTGCCATACCACATTAGCACAGAGATCTGATTGTGACCAACTTGGTCTCGTGTGCTTTTATGGGTATGAGGGCGTATGTAACTTCCTGGCTGCCCACACCGTGGAAGGGTTCTGGTTGTCAGAAGGACGAGCCAATTAAACTTCACCTACCGATATACTGGAAACATTCTTTACTCATCCTATTATCTAAACTGATTATCCTCTAAGTATCGGTCTACACACTTAAATTTGGATCGCTTTTTGAGGACTGATGATACCACCTGGTTGTCCAAACCACGTCCTGGCTCCATGCGCAATAGCTAAAATAGGAGTAGATAATCCAATATTAGGGGTCACTAGATTAAGACAATGTTTCCTGCCCAAGTTGTTGACTGCCAGTCATCCATACTGGGAGCTGCCAGTTCTCCGTTTATCATCTGCAAAGTAATCATAATCTGTCTGAAGACTCACATTGGAGGTTGGTATTGATGGTGCACATTTGACCCTTTTCTTCTGGCTATTTCTATTTTCAGACCTGACTTTCCAACCACTGTTGGTGTCATTTACATCTTTCTACCTTAGTCCCATTTGTATGCAAGTGTAAAGTAGCCCTACTTAACTGGGTCAGCCATGCATTGTTGCTCATAAAGCCCCATGTAAGCAACACAATTTATTTGTTCTAAACTGAATGGTATTAAGATTCAGAAAGACTGCCGATCAAGTTTCAGCATTAAGTGCTCTAAGTTATATGTGCGTTCTTCTGAAGTAGTTTCCATAGAAAATCTCAGGTTATACGCAGACTGTGCTTTTATTTACGTTTTAGCGGCTCACTACTTGACTCCAGAGCGAAGTGAATTGGAGAAGGCCACTGAGCTAACTCTAATATGTTGAAGCAATGGCTATTTATAGCCAGGCAATAATAGGCCAAACATGTAATAAGCAAGTAAGCATTCACACACAATCGAATGTACAATAATCGCTACTGTAATCAAATTACTATCAATACAAAAATTAGTCAATACAATTATCGAATAATTTAAACGACTAATTATTGATGTACAGTGAATGAATGGTGACATGATACAATAACTCCCTTCCATCTCGTTAGTAACGTTGTGGATATGTGGCAGTGGAGATCTATCAGACAGTGTTTGTTTATTAAGGGCTCTATAATCTCCAGATGGTCTGTACTGCCTATTCTTTTTTTTTGTACCATGTGTAACGGAGATGCCCAGGGACTCTTTATTACTACCGTCACACGAACGGGGTTTTCCCAAGTATGATATACGGAAAGAGACAAAGATTTATTTCACTGCACACTCGATCATTCTTCCACATTGGAGTTCAGTCGTGAGCCACTAAAATGGTGAGCCTGACGTGATAGTCTGAGAATGCCCGAACATTACCGAAAAGTCCCAACTTCTAACATAACGCAATCTGAAGAGCTACGTCGACGAATGAATCAACATATCAGACTCGATGAAAAATGTTTCGTATCCGTTGTACGTAACGAATCCACACTTAATATTGTACTGTGCAGTATTCAACTACTATCTGGTTGATCCATCCATTTCAAAAATTCCTTCTCATTCAGTGTGCTTTTTACTTACCCATTTCTTAAGACGTAAATTCTTCAGATCAGTGACTACCATTCAACGTATGCTTCCGAGTTCTACGTAACTACTGTCTCATTCCTCATACATTTTCTAAATCTATCGTGCGAAGATATACATATTTATGACTCCGATTAACCTCTTATTTGTTTAGCTTTGATGTGTTTCACCACGAGTAAAATTGTCTTTACTCAAAACTTTGTTTATAAATTAGTCAAAACTCGTATATGAATTTGTTTACTTTGAGTTCCAAATCCAATAAAACTGTCCAACTTTCTAGAAAAAATGTCACTGGAGTTATATACTAAAAGACTCAACGAGATCGTTCGTCCTACAGGAAACGTTAAGGAGCAACTTCTGTCAGCAATAAAGGACATTGAAGCTGAAATAGAACATCTGAAAGGAATAGTAAGTTTTAGTCTCTTACTTTCATAATCTCCTATTAAAGATCTTTCCTTCAGAAAATTGTGAAATCTCTCATGTTTGTCATGCATCTGAAGATCTAAAAGCTAGTATGGAAAAGTTGTTTGAAGGAGTGTCAAAAAATCAAGAACAGATGATGCGCTTGCTTCCTAAAGTTTCTCCTTTGTATGACGTAGCATATCCAGTAATAGAAGAGTCTAACGTCTTAGAGAAGCAGTTGAGGATCCTGGAATTCTCCGAGCACTTGTCATTTCTTGAGTAATCTCGCTTCCTGTTATTTATAATCTTTAAGGTCTGGTGTGTTATCAGCCAGGGTAATTGATGATAAGGACATTTTAATCGACTCACTTAAACAATACTTCTCCTTTCTCAATTCTCAGTTGTCGACTGATCCGGACATTCTTCCCTCTATTCTGGAACATTCTCAACAGCATAAGACATGTTTAGATTCCTTATTGTACTTAATGACGTAAGAATCTCTAAAATAACTGTTGTTTCTAGAGATTTCGAGCATCTGTTAAAGAAGCTAAATTTTCCTGTTATTGTATCTGAAGTTCTTGAGGAAGGAGGTTTACAAACGTGGTGTGATGATGATTTGCAGTTATTCTCCAATGATTTTCAAGCTCTTTCTACATTCGATATCTCGTATCCTTTCATGAACAGACTATTAATATTATAGGAAAATTGTGTACTACAAACAAAAAATTAACCTAAAGTGAGTCATTTGTGTTAGTCAGTAACTGCATTGAAAAAAAATTACCCCAGTTTTAAATGCGAGGTACCAATTTAAGTGCCATTCCATATACATTGATGCCTTAGGAACAAGAAAACCTAAAAATGTTGAATTGTGTCGTATTTTGACGAGAATACACATCAATACGATAAATACTGATAGAAAAGCACTTCTTGCTGTATTTTGATATCCATGAATCTGTCAGCAAAAGATCGGGTTTACTATGCATCAACGAGAGTTTTCCTGGTCTTTCGAAGCTGAAGATATACGGCGAAACTATGTTCGATCATCGTTGACTTCTAAGGGCTACTGTTATTCTTTGGCAACATCACGATGGCAGTGTCAACGTGTAACTACCTGTGTTCTGTGCAACGACTTTAATTTGCTCAGTACCATCATCGTCGAATACCTACTTCAACTGAGTGGTCATGTTTTGCAAATATTCTCCCAGAAACTTTCACACCACCTGTTAGTTTCCGACTTCTGAACTGGATGAAAAAAGTAGGCAGCTGGTCAGTTTATGACGTCCCTCCGTAGTATAGAAGGTGTTTACATGAGACTGGTATCTGTTACTTCATCAGGAGGTAGGCTAGAGTCCTAGGGATTGTGCAACGCAGTGGGTTGAGACGTTATCAGCTATGTCTCAGAATAGAAATCAGTGTCAACCCTACTTCAGTTTCCTGTCAGACTTGATTACCATATGACCGTCACTGGCTAAAAGATTCTATTCGGAATATCGTTAACATTCTTCGTTATGGTTTAAATTGTATGGTCTTTGTTTTTCGTTACGACTTTTTTGAATCTCTCAACTATAATGTTATACGGTACTAAGCATTGATTTTGATCAATTTGGTCTCGTGTGTTGCCAACCTGCGTCACCTATGGCGCAGGCAAGATATCCGTTCGCTAACCAAAGGACGAGTGTACTGTGCAGCAGTTCGCTCCGTCCTACTGTATGGAAGCGAGACTTGGCCGTTAAGAGTAGAGGACTTCCGTAGATTACTAGTTTTCGATCATCGATGTCTCCGAAGCATTGCTCGTGTATCATGGGACAACCGATTAAGCAATGCTGTCGTTAGGAAACGAGTTCTAGGTAGGGATGGCAAATCAATAGATGAAGTAGTGAAACTTCATCAGTTGAGGTGGTTGAGACATGTGTCACGTATGGCTAACCACCGACTGCCGCGATGAGCTGTTTTGCAGTGTAGGAGTAGATCGGAAGAAAGCTAGGGGCGGCCAAACTAAAACACGGCAGAAATCCATGAAGTCACTGACAAGTGGACTGAGTCATGTTGGTAGATGTAGGCTCTCTGGCTGGGGTCCGCGGGACCATAGTCACCGATGGTTAGAAACCTTGAACGACATGGCTCAGAATCGTTTGCAGTGGTGCAGGTGCATCCACTCTTTGTGTTCTATGTTCGCTCCCTAATCTTCTCCATTACTGATAGTACTTCTATTATTGCTATTACTCTTGGATTCGAAGTACAGTTGCGTCTCTGTGCTGATGGGTCATGGCAACCTGAACTGATGTACTTACGTACGAAGTTCTGCGTTGTATCTGTCTGTACTAAACATTAGTATGTGCACCGTACCCACCGGTTATTTTTCTACTATTTCATTTCTTTTTATTTTCATAATCTACACAAATCTTAAGCCGTTTCCTTACAACTCCCTTTTATTAGTCATGTGAATACTTTATTATCGAAACCGTTAGTAGTAGATGTCTGCTTCCCCATGCATATTATCCTGGCTCCTATGGAGAAGCGTTTTCGTTATCACTTTTGTGGTTCTCAGAAGACAAACAGGATCGATAAGGTACATTTAAAAATACAAATCTAACCACAGATTTTTATTTAGCCTGAATGGTACATGTCACAAGTTCTTCAGTGGATTCGAACAAATGACTATTTTGTTACAGTGGTCGATCGTGATTTCATTCCTGATAAAGACAATACTTCTGTTAGCGTACGAGTGAGTTTGAAAATGAAATTAATAATCATGATTGTCATTCTTGTTTGTAGCATTTTAGATCTAGTCACAATCATAGTAATGTCTTATAGTACTTTTTGTCAGACTGTTAGTTTCTTTAACTCGATCGTTAATTTAATACTGCTTTTAACAGCCTCGAGTATATTCATGGGTCTTCTTGAAGCTTGATGTAAAATAAACATCTATGTCTAAAGTGTTTTCATTCCATTGTAATCACTAAATGTGTATAGATCAACATTTAATTAACAAGCTACTAATTAGATATACAAGCATTTTTTGATAAAGCTGTCCGTTAGTTTTGTTATAATTAACTGTACAGTTTCTTTACAAGAAAGATCAGAATCCACATTCATAATTTCATTCAGGTTTTAGATTAGTTATGTATATAGATTACATCAACTGGATCAACTTTGCCACATTTTGTAAAGCCTAATAATACTATCCTAGTGGGGTTCGAATATACTACTCATCGAATAAGTCGCATTTTTAAAATTTTTTTGAGCAAGTGATTTCGATGTAAAATTCCCTGCTTAATTATCATGGATGTTGTCGTCCTCAGTAACACATAAATCGATGGCCTACCCAGTTTTCATATAGAAATTTGTTTAAATCCTAGACGTTTTTATACACACAAAAGTTTATTGGAAACGTTGTAGTTTACTTCACACACAATATATTCAGGAACCTTATCTGACGAAATCTTCCACAAACATTGCAGTAGGATGAGCTATCACAACTTAAGTACTAGTGTCAACTTAAAAATTATTGTTTGTGAAATTCACCATACTGACCGCTTCACTTATCTTGGGAGTCTCATCAGTGGTGATGGCCTGGTGCCCGACAAAATCTCGGCACGGATACAGAAGGCTCGATTGGCTTTTGCCAAGTTGCTTCACTTATGGTGAAGGCGAGGTATCTGTTTTCTGACTAAAGGACGAGTGTACTGCGCAGTAGTTCGCTCCGTCCTACTTCATGGCTGTGAAACATGACCGGTAAGAGTAGAAGATATTCGCTGTTTACTGGTTTTCGATCATAGGTGTCTCCGAAGCATTGCTCGAGTATAGTGGGACAACCGAGTAAGCAATGCTGTTGTTAGGATAATAATCGATGTTTAGAGACCCTTAATGACATGGCTCAAGACCGTTTACAATTGCGCAGTTGTATTCATTATTTGTGTTCTTTCAAATCCTAATCTTTTAATTCCTCATCACTCTATCTTTTAAATTTATTTCACCAGATTCTACTTCTTGAATAATATCTTCTAATCCTAATCTCTCCGGTTACTGCTAATAGCTTTACCGCCTCTACTACTATTGAATTTGAATTGACAATTGTGTCCCTGTGCTAATGTGGTATGGCAACATGAACTGATGTACGTACGTACGTACATAGTTTTACGTTGCTATTGATTGATCATCATTATACTGACGGTTAGCTTAACACCTATCTCATAGTAGGCCACATAATCAGCTGAGCTAATTGTCGTATAGGTGCCTATCATAGCTTAGTATCCCAAACCAGTTAACATAATTTAGTATTATGGTATTAATTGTACGACTGAAATACCTCAAAAAGCTCAATGTGTGGACATAAATTTATAATTTTGTGCTCAGTAGGATGTACTTGTAGCCAAATCACTTTAAGAATAAGCGCTTTTCTGTATTGACAGTTATAGTTTGATAAAATGACATTGCTCTGTTTCCTCTAGTTGCAGCTCATGCGTGGTTTGATCACATTACTGTTAGACAAACTATACTATGATCTTGGTCTATCAACTTTTATGCCGATTCGTTTCGGTCTTCAATTTCAAATTCGACGTTCTAATTCTGAAGCCTCAACTTGTCCTATGGACTCTGATCCCGGTAGTAGTTCTAGTAGTGAATTGTTAGAAAATCCACAAACATTCAGCCACTTGATTGATGTTGTATTACAGACGGATGCAAAATTAACTCAACTAGCCTATCCAAGCGATTATCCTAAACCAAGTGATGTGCTTTCGCATCCTAAAGTTTTTTCACGTTGGCTTTTGCTAGAACAACGTCTAGCTTCTGACAGACTAAAACTCGTTCTCGGGAACTTCTCATCTTGGTCTATTGTCGATGAAACCGAAAAGCGGTAAGTCTAAATTTTTATTGTGCCATTGCAGTCAGTCACTTAAATATTATGTGATCACTCAATAAAGCAGCCAGCTCTTGCTTTAGTTCTTTATATTTCAGTATATATCCTTTGGAATTCTGAAGACGTTCATTTTCTAACTCAGTAATCAAGTAGTAACTAATACTTCAGTATGAATTACATTGATTTTACAGACGTAAGCAATACTGCTTGGCTATTAGAAGCGAAAAAGTGAACTGAGATTCGTACTCATCACTCTATGATCTAGTCAATTGTTCAAACACCTAACACAATTTCGCCCAATCTCACTGATTTTGGAATTTTCAGATGACTATATGTAATCCAGCACTGATATGATTTATCAACGATTTAAAAACAGATTGTCTAGAAAAGGTGCCCAAAAGTACGAACACATAAATTGACAATTCGGCCAAAATCTTCAATTATTTTAGGTGTATTATAAATTTTGCATATACTATTACTATCGTTTTTCGTTTGACTTCAAATTACTCACTATTTATTGTTCAACTTCTACGGTACCTACTCTTATACGTCCGTTTTTGCTTCATGAAGTGTTTTGTAATTGCGGCATTCCCTGGCTATGAAATATTAAAAATTATGTATTCAAAAATACATTGGCTCTGTCCCATTTTGCAGCGATTTCGGGCTTCTAATTTTTACATTTGTGTTCACAAAGTGATTCTATCAAAGCTTCTTCCACTAGTGTAAGTACTACTTAAAAAACCGTAAAATGGTGTGTAGATGATTTGTTTGGCTACTTATTGAGCAAGCGTACGTTCTCTTTAAGAACTAAACCTCCAGGTCAAAGTCTCGGGGAGTGATCTCGTGAGAAGACTGTCTGTTTCAGTTCTGGCAGTAGGACAGTATCTCAGCTTGCACACGAACTCAATGATCTGTGTGGCCCATAAATATTTAGGTTCTCCCCTGTACCAATAATTGCGTTTAAATAACAATACTTATTTGAGGAACTACTATCTTTTCATTGTTCATCCTCATTACCAAATTAATCTACGTTTATGTACAAAATGTTAGTGTTTACGGCACTAAGCACTATTACAATTTTTTTTCCTGTAGGCCCCAATGTGTCGATGATTTCATTGCACTTCTCCATGCTGTAGGTTTTAGAGGTCGACAGTTGTCTGACAAAATATCACGAGCTAGATTTGTTCAAGTTCAGTTGAATTTAATTCATGAATTTTTTGATTATATCGTGTTGTCAGCACGTCGAAAATTCGAACATGATAACTTCAGTGATCATGGTCATTCAAAAAACAAATCTGAAGTTAGCATTTCTAAAAGTACAATGTTTGGAGGCTTATTTTCATCGCATAATCTCTCGCCTGATGCTAGTTTAGAATCTAGGAAAAATTCAATCATCAATCAATTATTCAATTGTTTTGTTGATGGAATTGGTCAGAATTTATCTCCCCGCTGGATAATTGCGTTGAATGCAATCAAATGTCTTCACGATATGATGTTGGAATGGGCTAATGATCAGGTTAGTTGACTGTTATGTAGCTATTAGCTTCTGTAAACACTACTTCAGAATTACACCGATAGGATAAGTTTTACCAATGCATACATAATTATTCCTTCATCCACTTAGTTATTTACCTTTCACGATGCATTTACAATTGAGGATTTCAACTTAAAAAACTATACTATGATCAATAAAATTTAGTGTTTGGGCACTAGGGACTTCATAATAATCAACAAGATGTTCACGTCAATTGTTTCTAGTACCCTATCACATGAGGCAATCTTATCATCTCGCGCTCTAATACTAACTAGTTGAGTACACAAAATATTATTTGTGATCTCCTAAAACCACGCTCTAAACTGCTTGCTGGAGCTTTCAATGTTCGAACCTTGTGCTAGGGCTTTATAATCTCGCGCCATTGATATAATCTGCGTCTCTGAAACTCGCATACAGCATCTCAGTAGAATTTGACCATACTATGTCAAAATAAAGAACCGTCGGAGTTTACGCTTCATGTACCTGGAAATTCCACTGCTGCTTCCCGTCGCCTCGCTGGTGTACGTATAGCGTCGAATTCTCAAGTAGAACTAGCTCTCCTAGACTGGATTCCAGTAGACAGTTGCTCCTGTGCTGTCCGACTAAAAATGGCAATAAGGGTCCGGAAAGATAGGGACACTTGCTGTTGCCTCTTCGTTGTATCTGCCTACTCTCCCACTGATTGCAGTTCAGATAAGACAAAAGATGGATTTTATGGAAAGCTTTCTAACCTTCAAAGAGCTAAACACTCTGATGTAATAATGGTGGCTGGTGATTTTACTGTTCGAATTTGTAGATTAGGTGTAACGGAAAGACATCTAGGCAGAATTTTCGGTGTCGCGGCTCAAAGAACATATAATAGCAACCGTCTGCTGTTGCAGCTATGCTCAGATAGCCACTGAGTTCTGGTAAACCCCAACTGCACATAAAGATAAACATCTTTCAGCATGGTGACTTCCAAAACCGACTCGACATTAGACTTAAGTAAACCACCTACGGAGAGGCTCGATAGAAGACTGTCACCCGTTCTGGAGCACATGTTTAAATTGGAATCATGCTCTAGTACGAGTACGTATTTGTCTGTGGCCTACTAGACGTAATAAAGAGACAAGGAAGCTCCTTAAATTTCTACCTAACCATAAACAGCAGTGATATCTTCCAGAAACAGTGGATTTCATTTTCACGTACTTAACTATTAGATGCTCGGAAACTCATCCCATCTGGCTGTGAACATGGTGAGGAGTGGAGTCAGCTTAAGCGCAGGCTGATAAAAGGCCTACGCAGTGATCGTGAACAATGATGGGTAGCGAAATCAAGATGGATGGAAAAGGCAGCAGCAGTAAGTAACAGTAGACAAATGTTCAAACTTATCACAGAAACCAGAATCATGAATCCAGCAGTTTGCAAGACTCTATTAAAAAGATGGGACCATTATTCTCAGTACAGGGGATTGGATCGATGGGCAGAACACTATGGAACAGTTCAACTGTTCTTCAGCCACACTTCGTTTACCCACGATTTCCAACCAACCTGAATGGAAATTTGATGTGAGTCCTTCAACTCTCAATGAGGTTGAAAAGGCTATGGGGAATCTGAAGCGATGGAGAGCAGCAGGGCCTGATAGATTGACCCCTATGATTTTCGAAAATAATGGTCCAGTTTTGGCAGTTAAATGGGCAGAGATCTTATGTAGAATCTGGGAACTGGACTCGAACTGATCTCAATCACTGATTGTCCTAGTCTACAAAACAGGACAAAAGTCATCTTGTGACAATCACAAAGGAATCATTTTAACTAATATAGCGTCGAATATGTTGGCTTCAAAAGTGCTTCGACGCCCAATTGGTGCTCATGAAGAGAAAGCACCAAAAAACCAGGCTTGTTTCAGACCTGCACATAAATGTCTAGACTATTTATTCACACTCTGTCAGGTTCTAGAACACAGACACATTTCGACATCCTACAATAGTTGTGTTCCTTGACCTTAAAGCAGCATTTGGCTTTGTTGATAGCGAAGTTTTATGGCAGAGTTTGTCTGAAAGGAGTACCAAAGTTGTACATTAACCTCGTACACTACTGGTTTGAGTTAGAGCTAATGGCGAACTGTCATCAGAATTCATTACTTCATGTGGTGACTATCAAGGTTGTCTGCTTTCTCTATTCTCATTCAACTTCCTTACTGACGTGGTATTAGATATGATACTCTCGTCGTCTGACTTTTCATGAGTTGACCTCCCACCAAGAGGTTCACATGTTGACTCAGAATATGCCGATGTTTGATGAACACGCTGACAAAATGCAGAGTCTTTTGATCACCCTCAGCAACAATGCAAGAATGTTCATAATACGGTTTTCCCCGTCGAAATGCAAAGTGTTGCTTCAGGATTGGCTTGCATCGGTACCTGAACAAGTGATAGTGAGCGAAGTAGTTGAGCGTGTTCACCGCTTCAATTATCTTTGGAGTTTTACCTGTACTGATGGCTTGGTGACTGACGAAATCTGAGCATGGCTACAGAAGGCTCGATTGATTTCTGCCAACTTGCGTTATTCATGGAGTAGACGTAGGAGTAGGAGTCTGCTAACCAAAGGACGAGTCTACTGCACGGCATTTCGCTCCGTTTTACCCTATTATAGGTGCGAAACATGGCCAGCAAGAAATCAGGATATTCGTAGTTTACTAATATTCGATCATAGGTATCTCTGAAGCATTGCTCGTATATCCTGGTTCAATCAAGTAAGCAATGCTGTCGTTAGGAAACGGGTACCTCGTAAGAAGGGCAGATCAATAGATGATGTAGTGACGCTTCACCAGTTAAGGTGGTTGGGACATCTGTCAAGTATACCTGGCCACCGACTGCCTCGGCCGAAGGTTAAAGACGTTGAATGATGTGGCTCAAAATTGTTTGCAATGGCTTAGGTGCATCCACTCTCTGTGTCCTCTCAAATTCTAATCTGAGTTCCTCATCACCTTTATCTTTCTCTTTCTAGGTTTATTTCACTGAGTTATACTTCTTGAATAATATCTTGTAACCCCGACCTTCTTCATTACCACTAATACTTCTACTATCTGTACCACTATGGTGTTTGAGCTGACAGTTCCATCTTTCTCTGCTAATATGTTATGACTACCTGAACCGAGATACGTACGTACGAAGTTCTACGATGTTGCTGATTGACTTAGTAGTAGTAGTGGTCGTAGTAATTTTTTTAAACCTGCTGACATCGGTATAATGAGGCACTCAATTATATGTGCGCCTCGCAAATCATTGAATTAATGATTGGGCTTGGATTCTTCTCGAGTGCCGAAATCAAGATGGTTAGTTTTGCTGATATGTCACTCGCTAGTCTTAGACCCCGAGATATAATCCACAAAGCACTAGGGCAACGTCTGGAAATGCAGTCCTATGGTAGCAGGTGATTAGCGGTAGTTTCATGCGCTGTTTGCTCTCTCAGGACCCTAGAGTTTATGCGCACCATTGGTTTGGATTCCGGGCTTTCCAACTCCTCTTCATGGATCCTCCGTACACACTAGTCCGATCAAGTTGCCGGACATTCACTTTTCGTCCCGTCAATTTCATAAACAACACTTTTCACGAGAAGGTAGTAAGTAGGGCTTTCCTGGCAGTAGTTATTCACGCGTAGCCATATCAAAGTCACCAAAAACATGACTGTTACATTGAATTCTGAAATAATAATATTTTTTTAATTTATAGTATTATGTTACATTTTGGGAAGATTTAAGCACTCGTGCATTATTACAGTTTGGAGATCCTTGGCTAATGGATATTGGTCTTTGTCCTCTTGTTACGGATAGAATATTAAAGGAGGTAAGATATATATATATATATATATATATATATATATATATATATATATATATATATATTCATCGAATACTCATCAGTTAGAGGAAAAACTGTATCTGACGTTCATACTCATTATCATTTATCGTTAATTATGCTTGTGTCTAATCGAAAGTTTATTCTGTTATCATTTATTAGCACAGTTGTTGGCGTCAGTATTAATTAATACTGCAAATTCTATGTAGTTCAGTATCGAGGGTTAAATTTGAAAATATTTAGTTTTTTTTCTAACGTTTGAACTGCCGTCAAAGTTTTTTGTCTATATCCCTTTAGTCCTCTTGAGATTTCGATTTTTTACAACATGGCTGAGGCTATAAGATTAGAATATCTGTGTATCGAGCAGTTATTGGCCATCACTTCCCACATGCTAAAAAATATCCAGAATAAGCTGAAAATTAACATTTCATGGATCAATTAAACTGGCCCTCAACTGCACTTCGGTTGCCCACGATATCCAGTCATCTTGAATGACATATTGATGTTCGGGATGGAGGTTTTCCCCGTTGAAATGTAAAATGTTACTTCAGGATTGGTTTGCGTCGGCACCTAAACAAGTGATAGCGAGTGAAGCAGTTGAGCGTGCTGACCGTTTCACTTATCTTGGGAGTCTCACCAGTACTGATGGCCTTATTTGTAACAAAATCTTGGCACGGATGCAGAAGACTTTACTGGTTTTCACCAGCTTGCGTTATTCATGGAATAGGCGAGATATCAGTCTGCTAACCAAAGGACGAGTCTTCTGCACGGCAGTTTGCTTCGTCCTACTTCATGGCTTTGAAACATGGCCAGTAAGAGTTGAGGATATTCATAGGTTACTATTATTCGATTATCGGTATCTCCGAAGCATTGCTTGTATATGCTGGGACCATTGAGTAAGCAATGCTAGCGTTAGAAAACGAGCAATAGGTAGGAATGGCAAATGAATAGATGAGGTATTGAAACTTCATCAGTTCAGGTGGTTGGTACATGCGTTAACAATTACTGACCAAAGACTGCCTCGGCGATGTTTTGTGGTGTAGGAGTAGGTTGGAAGACAGCTAGATGCATCCAAACTAAAACATGTCACAAATTCATGAAGTCACTGACATGTGGACTGAGTTATGTTGGTTGACGTAGGCTGCCTGGTTGGGGTCCGCGAGACGAAAGTCACCAATGGTTAGAGATCTTGAATGACATGGCTAAAAATTGTTTGCAATAGCACAGGTGCATCCGCTCTTTGCATCCTCTCAAATTTTAATCTTCTGAATTCTTCATCATCTCTATCTTCCTCTTTTTAGATTTATTTCACTGAGTTATACTTCTTGAATAATAATATTTTTGAACCCTAATCTTCTCCATTACCACTATGCTATCTCTATCACAATAAGATTTAAACTGACAGTTTCACCTCTGCGCTAATATGTTGTGGCAACCTGAACTCATGTACGTATGTTCGAAGTTCTAGTTTGTGACTGTTTGACTGAAGCTGGAAATCTGATTTAGCTTTTTTAACCCTCAAACTTTACATCTTTCTTTACTCAAATTCTAGACTATAAATTGGCTCATATTATTGTTTTTGTCTTTTCAAAACCTCAAAAATCGGTACAATGGGGCACCAAATATGAATGCGCCACAATATAAAGATTAAGTAAAAAATAGAGTAAGGCAGGTGGTGATTATCAGAAAAATAAAAAAATAATAAAAACTGAATAGAAATTAATGTATAAGAGTAAGAGAACCCAACGGGAAAGTCATGAAAGACCAACAATCGCCAATCCTGCACAGCTTTCTTTCATGCCACCACACTATGTCATAAACCGACCACCTCCGCATTTTCCACTCAGTCCCAGTGTCGGCAAATAATGCACGATACGGAATTCATAGCGACCTTCGTAGTTGAAACCATCAAAGTCGATGTTTCAGAGCGGTCACGCCAATCGAGTTATCGCCAATTCGCCCAAACACGTTGCCAAACCTCTGAATTACTAACATGATGTTGCCACCGTAGGTCAGTAATCCTTCGGAGATAGTGATGATAAAAAACAGGATCTCCTAACATCCTTAACTTAGAGAGGCCAGACCTCACAAACCTAGAACAAAACTGCTCTCACCAGCACCTTTTTGATCCTACCTTTCACAGCCAGACTATCATCATAAGGGTACCAAAGGTGGTCCAGATTCACCTAGACACCTCTGACTTTCTCTATACGTGTTAATCGGTCTCATCTCTGATGCCACCACAAGCAGTTGTTCAGCAACCCGGGCACATGAACTTTTCAGCTAATTCTATCTCCTCACTACGAAGAGTGAGCGCAGGTTCACGGTTCTGCCAGTTTTGTAGAAGTACTTTTCATGCAGAAAGTGAAAAGCACATGTCATACTTACCAATACTGATCACCAACTGATTAAATATAGATTGCAAAGCTTTAGTGACATCACACAATAAGATTATGATATCCACATATTCAAGATCGAAAAGTCTTTCTCCAGATAACATCTGCACCGACATTGCCTACGTCTATCAGCACTGTTTCCAGAAGGCATTGATGGAACTATATTGCTTTATTGTTATAGACTATGGGCAGTCAACATTATTCGGTAACATAACAGTTGAAAACCAAACGCATTTTATGATTTACCTTTACTTTTCACTTGACTCTGGTTCCTTAAGCAACAAGTATATTTTCCCAAAGAAACGCCCTATCTTGTGGTCCTGTACATCTGAAAAAGGCGTGAATTTTCTTGGAACATATGTATATATATATATATATATATATATATATATATATATATATTGATAAGTGACCTTCGTGAACCTAAGTTAAATATGATGTATTTTGATCAACCTGACTGTTAAGTACTCTTTTCATTGTGAAGGAATTATGGAATAATTTCACCTTCTTCTGCTTGACCTGTAGCTTTAGTATGTGGCCTTGTAGACTGTATATTTGTTTTAAAAATAATGCATGCCCTTGTTTAGAACTATTCTTACAGGAATCTCCATGTCATATAATTATTTGGGATTATAACATTCCAGCAAATCCCAATTATTTCCATTATCATATTCTAGCCATGAAGGTTCATAACCAGTCTTTTTTTCAATAGCCAGAACTTGATGAACCTAAAAATGAAACGTTTAGTGAGTTGGGCTGCTCTGATAATTATCTTGGTTTGCATGGTGGCGTTTTCACTCAGGTTAGTTGTGATATTTAATTGTAAGTGTAGTAATATCTTTTAATTAAGTGAGATATAAGCTTTATATTTTAAGCTTCATTTTACTCTGTTTATTGGTTACTGATATTATATAGTGATATAATGAATGGCGTATGCATCATAATATTTTATAATGTGATGAAAAGCCTTTTGTATAATTTAACTACTAGATAGCAATTCTCCAGAAAAAACATACTATCTGCATCATTCAAGTTTCTGTCATTCATGGCCTCATTTGAGGCGTTACCAATAGGTTGTTCAGTTTAATTTTTGTTTCGGTTTTATTTAGGACATTGTCTAAACAGGTTTTGAAGCTTTTTATATTTCTAGACACCATAGTAAGCTCTCCAATTACCACAAATATGTTTGTAGACACATATCTTCCTTATATGTGTGGTGACTTAATCGTCAAGACATTTCTCTGTGAACCGGTAATTATTATGTTCAAACCCCATCTCACCCTCACGTTTAGTTACCAGGTCGATAGTCTTCACTCTTATAAACATGTATTTTACCATTGAACAGCTATTAAAACTGACGAATTATGATATACGATGACATTACTAGTAACACAAGTCATGTACATCAGTCAATAGGTTTCAGGAACCAGAGCAATAAATATGTGTTATAGCTTTTCAAGTAGACCTTGTTAAATTCCTCTTCTATCAATTATATGACACAGTTACAAAAAACCCAGATCGTCGTCATTAAATAATGCTAGAAATTCGACTGATCTTATAAGTAGGCTGGTTAGAAAGACATACTAATTTATGATGACTTTTAATACTCTCCGTTTATTTCTCAAATCATTCTACACACTACTGAACAAACTATCTATTTTCGATACTGTTTCAGTTGTTAAAGTGTTAAGTGTTCCATAGATTGTATCTAATATATTTTCAATGCCTTTTGAATTTACATTCGCCAATCCCGACGTAATACTGATGCTTGTCTTTTTTTTCAGTTTCATGTCGTCTTACTAAACTCTTTCTCAATAAGCAATTACCTCTTGTCATGTTTTGTTCAGTAGTATTACTTTTATATTTTCTTTCTCAAAATCTCCACAGATGCTAAGATTGTATAATGATGAAATTAAGAAAATGTTAAAACAAACAGTCGATTTAACATTGACAGATTTAAAGAGTAAATCGTTGGCATATGTTTATTCAACCGATCATTGGCTTCGAGCTAGTTCTGTATCCGGTTATTTAAGTAATATGAAGAGTGAACTGTCCAATTTAATGCTGTCATCTAATGCATCGGTATTTTTTCTTGCATTACGTGATTGGTTGTATCATTTATCAGAATCATTACATCCAAAACTTTTCACACATGTATGGAAAGAAATTGCATCACAATTAGATGATTATCTGTACAATGAGGTATGTTGTGACAACTTAAATTATCCATTAATTGAGTTTGCCAAAACTGCACCAATTTTTTGTTTACTCTTTTACTTCTATTACTCTCATCCACTACAACATGATGGATGAAACAGTGCTAAATCTAGCTCCCTCTATGGATTGTTCTGTTCAAATTCTCTACTAGGGAAGATGAAAACAACAAAATAAATTACGATGTTATGTATTGTCGATACGTAAATACAGAGTAATTCATTTTTTTTTTTATTGATAGTTGAGATGAAATACATTATCGATCTAAACTCTTATTACCTGTAGTCTCCAACTATCAATATCTCATGGATTTCATTGTAAAGCTGTTCAGTCACATAGCTGTGTGAATGCATCATTTATAGAAATACTCTTACCTTCACTATATCACTACTAGGATCATTGCCTATTTAGTAACCTCTTGAGAGATTCTGTCTTCATTTCGAAATATTTGAAATTGTTGGGATAGCCAATCGAGAAGAAAGCCACGCACATTGTGGATTGATGATCTTATCGATTAAACGCTTAAATATTTCAAGGGCAGTCGATCGATGAACTATTGGATTTAATATTCAAATAATTAAACGACAATATCGATTATATGTATAATTGTATAAATACGCATGTTTGATTGTATATTTTTGATTCTGTTAATATGTGTTCTCCAACGTCTTCCGTCTTTTTATTCTTGAACGGTGGGAGTCTAACGTTCGGTGTGTCATTAATACAGTGGTTTGGCGTCACATCAAGCAGAAAACATAAAAGAAATGTTAAATATTCCGCTTTACTCTACTCCTGTGATAGTTCTCCTTCGTTATCTTCGAAATATCAGTCAGTGTTCCAGCCAAATGACTGAAAATGTATACTACTCAACGTATTTATTATCTACTTCCTAATTTTTCCCAGTAACTAAAAACGACTAAGTTGTTAAATTTATTTATTTTTAAATGAAATATTAATTCATGTATTCTATCATACACCAAATCATAATGGAAATTTAGCTTTAGAATCAGTTTTGGTTGGTTAAGAAACCTTGAACGACATGGCTCAAAATTGTTTGCAATGGCACAGGTGTATCCAATCTTTGTGTCCTCTCAAATTCTAATCTTGTGAATTCCTCATCACCTCTATCTTCCTCTTTCTAAAGTTATCTCATTGAATTGTAATTCTTGAATAATATCTTCGAACCGTAGTCGTCTCCATTACCACTAATACTTCTACTAATGAGATTGAAACTGACAGTTGCATCTCTGTGCTAATGTGTTATGGCAATATGAACTTATGTATGCATGTACGAAGTTCTACGTTGTAATTGCATATATGAGTGATATGATAATGACATACGACGAGTACAATATCAAGAAACGACAATCATTGAACATCTTTTTTTACCTTTTTTCATACAGCTCATTCTATCAAATCGATTTAGCCCTCTTGGTGCTGCTCAACTTCGTTTTGACCTTACGAACTATCTGTATCCAATGTTCAATTTATATACTGAACGTCCTGAATCACATTTTTTTCAAATTCGTGATGCTTGTGTTCTTCTAAATTTATTGCGTGGAACAGCCGAATTATTGAAAGAAACTATTATGGAATCAATGAATAATAAACAGAAACGTGATAACGATCCACTTGGACCTCTACTTGAATTAGGTGTTTATAGACTAACTCCGGAAGAAGCTCTTCGTATTTTGTCTTTACGTGCCATTCCAGAATAAAAGATATTCTGTACATCCGGACATGTGAACTTTTGAGATATGTCTTTCTTTCTTCTGTATTCTATTTTGCAATGCTGTACTTGTTTTAAGTATGTAAATATAATTTGATTTCTTGAAAATATCCATATTTTGTTAGCGGAAAACCGTATTTTGAATGTAACATATTACCGTTTATATCTTGCTTTAATTTTGAATAAGAAATATGTGTGGATAGTCACTATTTGAAATGCTCGTATTCCTACACATTCAATGGCATACAATGCAGCCTGTAATAAAGCACATCTTATCTGTGCTGATTTTATCAACTATCTCCTCTCTTATCGCTACTAAGCCAATAATAAATCATAATGAGTCAAGAGAAAAAGCAAACTAATAAATTTTTTTATCAAAATTACCAGTCGGTCATAGTGAATGGCAGTACAATATACATCTGCCTGATGTTGATCTAATGTTATCCTACTTGAAGTATAAGCTCACTTAAACCCATTTTCTACTCGTCTTAGGGCAGTTGCCTCCAACTTTGCCCACTATCCTTCCCACGTGTTCTCAAATGCTATCCATGGTCTTGATGTCCACCTCCGATTCCCTGTGCTCTCTGGTCTTCTTTTCCTTTAGCCTTGAGATTCCAGGTTAGCGCTTTGTGGTTTAGTCTGATAATTTCTTCAAATTTTCATATCCACTTCTAGCACCGATTCTTTGTCTCCCCCACCTAGAGGGCGCTAGATGGAGTTGGTAATGAGTTAAGTCCAACTAATTAAGAGTTGTAAAATTAAAAAAATTCTTTACCTTGTATCGTAATTACGTTCTCATAACACTGATTTAAGTACTCTAACTTTCAAAATAATCTATTAAGTACTTGCTTATGACATTAAAGTTACATTATGTTTCATATTTTAAATAGCTACCAGACAGTGTAATTTGCTTTATCTGGCTAATTTGATATTCTATTTCGAGCAACCATCAAAACCATTAGAGAATCATAAATAAAGATAGTCTGGCCGTAAATGGGTGAACTTGTCAATCACCTTTTGTGATGAAGTTCTGGTAGAAATCATGAGATGTTGAGGACAATTGAGTGGAAATAACCCATTGAAGAAAATAACAAAGGGATCAAGATATCCAGTGAAGACTCCAGGATTGTTTCGGTGCTATGGCAACCGTCTATTGGTTTTAATAAAGACAATAAACAGGCGGCTAACTATCTTGATAATATCTGACGGACTGGATTTTAAAAACATCTGCACACGCAATGATGTCAAAATATTTAGTTTGTTTTAACGTAAAGGAAACGAGGCAGCTGAGGAATCTACATTATTAGGTTCCCAACCTAATTAACTCCTCCTGGAGCCCCTTTGAGGCTACTGCCGGTCTAAAGTCTGGATAAAGGAGGAGGGTTGGCGACCCCGTCCTGCAGAAAACGAATTCGTTACAAAAGCGCTAACAAGAAAAAGTAATTCAAACCATCTAAACTCTGCTCTCAGAGTTCGAAGGTCTTCATTTAGAAGAGTTATGATGTCTCGTGATGAAAGCCGAGTTCCTTCGGAAGTAACGAGGCCGATGCCCCTTCTGACAACCAGAGCCCTTCCATGGTGTGGGCAGCCGGGAAGTAACATCCGTCCTCATACCTGTAACAGTACGCGAGACCAAATCGGTCACAATCACATACTTTCTCCGGCTAATAACTCTCAATAATCTCCACGACCAACCTTTCTTTCGATCGTTTGTCACCTCGCGCCGCTGAAACAAACATTTTGAGCTCACGAAACATTATTCTTGGTCTCCAGGAACCCCATTCTAAACTACATGTTGGAGCATTTAATGTTTAAACATTGTGCCGAATAGGACAACAGGCTTCATTGGCTAGAACTCTGGAATCCCAATGTGTGTTGCGTCTCCGAGACGCGCATACAAGATCCTAGTAAAATCATTAATCTGACTTCACCTTGTCCAGAGAGAGAATCAATTCGTGTATCTAGAAGCACTGCCACTGCTTCCTGTGGCCTTGCTGGTGTAGGTATAGCGTCGAGTCGTCAGGCAAAACTAGTTCTCTTAGACTGGATCCCAATAGATTGTCGGTTTTGCGCTGTCCGACTAAACGGGACGGTATGGGCTCGTAAAGATAGGGACACTCGCCATTGCCTGTTTGTTGTCTCTGCCTACGCTCCCACGAAGTAAAGGATGAGTTTCATAAAGAGCTTTCGAACATCCTCCAAAAAGTTAGGTGCTCTGATATAGCAATAATGGCTGGTGACTGCAATGCTCAAGTAGGCAGACTAAGTGGAAAGGAAAGACACCTGGGTTGATCTTATGGTGTCGTGGCTCAAAGATCAGACAATGGCAACCGCATGCTACAGCTATGCTCAGATAATCGCTTATTTCTAGAAAACACTAACTTTAAGCATAAGGTGAAACACCTGGCGAACACCAAAGTCGACCCGACGCTGGACCCAACTAGAACACATCTACACACAGCCATCTGTAGAGAGGCTCTATTGAAGAATGCCGCTCATTCTGGAGCACTTGTTTAGATTCAGATCATGCTCTAGTGAGAGCGCGTATTTGTTTGCGGCTTACTAGACGTGGGAAAGACACCGCAAAAAAGCCTCTTGGGGTTTTACTTAATGATAACAGGTTAAGAATATTTTTCATGAACAATTAGATAACAGTTAGGCAGCCATGTAGAGGGTGATGTCCACCCGAGGCAACTTGGAATGACATCAAAAAGCCGTAGAAACAGCAGTGCTGTCTGTTATTAAGATAAACCAAAAGGCTAGAATGAAGCCGTGGATCTCCGTAGCATCTACAGAACTGATGGATGCTCAAAAACTCATCCCGCGTGGCTCTGAGTGCGACGAGGAGCGGAATAAGCTTAGACTTAGGCTGATAAAAAGCCTACGCAATGATCAAGAACAGTGGTGAGTGGAGAAAGCAAGAGAGATGGAAAAGGCAGCCGCGATAGGCAACAGTAGACAACTGTTCAGACTTATCAAGGAAACCGGCATTAGGAATCCATCTGTGAGTGAGACTATTTCGGAAAGGGATGGACTTATTATTTATTCTCAATCCAGGAGATTGGATCGATGGGCAGAGCACTTTAGGAATCATTTTTGTTTAATTTTGTCGTAGACTTGCTTTAAGAAATAACATTATCTTCGTCTGACTTTTCAGTAGTGGACCGTCCACTAGGAGACTCGTTTCTTGACTTGGAGTATGCCGATGACATAGTTCTATTTGGCGAAGGCGCCGAAAAGATGCATTTTTCTGATCACTCTCGGCAACGATGCAAGAATCTTTATCATATGGTTTTCCCCGTCGAAATGCAAAGTGTTGCTTCAGGATTGGCTTGCGTCGGCACCTGAACTGGTGATAGGGAGTGGGGTAGCTAAGCATGTAGACCGCTTCGTTCATCTGGGGAGTCTCATCAGTGCTGGTGGCCTGGTGTGTGACGAAATCTCAGCACGGATACAGAAGGCTCGATTGGCTCATTTCAATTTGCGTCACTTATGACTTAGGTGAAATATCCGTCTGCTGACCAAAGGGCGAGTTTACTGCGCAGCAGTTCTCTCTACCCTACTTTATTACTGTGTAAAATGGCCAGTCAGAGTAGAAAATATTTGTAGGTTGCTGGTTTTCGATCATAGATGTCTCCAAAGCGCTGCTCGTGTATCATGGGACATCGGACTAAGCAATGCTATTGTTAGGAATCGAGTACTAGTTTGGGATAGCAAATCAATAGATGAAGCATTGAAACTCCATCAGTTGAAGTGGTCGGGACATGTGTTACGTATTCCCAACCACCGAACGCTTTCACGAGCAATGTTTTGTGGTGTGGAAGTAGGTTGGAAGGAAGCTAGGGGGGCCAGACCAAAACATGGCAGCAATCCATGAAGTCAACTGATTCATGTTAGTAAGTGTAGACTATCTGGTTGGGGTCCTCGAAACGATTGTAACCGATGGTTAGAGACCTTGAACGACATGGCTCAAAATCGTTTGCAGTAGCGCACTTGCATCCACTGTTTTCTCAAATTCTAATCTGTATTCCTCATGACCGTTTCTTTCAATTGATTCCTCTGGGTTATGCATCTAGGATGATATATTCGATAACTGATTACTGCTAATACTTCTACTATCTATACTACTATGGGATTTGAATTGATTAGTGCGTCTCTGTGCTATGTGGAGCGGCAACTTGAACTGATGTATGTACGTACGAAGTTTTACATTGCAACTGACTTAGGTTGTAAACGAAAAAAGAGGTGTAACTTTATTTCTTTCTTGTATGAATCAACTTGTGATAATGAGAATTCCTGTTTCATTGGATAAATCAGTTTTAGCAAAATTAACAAGCTAACGAATTTTGTCATGAAGTAGGATAAATTTAACGAAAAACGTAGTTAGAGAAGATAGGTATTATACACAAAGGAAAACATATTTAAGAAGCATAAAAAAACATTATGGACATGAGAATTCAATGCAAAATTCTGAATGGTAGGTACTAGGCTAAATAATGTTGATCTGTGTAGTATATAAGTATGTCAATATAATGAGAATACTGTTATGTTTATAAGCTTAAGTATATATCTTTATAAATATATGTATGATATTAGATAATTTTCTGAATGCATCTATGTATCTATATATAAAACAGTTTAAAGTGTATTCATTGAACGACTTGTTCTCTACAGACATCAATATAAGATACTTGCACATATTTGAAGAGATGTTGATTCTATGTATAGTGTAAGGACGTTGAGTGTTTCATTTTATTACAGTCAGTATGTATGTAAATGTTTGCGTGTGGATTTTATGATTCATCAGTCGTTGCATCACTTTGCGATTCAGTAATTTTATTATTCATAAGTATAGGCTCATTAGACGGTGATATTGTTTCCGATTCATCGTTTAATATACTTGTGATCACGCACTTGGATACTTCAGAGGTAAATTCTTTATCACCGTCTGCATCTAATTCCGTTCTGTAGAAATAATGAAAAAAAATACAGACCATAGTTTAAACATACTTTATTCTAACGCTTAATGACTTACCTCTCTGATTCATCATTAATCCTAATAATTTTAATCGACTAAACTAGCTGATGGCATACGACTATCCTTCTATGATTTATCTTGGTAACGCTTAAGCGACATATACTCGTTTAGCAGTCATAAAAGAATCTCGATCTGCTCATGATCAAATATATTAAGACCTCTAACTATTATGATTTGACCAGTGTAGTTCAACCCCGTAGAGTGCAGTAGTTACCTACCGAAGACAAAGGTTGAGTTTGCGCAGTACTTTGTATTGACTAATTTTAGACAATGAAACCATTGTATCCCGGCTCAGTCGTCTAGAGGTTAAGCGTTCGCCCTCGAAAGCAAAAGTCCTGGGTTTGATTCGCGTGAGCGGGGATCACGGATGCTCACTTCTAATGAGACATGTACTAGGATGAAACGACCGTCCAGTGCTTCCAGATTTCTAACGGCGGTTTAATGATGATCGATTCATCATTCCAATTAATCGTAAGAATCTCGATAACTTTACAATGAAAACAATATAAACACCGAGTGAATTCAACAAAGCCCCAACTAATGCATTCACAACATAATATAATGAAAGATCTTGAATAACCACCTTGAAATTGACTCGAAATTAGAAAATTCATTTATGTCATCTTAAAAATCTCATCACATCATGCTAATCATTCGTGTAATGAGCATTGTAATATTAAATGAATGAATAATATCAATTTACCTATAAGAGCATTTTGAACAATCATCTTTCAATGTTCCAATATTCTTATTCAATCGTGCTCTTCTACTCATGGCATTAAGATATGTCTAAAACAGGAAAAAGTATTGAAATGAGAATGACTTAAATGTCATAAACGAGTAACAGATTATTTACAAATTCACATATATTACAAGTCTATAATTCTGAAAGTAACATTCATAATTTCAACAATGTTCATTTGATAATAATATTGTTCAATCTAATAAAATGTATTAAGGTCAAGAGACTACATAGAATAATTTAAAGAAAAACAGATCAACACTCGTTTAAAAAAAGTCCTACTCTAATGTTAGAATATTGTCGACAAATGTATTCTTTTGTTATATAATCGAATGCTTGACTTCTCTAGTTCGAATGTTTTTATCAACTATTCTGTGAATTATTGTTTTAAGAAATAACAATTACATAACATTTATTTATAACCATGAATCGATCAATGTTAGACAACCATTAGAAACCTGGGAGCACTGGACGGCCGCCCCGTCCTGGAACGGGACTAATCAGCAGTGCGCATCCACGACTCCTGCACCCCACAGGATTTGAACCCAGAACCCTCGGTATTGTGCGCGGACGCCCTAACCGTTAGACTACTGAGCCGGTCTCTAACGGTGTTAATGTCTAACTTTGTCAAATTCACGGAGTTGCGCAACCTCGAACACAGTCTTCGGTAGTTAATATCTACACCAGAACAGGTTGAACTTCACTGGTCACGACTTCCTACTAGTTCTAGTGGGATATATACAGTCGGATGTATATAGTGTATGAGGTTGTGCACTGATCTAACGGTTAGGGCGTTCGCGCACGTTTCCGAAGGTCCTAGGTTCGAATCCTGTGGGGTGCAGGAGTCGTGAATGCGCACTGCTGATGAGTCCCATTCCAGGACGGGACGGCCGTCCAGTGCTTCTGGGTTTTTAATGGTGGTCTAACATTGATCGATTCATGGTTACAAATAAAACTTAACAATCTTCACAACAACCCCGCATTGCAATTACTTAACTAGTCTTATATGACAGACCAGACAAAAGGACAGAATATACACCATACATACATATTGTATCATGGGGTTTCCGATTAAGTGTCACTATTATATACTACTTATTTGGCAATGATTATTCAGCAGAAAAACAAAACAATGAAACTAGTAAAAGAATGATGATCATGAATTCTACATTGTAGGTCATACTGTAAGAAATTCTCGCTTCCTGTGAATAGATACATTTTTAAGATGTAAATCAATCAGTTTCCTTCTTTTTATACTATTAATTTTAGTTCTATATCATGTTTCGATTTTCGAACATAAATTTAGCTTTAGAACAGATTCGAAAGTAAAAACAGTATCAATACACACTTGCATTAACTCATTTATGACAGTATATTGTGATAGGGAAAAATTACTTACTTACTTATTTACGCCTGTTACTCCCAATGGAGCATAGGCCGCCCACCAGTTTTCTACAACCAACTCTGCCCTGGGCTTCTCTCTCCAGTTCTGTCCAATGTTTGTTCATTCCTCTCATATCTTACTCTATTTCTAGGCGTAATGTGTTCCTTCGCCTTCCTCTTTTCCTTTTACCTTGAAGGTTCCAAGTGAGGACTTGTCTTGTGACGCAGTTAGATGCTTTTCGTAGTGTGTGTCCTATCCACTTCCACCGCTTCTTCCTCATTTCCTCCTCCACTGGAATCTGGTTTGTTCTCTCCCACAGTACGTTGTTGCTGATGGTGTCTGACCAACGAATACGAAGTATTTTGCGTAGACAGCTGTTAATGAATACTTGTATCTTCTGGATGATGGCTTTGGTAGTTCTCCATGTTTCCGCTCCATACAGTAGAACTGTCTTGACATCTGTATTGAAAATCCTGATTTTGGTGTTGGTTGAAAGTTGTTTGGAGTTCCAGATATTTTTCAACTGTAGAAATGCAGCCCTTGCTTTGCCAATCCGTGCCCTCACATCTGCATCGGATCCACCTTTCTCGTCGATGATGCTGCCCAGATATGTAAAGTTGTTAACGTCCTCGAAAGCATCTCCATCAAGAGTGATTTGGTTGGTGCATGTTGTGTTGCATCGGAGAATTTCGCTTCGTCCTTTATGTATGTTTAGACCTACTGCTGCAGTGACTGCTGCTACACTGGTCGTCTTCTCTTGCATTTGTTGTTGAGTGTGCGATAGAAGAGCCAAGTCATCTGCGAAGTCCAGATCGTCCAGCTGCGTCCTAACTGTCCAGTTGATACCGTGCTTCCCTCCAGATGTTGACGTTTTCATAATCCAGTCGATCACTAGGAGAAAGAGAAAGGGTGAGAGTAAGCAACCTTGCCTGACACCGGTCTTCACCTCGAAAGAGTCTGTTAGCTGTCCTCCGTGTAAGATTTTGCACTTGAATCCATCATAATAATTCCGTATGATGTTGACTATTTTCTCAGGCACACCGTAGTGTCGAAGAAGCCTCCACAGTGTTTTCCTATCCACGCTATAGAATGCTTTCTCGTAGTCGATGAAGTTGATGTAGAGTGGTGAGTTCCATTTTATTGATTGTTCCACAATGATCCGTAATGTAGCAATTTGGTCAGTACACGATCGATCCCTACGAAATCCGGCCAGTCGATCTCGAAGCTGGACGTCTTCGAAGTCCTTCATTCTGTTTAACAATACCCTGTTGAAGATTTTGCCTGGTATTGAGAGAAGAGTGATGCCTCTGTAGTTCTCACACTTGCTGAGATCGCCTTTCTTCGGTATTTTGATCAGGTATCCTTCTTCCCGATCTGATGGTACTTGTTCCTCATCCCAAATCTTGTTGAAGAGAATTTGGAATATTTTTGCAGTTGCTTCCACGTCTGGTTTGATTGCCTCTGCTGGAATGTTGTCTGGTCCTGCTGCTTTGCAGCTCTTGATTTGTCTGATGGACATACTGATCTCCTCAATCGTAGGTACGCCAATATTAATTGGGAGGTCCGTAGATGCTGCTTCGATGTTGGGTGTGTTCAGTGGAGCTGGTCGATTCAAGAGTTCCTGAAAGTGCTCTACCCACCTATTTCGCTGTTGTTCAGTGTTGCTGATTACTTTGCCTTCCTTACTTTTCACTGGTCGTTCTGGTTTACGATAGTTTACGGCGAGCTTCTTTGTTGTTTCGTACAATTGTCTCATGTTTCCTTCTCTTGCAGCCTTTTCCGCCGTCATTGCTAGATCACCCACATATTTTCGTTTGTCAGCTCTGATGATCTTCTTCACTTCCCTGTTTGCTTCTGTGTATGCAGCTTGTGCGGTAACTTTCTCTGCTCTTGTTCGGCTGACATTGATTGCTGCCCTCTTGTTCCTCCTTTCTTTAATTTTTGCAAGAGTATCAACAGAGATCCATTCATTGTGATGGTACTTCTTGTGACTCGGAACTTCGTGACATGTTGAAGTGATTGCCTCCTTGATCCCTTTCCAATTGTACTCCAATGTTGCGTCCTCTCCATTGTGTAGATCCTGAAAGGCCTGGAACCTATTGGTGAGGGCTATCCTGAATTCGTTGAGCTTCACAGTATCCCGAAGAAAGGCCGTATTAAACTTCTGTGATGTTGTCTGTCCCGTTGTCCAGTGTTTCTTTAGTTTCAGTTTCATTTTGGCGATCAGCAAATGGTGATCTAAGGCTACATCAGCTCCTCTCTTGGTTCTCACATCCTCCATGGTCCTTCTGATTTTTTTGTTGATACAGATATGATCAATCTGGTTTTGAGTAGTGTGGTCCGGTGAAATCCATGTGGCTTTGTGTATACGTTTGTGCGGGAATATTGTGCCACCGATGACCAGTTTGTTGAAGGCACATAGGTTTGCAAATCTCTCACCGTTTTCGTTCCTTTCTCCCAGTCCATGTCGTCCCATGATGTCTTCATATCCAATGTTGTCCATTCCAACCTTGGCATTCAGGTCTCCCATAAGAATCGTCAAATCCTTTGGTGAACATTTCTCGACGATTGACTGCAGCCTTTCGTAGAATTGATCTTTAACGTCGTCATTGTAGTCATTGGTAGGTGCATAACATTGGATGACGTTCATTGTAATGTCCGCTTTATTTGTTTTGAAGGATGCTTTGATGATCCTAGGTCCATGAGATTCCCATCCTATTAGTGCCTTTTGTGCATGTTTGGACAGCATCAGTGCAACTCCTTGTGTATGTGAAGCATTTTCCTCTTCATGACCAGAGTATAACAACAGTTCCGCTGGAGCTAGTCTCAGTTGTCCTACTTGAGTCCAATGCGTTTCACTGATTCCAAGCACCTCGAGGTTGTATCTTTTCATTTCTGCCGCAACTTGAAATAGTCTTCCAGTTTCCCACAATGTACGAACGTTCCATGTACCTAAAAAAATGGTTGCTCTGGTTGTCAGAAGAGGCATCAGCCCCGTGACTTCCAAGGGAACTCGGCTTTCATCACGCGACGTCATAATTCTTCCTCCGACTCCTAGGGCAGAGTTAAAATGGTTTGAATTATTTTTTCTGGTTAGCGTTTTTTTGGCAAGTTAGATTTCGACGGAATGGGGTCGAAAACCCCATGTTCAACCCTTCTCCTTTATCCGGGCTTGGGACCGGCAGTAGCCCCGAAGGTTGTACTGGCGGAGTCATACGGCAAAATTACATATTACTAAATGGATAGAACATATCAGATGGATTTGTGTGTAGTAGGATAGTTGGTACGCTTTCTATTATGTTTGCGGATTGATTAATGTAATGTACATCCTTTTTTGGGATTGAAAAAACGCTTAGCCATCTTTGGAGGAATTCGTAAAATTAACAATCGTTTTTTCCACTTACTGGTTAAGTAGGGTTTGTATTAAAGGATAGTTATTCACGCAAGACGAAAAGTTAACAATTCTCTTAACTCAGTAAAGTTTAACAGAAAAATCTCTAATTCTAAATTGTGGAAGTTTTATTTTCTGACCTTTCACAACGAGTAGCTAACTTACAAAGTATATTATGTTCATCCAAACAGAGTACGGTTCTTGGACTGATTGGATGGTGATGTACTCTTTCTATGAGCTAATTCGATTATTAAGTTCTCCGTGTTGGTCTGAATAAAACCACCAGCTTCCTGCAATTAAACTATACATCTCAGAGGATTTTACACCACAAAACATTGGCCTGAGCTATAAATTGTCTTCATTATAATCTTAAAGTCTTGCTACTTTAAACGAATTTTTCTACAATTAATCTTCTAGATTGATAATCACAAACAAGTCACTAGTAAAACAGACTAGTAGTTAAAAACTCCTTGAACTGTCTTTTACATTTCATATCTATGAATATTTTTTTTTTGCAGTTTAATAGTCAATGAGTAAGTGTGTAGATACGATTAGATCCATTTCATTAACATGTTTTTGGTCGACTTCTTAAATTTGTACCTATTTACAAATTAAATGGGATACTAAATAAGGATGAAGATAAAGCTGGATGGCCTTTATATGCATATTTGTCTAATTTATAAGAATAGTTTGACGTAAATTGGGTACCAAGTATGTAGAAGACAGTATATGTGAAAATTATATTTGAAATAATGTCAACGACTGAAAGTTAAATAGTCTCAAGGTTTCGTTCAGCTGACTTTCTGAGCTTGGACGATCAGTACCATAAAACTTCTTTCAATAAGTTGCAAATTTTATCATGTAAATCAGATACGTTAATGAAATTGTATTTACTTATTTATCATCTATTAAATCCACAATATGTCACCACCCAAATGTCAACGTGTTACTCCCTGTTAACGAATATTCTTCTTCCCTGTTTCAGTTCAACTCTGAATCCAAAGTTGTATAGATCAGATAACAGGAGAATGCACTCACTACACATAGAAAATTGGAACCAAGATATTATTGTTTTGCTATAGTCATAATACCTTTAGACTGGTGAGCTTGAATTCAGTTCCAGTTTTCGAATTCTCATAGTTTGAAACAAGGCGGTACCATCATTCAGTGGCGTAACTGATAACAGTTTCAATTTCGATATCATTTATTTCAAATATGACAAATTCACACTAGGATATCGGGAATTCTTCTAGAAGCGTACGATTATCATTATTACTTTAATGAGTGGTTCGTGGATATTTGTTCATGTTGAAACGAGTTAATCCTCCCTCATTATCAATGATTCTCTGAATAAACTAACAGTCATAAAAAAGGACAAACGAACAAGTTTGAACAAACTAACTATCCATAGACAGACACCAGATTAATCTAATTTGAATTACTTGAATGATAAGTAGTCTACTTTACAATTGTTAATTATTGTTATAAATATATCGATTCATAAACCTACTTCAGTTTCATATTTATCTTGTACCATACTCATTTCTTCTAATTGATGACTAAGTACACCTCGTTCATGTAACATAAAAGATAAACGACGTTGTAATAAATCTAGTTGACAATTTTTTTCAGATAATTGTAATAAAAAATCCTCTACTGAAGTATCGTTATTTTCAATCTATAAAAGCAAAAGAGTTATTTTTATAAAAACAGTTAATATTACATGTATAGATTTTTCAAAAACAGATTAATTTGACCATTTTGATAAATTTGAGCTTCAAGAAAGTTAACGAGCCAACTTTAAAATATCATTGAATATAGATAATTAGAATTTGTGCATACAATTAATCTATTAACTTAATTAATGAGGAAATAAAATAAACTCACTGATGTTCTGATAAAAAAGAAACGAAGGCATTCGAACTACACAAACTAACTAAATAGGAAAAAACAAAGGCTGAAGAGTATGTTAAATAAACTAACTAACTAACAACCAGTGGATAGAAACTGCTTTCTATAAGTATTGGAAATTTCACTAAAATTCAAAAATAATAAAGTACTATATCTTCTTTGTAACTATTACAAAACGAGTTCTGATTGAAATCATATGGATTTGCACTAGAAGGCTAATCAATCATTTAATTTTGACTGGTCTAACAAATGAATAAACTCTTCAACAGGAACTGTTATTCAAACAATGCGTCCACAAGAATTTCTACAAGTTTATTTCTTTGTATTTGAGATAGTTCTTATCGCTTTCAATAGCAAACAAAAAGCTTTATTTGATTGACTTGTAATAAGTCAAACAACTAGCAAATTGCTAATTGGTCGACCACTTAAATTTTCATGATGTACAATGTTTGTTTGAGAAATCATAATTCTATGCTTCCATAACAGAAGAAATTACAAGTGATCATTAGTTAAAAGAGAAAGAGTATAGTAAGAGTACTGTTCATTAATATACAATTTACGACTATTCCTATGACTATATTATTGATAAAATAAAAGAATAAACTGTTTTGGAAAACCTAACTTATGAACAGACTAGTATTAAACTATCAACTGTATCGTAAAATACTTGATGGAATGTGCTTTAAAAAAAGTATGAGAAATGAAAAATTTCATATTTCCACCGACAAGTTCGGCTGTTTGTGATAAGTTTTATCAGCCAATTATATTTAAACAAATTATAACTTAGATCAACTGTTTCGTCTGCTTATGTATCATGTAGGAAAGCTGAAAAAGAACAGCTGCAATGATATATCAGTATGGGGTTCGGGAGATTGTTGAGTTTCACGGAAATCATGAAGCGATAAATGACAGACCACCATTAGAAAGCTGGAACCGCTGGATGTCACGTCATAACAGTACAACCTGTGAACAACAATATACTATTCATAAATTTTCCATCTGAATAAAGTAAGCAAATCAACTGATGTAATTCACCAGCTGAATATTAATTTTTGTATCGAATTTCAAGTCTAATTTGCTATGATGGGTAGTTATTTCATCGTGAGATTATTTATTACGTTGTTAAGATAATTAGATACGAAAAATGAATCTGTAATTCAGTAAACAGAAATAAACGGTTTGAACAAATGAACCATAAGTTTACAAATTATTTGTTTCCTGGTAAGGATCAATTTATCAATCTATACGTTGGGTAGTTTTCTGAGTTCAAGCTTATGCATTCTTATCATTACTTTTCCACTTAGAACTGATGTTGTGTAGAAAACCATTGAACAACATCAAGTTTGGAGACGCCAAACAGTATATGAAATAGGCTGAAAACGGTGTTCAGTGTTTCTCTTGTCCTTTAACGATTTCCTCGACGATTTATAATTGGAGACAATACGGCTTAGACAATTAAATACTTTACAAGAAAAACACCTTTTTTCAACAACCACAAAATAAAACAACATGCGAACAAAAAATTACTAACATTTTGTTTGTACGTATCACACTCAATGTTTTCATTGGATCCTAAAATGAATAGAAATCAAACATACAAGGAGAAATAGTAAACATTTAAAGTGCAAATCAATAAGTAACGTGAATGATAGATTCCTAAATTGATTGATTGAGGGTTGTTAGAAAATCTTACTCTGAACACACGATACATTCAACATAAAGTCACTGAAACTAAACTGAAAGCGGATCGATTCCGATTTGATCAACACCAAAGTGAGTGCATGAACACCACCTTAGTTGTGACGAAATTATGTATATATATAAAGCATAGATGTTAACCTCGAAGCCGAATAGAATAATCAAAGGATTTCACAAAATGGTAGAATATCTACGTATCGAATGGTCAGTCATTCACTTTCATTCTTCTAACGGTTTTCTAATCGATACGAGCTTCAAACAAGAGTAGCTGAAACAAACTGTATCCCTAAATCTTATCTGGCACAAAACAAAGTACATCCGTACCTTTCTCTGTAAAAATATACATACTAAGAAAGTGTTGAAAACTGGTTTTTAACATAAATAAACCTTTCAAGGTCAATAGTGGTACAGACAGGCGCTATATGTCGTTTTTGCCCCATACACAGATGATCGAACCAGAATTAAGATCGATCAAACTTCATTGCACCCAACTAATCTTATGACAGATAGAACAATTAAGCAATTTTTTCTTCATCAAACATCACAGAAGTAACATAAAACTCAGAAGTAAAATGATAATCCCGATGAAGTATTTACGAATATGCATAAAATGGACGAAAAGTACTATCAATCAAGTTATAAAGCGTCTAAGATACCTTATTATGTGTTTGTATTTCGATTATGTATAGACATGTCCCTTATGGGTTGTTGATATGTCAATGACCACAAAGAATGTCAATGCCTTACCAGAAAACTACCAACCAGTTATAAGTTTAATAACTTTTCAATGATATGTATAAAGCACAATTGTGTAAAATAAATTCACTGACCATACGAAATCCCTATATATGGATGATTAATATTAATACCGACAAGTGGTCCTTCTAATGATGAGCTTACATCATATGATAAATCAATTTCTTGTAAAAATACAGGCTGATTCAGAGCAACTATTCTAAAATATTTTGAGTTATTGAAAACTACAAAAGTTCAAAATAGTCATTATTGAATCGACTGTTAATAATACGATGATTTTTTCGTACAACAATCACGGGTAGTAATCTGGACTAAGATAACTTAATTCACCTTCTTTGTAGTTACATTACACTGAAAACATCGATAGATACACTTGATTGTTGTTAGTGGTTGGATCATCTGAATAGTGATTACTTAAACTTGATGTAGGTTTTGTCACTGAATGATTTCAGGTGTAGAGGATTTGAAAACTCAGCATCACTAGAGAGTAGTTCCATCTTAGTGTGAGATTCGTTAGCACCACTTATATATGACTGCGCCTTGGATAGAGGCGCACATTGTATTTAGTCTGTTGAGTAGCAAATCGAACCATCCACATTTCCATAGTAAACAATATTACGAAATAGCACAACTACCATACAATCCCATCAACTATGCACTCTTAATCTTCAATAAGGTTGAACCAAGCAGGTCAAGTCGTTACTTCAGAATTTTGAGAATTTATTTCAAAGCCAGTCGCGAGTTAACACATTATTTGGTTGCTTAGATAAGCCCAACTTTCAAACAGCGTTACACATGATATGACGTCAGACAATATATCAAGAGCATTACAGAGTTGTCACATTCCAGTTTAAAACATTTAAGCAGTCTGTACTCACCACCAACACCTTCAAGTACAGTGATCAGTGCGTTATCCCTAAACCTTTAAACACCGAATTAGATAGTCAATTTTTCCAAATCATGGCATCACTGCTAGTCTGTCAGTATCCACTTCTTAATAACACCAGTCACTGGTAGAAACATAGATAACGTTAGTATCTCTGATACTGTAGTATCATGAGCAGTGATAAAGTCTTCACAAAACTATTGATCTTGTTCTCATTTTTATTTTCTATTGTTTACCTTGTGGTTTACAATTATTTGTAGAAGAAATTGGGTCAGTGAATTCACCATGTCGGTTATCTCGAACACACCATAAATTAGCAATTTCTTTTTTCAAAAATTCATTTTCTTGTAAAAGCAAAAAATTTTTATGTGATAACATTTTACACTTTGACCAATGTTTAGTATTTAATTCAAACAGGTGACGAATCTGTTGAAAATGAAAAAAAGTAAAACAAAGATAATTTTATGCTAAAGTGTACATTGAATTTGATAGAAATTAACTCACAAATTTATATGATGCATTTAATCAATCAACCATCAACTTCTTTTTATAATACCTACCTTTCTCGCTCCCTGTGTTTGTTAAATCAAAAGTCAAATCATTAAGAAAAGTACCATCTATGGAAACTCAATTTCCATTGTCATATTATATAGACAACGGAGTCAACAGAAATCAGTTTAAAATTAGAACTATCGGCATTGACTACTTAACAAACCTAATGGAATTATGGTGTTTAGCCCAGATAACCTAATGACGAAGCCTTCTGGACATTGATTTGGAGCTTCTGTCTGTAATAATTAGCGATGTGGTTTTAAAGACAGTGACAGTAATTGATTGTATCTGTAGCATGCGAACTTCTATGCCTTCAGACAAGTTAGTTAATCCATTCTGCTTGAGTTACTTACACAACTCTCGACCTTGTCAACTATTCACTTATAACTTGGTTGTTTCCATTTGAGTAAATGTATACATACATGCCTACTTCGCTTATTACATGTCTAGCTTACATTTATCTGACTAGAAATACTTAGTCATATCTCATCACAAGGAGTTGGTTCTTTCGCCTCCGTTACGCCTTCCTTTGCTTGTACACTTCATTCTCATGTCTGTCTGCCTAAATGAAATAAATTCAACCATGTGAATTCATATTTGGCTTCTCATTACCGTGGTCGCCGTGGTTGGCCCAAGAAATGGAATGGAAGATTTATTTCATAGCACATCCAACAATTAATCAAAATAGGAGTCAGGTTGCGGGTTACAAAAGTGATGAGCCCTACTTCGAATTTAACACAGCCACTAAATATTCAGACATATATATTTTCATGTGCGTATGCCTTTTCATTCACTGAAAAGTTAATCTTCGGCCATGTAACCAACTGACGTTTATTTCTTAGGCGGATAAGTTGGACGTATATCGAGACGTGTCTGTTGACCGAATCCAACCAATCAACTCTATTTGAAATAAGCTGTGATGGCGTTATCTAGAACGAAAATGAATCTCATTATTGAAAACATTCATATCACAGGATAAAAAATTCATAAAATTATCCACCCGAGTTACTAATTTTCTTCATCTCACTCAGCTAACAACAGTAATCAATTTTTGTCAGAGTGTACCTGCAATTGTGAATAAACCAACCCTATTATTTTTGAATGTAAAACTATTGACTTCTATTAGACAACTACGTACTTACAGTTATCGTTATCAAAGTTTAACTTGATAATTTCACATAAACTGAGCATTGGATTGATTTAAGATAATAAAATTAGTAATGTATTAGTAACACTCCACTGAATAGATGTACAACTGACAACACATTTACTTGATCAGACCTGTTTTGTGATTGGCTGATTGATTGTACGAAATATTTCTGCACTGTTCTTGTGTACTACGTAAACTTCGTTTATTTTAGTTTTTTTATTTATTTTCTGATGAAGTAGCTTACACAACGTCAGGAAACGCCATGAAAAGTCTTAACTTTTCTACTCATTACGATATTACAAATCTGTTGTTTATTAGGAACTATGTAGTTACTGAATTTGCTAGACTCAAAGTCACCCAGTCAAGAAAACAACATGTTAACACTGGAATAAAACAGGCAATATCAATAGGTATAAGGCATATGAAACGTTGTCAAGTTTTCATCGTTGATGAAATTATATGTGGCAGACATAAGTGAAGCCTCATTATTTGCCTGCGACCTAACTTGCAGTCACATCATTTTAATTCAATGCTTTATCCGTAGATAATAATTTTGATTGTCCCATTTAACTAAACAGTATCGGTCCCGTGAAAAATTATTGATTCAACTACTTCAATGATTGCAGTATTTTTTTTAATCAAGTCAATAATATCGTTGTCTTTAAACAATAAAATCCACAATAAATATGCCATCAACTACAAAAACATTATCATATCCGATGAAAAAAAATATTTTCATCAATCCGAGAAATAAAAGATTGTCATTATTATTTTTTCGTGAGAGAAAAATAAGCCTGAATAGCTCTAAAATTTATCAGTTTAAATTCAAATAACCTAGTGAAATCATTAATATATTGGGAAAAGTATGGAAAAGTAATAAATTATCATTCTACACCTAGCCTACATTTTACTGCTTAAAATACTGAATTTATCCTTTATGAGAAATAATTTTGCCGCAGATTTACATCTGCTGATGAACCACTGAGAAATCAATGAGTCCCGAGGAGATGTTTGATCAGAACTTTTGAAAATTTAGAAATGCACATCTACCAGCTCGTACACATAGGACTGGTTGTAAGTGCTCTCAAATTAGTTGTTCCAAATTAGTTCAGGATAACTGTCAACTTACTTACTTACTTACGCCTGTTACCCCCAATGGAGCATAGGCCGCCCACCAGCTTTCTACAACCAACTCTGTCCTGGGCTTCTCTCTCCAGTTCTGTCCAATGTTTGTTCATTCCTCTCATATCTTACTCTATTTCTAGGCGTAATGTGTTCCTTCGCCTTCCTCTTTTCCTTTTACCTTGAAGGTTCCAAGTGAGGACTTGTCTTGTGACGCAGTTAGACGCTTTTCGCAGTGTGTGTCCTATCCACTTCCACCGCTTCTTCCTCATTTCCTCCTCCACTGGAATCTGGTTTGTTCTCTCCCACAGTACGTTGTTGCTGATGGTGTCTGACCAACGAATACGAAGTATTTTGCGTAGACAGCTGTTAATGAATACTTGTATCTTCTGGATGATGGCTTTGGTAGTTCTCCATGTTTCCGCTCCATACAGTAGAACTGTCTTGACATCTGTATTGAAAATCCTGATTTTGGTGTTGGTTGAAAGTTGTTTGGAGTTCCAGATATTTTTCAACTGTAGAAATGCAGCCCTTGCTTTGCCAATCCGTGCCCTCACATCTGCATCGGATCCTCCTTGGTTGTCGATGATGCTGCCAAGATATGTGAAGGTGTTAACGTCCTCCAAGGCATCTCCATCAAGAGTGATTTGGTTGGTGCATGTTGTGTTGCATCGGAGAATTTTGCTTTTTCCTTTATGTATGTTTAGACCTACTGCTGCAGAGGCTGCTGCTACACTGGTCGTCTTCTCTTGCATTTGTTGTTGCGTGTGCGATAGAAGAGCCAAGTCATCTGCGAAGTCCAGATCGTCCAGCTGCGTCCTAACTGTCCAGTTGATACCGTGCTTCCCTCCAGACGTCAAGTGATTCCATAATCCTTAATGGTTTTTTTTTGTTGATGAAATTCCGTGAAGTAATCTTTCCTCGGAATTGACTGGTCATTAGATCCTAACCAAATAAATGACTTTTAGACTATTGACGAAATCCAACACTCACATTATTATTATTATTACCCTGCTATGGATATATAACATCAAAACCGTACTGATCATGAAGTTATCTGCCGTTAACTAACTCTAGACAGTACCAGGAGAAATTGCTTCACGCTATAGCGAGGTGTAGTATGAATAAGCTCAAGCCAAATCGTGAGTTTTTTCACAGAACTACCACAAATAATATTGTGTTAATATCTGGTAACACAGCGTTAATTTGTAATACAACGATTGTCAATCTATGATAACATCATTCTAAGGAATAGGACAACCTTCTAGTTATCAGTTGTGTGTAGTTAAGTCTCTAATTACATGTTTGGAAGATTAAATGTAGGTTAATAAATAAAAAAGAATTGAAAAAAATACTGGACGACTGAAACAACTAGACCATTTTTATCATATCCAGGTAACGCAAATTTTCATCAATCAAAGCGATAGTCCGAAGAACATATTTAAATGATGTTATTCCTCTTCATACTATATACCAACTTATTAGTGTTAATGCACTGAAACTTTGTACCAATTTATATCAGTCAGAGAAAAAATCTATAATTATAAGCATCGGATACTAATATATCATGCCTTCAGATACATTCATATTAATACGATGGGCAATTTGCAAAGATCAATATTCTGCCCGGTTATCAGTTATCCTCTTAAATTTACTGTTTTTCTCTTAAAAACAACTTAATATCCTTAGAAAACAATTTATTTTGCTTTTTTTACGAAATAAAGTAAAAGACGACAAAATATACATGCTGATTTAAACAAATACTATTCGTTTTCTGTCTTTCTATCCTAATTTACCTTAACATCTATGCGTGCACACATGTATGCTTGCACACATCACAATTTTGTGTCCTGTTTATTCATCCAACACAGACATTAGATTTTTCGCTACCCACTTTTATTTAACCATTGACTGACTGTAAAGAATAAGTCTAATGACAACAAAAACTAAGCTAGAATAACGCATATAAGCAAACAACATTTGTTGTTATTTAGATCTTTATCAAGCTGCACTCTGATGTACATTAGATGTGTACAACTGTCAATATTACAAAATGGAAAAATAGCTCGTTTGAAACTTAGAACCTCTGTATAAATCATTCATAAAGAGAAATTTCGCAGATGTTTTACATTTCATCTTCAAAGTGGACGATGTAAATGTGAGTAGAAACCGTCTGGTTTCTTTGGATATCGCATATTTTATTCAGCAATGTGTCAAAAGTTGAAATAATCGAGTTTATGTGTAAACATATATCAAACAAAACAAATGAACATTGGCTTCCTTGAGAATAATCTTGAAGAATTAATTTTTTCTTTTATCGTCAAAAATATTTATTCCAGACAATTTGAGTAGAGTTATTCCTGACAAAACTAGAGTATAAACACCTTAAAGAGGTTAATGGGAAACTTGATTTCTAACTTCTTTATATAGATGACAACAAATATGCCATCGTCCATGAGAATATCAATGGAGAAGAAATCTTCAGTCAGTTTAATGATGTATACTTGAAGAACACTTTCACTAGTGACAAAGCATGTGACGACAAATTTTATTTCCTCGACATCGCATTAAATCGATGAGATAGCTTGTTTAACAGAAGCGTGTATCGAAAGAGATCCTCTTGGTGTCAACACACGCGCCTTTTTAATCGTGCACTTCCTCGGTACAACAGAAATTTGTTTCAATGTCTTACAAAAAGAGAAAGACAATCTGTTCAAACGATTCTATAAAAATGAGTTAAAATTTATTAATGACAAACCGTTCTAAATATTTTTAGTGAAGCATACGGGTAAAGGAAGTGAGAAATTTGATACATAGATCGGGTAAAATAAGTTTCTCTCCCAAACAATATGATTTACCAGGGATGTAGCTAGTAATTCTCGTGATAATAAACTATTGAAGATGACTAAAATGTACTTCTACGGATTTAATCTTACTCTGTCAATTTCCAGTTGATTAGTGATACTTATGCGAGCGAAGCACAGGTTGTCTGATTTAAATTCATAGATTTTTATCAACAGATTCACCTTCTCCTGTGGAGGTACCGCTGGACGATTTAACCAACGAACGAGTGAACATAGACCTGCACAGTTTGGAAAGGGTTAAGTAAAGACAGTCGACAGTCGTCATGTGATAGATAAAACTGAAACATTCCAAATGATCAACGTATATCATCTTAACAGTTACTTAATGAAATCCGATCCCGTTTCCAATATATACAGAAACTCTGGAGTTGACAACCCTAATTTGTTCATTCAGAAGAAATTCACTATAGATTTGTCTCTTTCCCGTCTAGACTTAATAAAGTCTTTGACTAATCTAATCATATTCTTTACACATTTGAAATCACCAATGAATCATTGTTAGACCACCGTTAGAAACCTGGAAGCACTGGACGGCCATTTCGTCCTAGTATTGGACTCCTCAGCAGTGAGCACCCACGACTCCTGCTCCTCGCAGGATTCGAACCCGGGACCTTTGGCATTGTAGGCGAACGCCTTACCATCGGACCACTGAGCCGGCATCCAACACTGTTAATGTCTAACTCTGATTGATCTAGGGACTTTGCGCTACCTCACCCATTTGTCTTCGGTAGTTACTGCCTACACCCGACAGGGTTGAACTCCACTGGTCACGTCTTCTCAACTAGAACTCCGAGAATTTCCTCACGAAGCTAGTCACTAGTGAGCACTTTTACGATATTTTGGGGCACAGTTTTGGAAGTTTGTGTTTTTACACATTTGAAATCATCAATCAATCATTGTTAGACCACCATTAGAAACCGATGGTAAGGCGTTCGCCAACAGTGCCAGAGGTCCCGGGTTCGAATCCTGCGAGGAGCAGGAGTCGTGGGTGCTCACTGCTGAGGAGTCCAATACTAGGACGAAACGGCCGTCCAGTGCTTCCAGGTTTCTAATGGTGGTCTAACAATGATTGATCGATGATTTCAAATGTGTAAAAACGCAAACCTCCAAAACTGTGCCCCTAAATATCATATTCTTTGAATTTCTTCAGTCACGCCCTTCCTTTATTATTAATAATGATAATATTATTATTATTTTTGATTATCTAATCATGTAATCTACCTATCACTGACTCATAAACTGCCTTCATTAGTTTATATATTGGAGTAAAGCTTGAAGATCGAACTGAAACCAACATTATACGTTTATGTGTGATTTTAGCTTAGACAAAATTTTCAATGTTTTTAAAAATTTATTTATTCTTCTTAGCCTGATACGATCAAATACGTAACAGTGTGTATGTGCATGTAATGAAGACGATTCATTTCTTTTGTTGATATTATTTTAGAAGGAATATGATCAGAGACAATTGAGGTAATATGAACTTTCTTAAAGGACATTTCCATATTACTACTCGAAGTTTCTTACAATTTAGAAAAGTCATTCAATTCCCTGGATAAAATAAAATGTTTTTTCAGATGACTTACTTACTTTCGCCTGTTATTCCCAATGGATCATAGGCCGCCCACCAGTTTTCTACAACCAACTCTGTCCTGGGCTTCTCTCTCCAGTTCTGTCCAATGTTTGTTCATTCCTCTCATATCTTACTCTATTTCTAGGCGTAATGTGTTCCTTCGCCTTCCTCTTTTCCTTTTACCTTGAAGGTTCCAAGTGAGGACTTGTCTTGTGACGCAGTTAGACGCTTTTCGCAGTGTGTGTCCTATCCACTTCCACCGCTTCTTCCTCATTTCCTCCTCCACTGGAATCTGGTTTGTTCTCTCCCACAGTACGTTGTTGCTGATGGTGTCTGACCAACGAATACGAAGTATTTTGCGTAGACAGCTGTTAATGAATACTTGTATCTTCTGGATGATGGCTTTGGTAGTTCTCCATGTTTCCGCTCCATACAGTAGAACTGTCTTGACATCTGTATTGAAAATCCTGATTTTGGTGTTGGTTGAAAGTTGTTTGGAGTTCCAGATATTTTTCAACTGTAGAAATGCAGCCCTTGCTTTGCCAATCCGTGCCCTCACATCTGCATCGGATCCTCCTTGGTTGTCGATGATGCTGCCAAGATATGTGAAGGTGTTAACGTCCTCCAAGACATCTCCATCAAGAGTGATTTGGTTGGTGCATGTTGTGTTGCATCGGAGAATTTCGCTTCGTCCTTTATGTATGAGAGAGACCTACTGCTTCAGTGACTGCTGCTACACTGGTTTTATTCATTAAAGATTTATTAACGACGTATTAAGAAGCACTAATTTGTATTTACTATCAAGGAAACTTTAGGGTTCCGATTTAATAAACAGTGCAGTGAACACATTCATCGTGTTAACTTACCTCTTGTTCTAAAGCCATACATTGATTCTTCCACCAACGGACTGTTGATGACAATTCCAGTAATTGTGTTCTTGTAGGCTAGGGATTAAAACAGATGCACTAAAGTGCTTAGCAGTAAATCCCTGAATACTGTTTAGCTTATAAAAAAATTGGTGGAAAAAATATTTATCTGATAATGAAACATGTTTTCATGCAAAAATTGTCAAAAACCACTGGGTAATTGTGTTCAAACTAGTATATGACTAATAAAACAGTGTGTATCTACAATTTTACAATATGAATGTGAAATCATGAGTAGTTTATACCAAGTCACTATATATTACTTATTGAGTAGTATATTATGAAATTGTTTCCTTTTCAGATTCTTTGTGTCATAGTGATTGTTTCGAAATATACAGTAGGTATGTTGTGCCCAACTATCTTTTTCAGCTACTATAGTGGGTAAATCTTCATTTTGGCGTGTAGTTTTTACCAAGTATTTCACTTTATTCGCTTAACGCTTATTAGTGCAGTTGTCAAGTCATAAAAATTTCAATATATATATATTGTAGACTAAAATGTAAGATGAAAAACATGAACATTATCAAACATTATCGAATTGTGTTCTCTTCTTCCATACCAGTCTTTGATAATCGAACAAAGGACTGAAGGTGATCACACATTTCTAGCCGAATTAATCGGTTATATATAAAATATAACGGATGCAAATGACAGAACTAAGAAAGTTTAAAAAATATTTAATCAATAAAAGGACAGACCAATAACCACCAATGTAAATCTACGAGACAAACACTGGTGGTAGTGAAAACTGAAATACTTTATTATATTTATATCAACTGTTTAGAATAAAACTAATCTTTTGTACATAAGTGTTATTGGCATAAAGACTAGAGTAAGTGTATTCCCTTTTGGATTAGTCTCGGTATTTGCTGAACAGTTTATTTGAATAAATAAAGTCATTTTCACTTTGTGTTTAATTGTATTTAACTATTCGTTTTGATATTTTTTCATTTATTCACTGCTGTAACACTGCTTTACTTTCCCACCCCTCCTTACATGAGGTAATAAAAGAGTGAAATATGAGCATTTTAATATTTGTGAAAAAAATTGTATTTTCACTAGTTTTTACATTTTCGACGCTTAAAAAACTATTTGCATGACTGGAATGCTGTTGAGTATTTTTTTCACAGATGTTAAAGTGAAAGTGATGTGGAAGATACTGACTAAAAATAAACAATCCGTAACACTGGCATTGTGGTGCGCGCTACTTATAAGTAGTATATGATGCGAGTGAAAACGTAATGTCTGGCAGCACAAGATGGGGGAAGATCAAGAAAGGAAGAGTGGGAACACAATGGAATTTGTATGAAACGCATGAATAGTGAAATGTCAGACAATGGATTGATGATGGATTGAAGATTTGTAAATTAACGGTTACGATATGGTTTCCTATTTTACTGAGTAACTCTGTAATTTTCGTTTAATACAATTCGGTTGCCCTCACCGGTGTTCTCCTTCACTACAGCATAAGTGAAAAAAAAGTTAAATAAATGGAGCATGGTCACTACCGAATTACTATGTCTTCATGGAAAGTTGCTTTGAATTTACGTAAGAACTTAACATTTCATTTTTAGACTTGATGATAATACCTTAAAATAGATGAATGGGTTGGCCACAGCCCCATAAAATTATTCAATTTGTCCTACGAAAAAAACTTTAAAACAAGGTTTTGTGACAAATAAATTAATGCTAGTTACATCAATAACTTTGACTATAAAAAAGCCGGAAATTATACCTAATTTGTACAGTGTATATGATGCACAATACGTCTATGAAGCATATGTCTAACATTAAAATAACATTCTAAAGCATCTAGATTGATAAAATTGATGCGGTTTCACTACTCTCTTAGTGATTAAAACTTAAAACAGTGGATTTCTATGTGAACAGATTAGAATAATAACAAAAAAATTCAACTGTATACTTTTGGTACTTACTTGATGGTTATTTAAAAATCCAGCTGATTTACTTCCAACATCTGGTGATGTGTTCAACAGTTCAATAGCTTGAATAAATGAAAGAATCACAAGATCAAGTAAACTCAAAGGTCAGTCAGCTACAAGGTAGAACTTCATAAGTACATACATCAATTCAAGTTTCTAAACCACATTAGCACAGAGATTTAACTGTCAATTCAAATCGCATAGCTTTAGAGATAGTAGAAGTGTAAGCAGTAATCGTTAGGATTAGAGTTTGAAGTTGTTATTTATGAAGTAGAATCTAGTGAAATCTACTTAAAAAGCGAAAGATGAAGGTGATGAGAAATTCAGAAGATTAAGATATGAAAGAAGAAAAACAGTGGGTGCAAGTGCGCCATTGCAAACTATTTTGAGCCATATCATTCAAAGTCTCTAACCATCGGTTATTGTCGCCTCGCGGAGGCCAATGAGGTAGTCGACATCTACCGACATGACTCAATCCACTTGTCAGTGACTTCATGGATTTCTACCATGTTTTGGTCTGACCGCCCTAGCTTTCTTCCAGCCTATTCCTACACTACAAAACATAGCTCGACGAGGCAGTCGGTGGTCAGGTATACATAACACATATCCCAACCACCTCAACTGATGAAGTTTCAATACTTCATCTATTGATCTGCCATCCTTAACTAGTACCCGTTTCCTAATAACATCGTTGCTCACTCGGTTGTCCCATGATACACGAGCAATGCTTCGGAGACACCTATGATAGAATACTATTAACCTAAGAATATCTTCTACTCTGACTGGCCATGTTTCGCAGCCATAAAGTAGGACGGAGCGAACTCCTGTGCAGTACACTCGTCGTTTAATCAGCAAACTGATATCTCGCCTTCGCCCTCAGTGACGTAAATCGACAAAACCAATCGAACCTTCCGCATTCGTGCTGAGATTTCGTCATATACCAGGCCATCAGCACTGATGAGACTCCTCAGGTAAGTGAAGTGGTCAACACGCTCAACTGCTTCACTTCCTATCACTAGTTCAGGTGCCGTTGGAACCCAATCTCGAACAACATTTTGCATTTCGTGGTGGAAATTCGCATTCTCAACACAAACTCAGAAAGTTTACATTTGTAAACATATGACACTGAATTTCCAGTTTATCCTAATTTTCAGATTGATTTCAATTAATAGAATTAGTTAAATTAGTTTTGAAAGTAAGTTATGAACATTAGTGATGGAAAGATAAATGGAAAATTAAAATATTTTAACGATCAATATGTAAACATACAAATATAGTCCACAGAACAATAAATCGTGTTCCTTTCTAATTAGATCAATAGTGAATAGTTAATCGCTTGGAAAACTATGACTGACCAAACTCAACAGAACAAAAGCAAATAATTAACTACAAATTTTCTAGAGCTTTTCCTTAGCTGATTACTGATCCATAAAAAAAAACGTTTTCTGCGGTGAAGCATAGTTAACCAATAGTACCATCAACAACAACAATGATGAATTTAGTTTGTTCTACATTTTAAATTCATTGAAATTAGAAATCACTACAAAACAATAATAATTTGATGCACTGAGCTAAATGAAATCAATGCAAGTTCTGAATTTAATCGTGTGTTAGAGAGGGACTGGGGTTATGTAGATGTAGATGTAACCCACATTAGAGTAAGGCAGTTTTTCTAGAGATCCTCGGTTTTTTTCCGAATGCTTCTACAAATTGCACCATTCAATGATGTGGATCGCTTTCAAAATCTTCATTGAATAAAAACAAGCTAACATTTAAAAATCCATTTACTACATAAGTTTATATGCCAAGTTGTGACTGATTACTCCACAAAAATGAGAATTAAAAAAACCATTAGCGAATTATTGATAAAATAATTAGTTAGTCAACAAAACCAATGTCTACTCGTAAAAATCATCCGCATAACCTTGGTGTTTTCGAGACATATATAATAGAAGTTACTGTCCGACACCACAAAATGAAAGTACCAACGCCTCAGGACTGACCAAACAGGAGATTTCACCTTATCCAATTCATTTCACATCCCCTAGACAGTGCTGCATAAATTCATATAAATATAATGAGAGCATCGTAAGAAATCGAAATTTCTCTCTTTCATCTATTTGAAGTTCAACTAACAAAGATTGTGAGATTCTTCCAAACTATGGGTTTATGAAATATATATGGCAACAGATATTTTAAAACTTAAACTGAATAAATGATCACTTCTGATCATATTTCATTTCCTTTTTACTTAAACATCAGGTTTATTCATGTGTATTAAATTAAGAAAAGCTTGAAATTACAAAAATGACAAAAAAAGTGGTTGCATAAATCAACTGTGTTTAGCCAAGGATGCAAACAGAGAAATTTAGTGAACAAGTAAAAACTTAGATTATGTAGAATGAGATTCCTTCGACAACTACTCACTTCAACAAAATGAAAGTGGAACAATACTTTCCCCAAATTACCATTTCGTTGAAGTTATGGATCTTTATGTAATTGCGAAAGCAAATACTTAGGAAGAGCTAGGCGATAAAGTTCCACAAGTTTTCTGGATATATGTGCCGTGACCTATACCTGAAAAATTCAATAACTTTCTAAGTACGTTTACAGGACAGAAAGTGATTGTCGTCAAAGTCTTTGGAATAATCGACAAATAAATTCGCCTGACTTTTCGGGAGTCACTGTCGTTAAATATTCTCAATCATACAAGTCTATACAGAATGAAAATATGGTTAAGCCTTTTGTGTTTTGATAACGAGAACTGATCTAAACAATTCTCATTTATTACATAGACATACTGTAATCTAAATTACACTGAGTGACACTGTTTCCATGCTTTTTTCTAAACTTTCTATCTTCCATTTTAGACTTCCGTTTCAATATACCAACTAGATTTAGCCAATTATCGCATCATTCTTGCTAATAGCGAAATTCGATCACCTAACTTATTGTCCAACCACTTTAACAATCGATTTTGAAATAGATCCCTGAGTGAATAATGAATAAAGTAAGAATTAAAATATGAAGTAATGAAATAAAAATGCTTCAATGGTTTCATTTAATATTGAGCAGACATGAAATCAATGTTTGCTTAAGAAATTTGTTACAACTGGTGATTTAATATGCTTCCCAGTTAATCCACCTCTTCGGCCATTTTAAGTGTCATTGAATTTTTTGAAACGAACATGTGTATGCTCGGCTTAATTTAATTTTTAAATTTTAATTCTTTTTAAAAAAAGAAACGTTACATGCGATTATAAAACCAGGTTGCTGAAGTTGTCGAAAAACGAATGAATTTATTGGAATTTTCAAGTTTAGTTTTTACCATGCGATGATATCATGTAGTTTGCAGAAAATTAAATTACTTGAAAATATATTTCGAACACTTTTTAAGATTATCAATAAGACAAAAAATTAGTTTTTGTTTTAGACTGAACTAGCAAACTGTATGTATCATACCACTACTGATTAGGTCGTGTTTAGTAATTGTTTCCCATTAGTGTAGGAACATTATGACTAACTCTACGTTTTATTATTGAATGGGTTTTTAATGAGATATTTCATATGATAGGAAATTTTATTGCAAACTGATTATAGATATAGTAAAACCTAGGGAAAATTCAGATAGCTTTTCAATGCAAATGATAAATTGCTCCACAGTATACCCTATTGACCTCCATAACGATTTCAAATCAAAAAAATGAATTATTTTAGTAATCAAAGAAAAGACGAATCTCTACTGATAGAATAGCACAATAATTGTGTCATATTGCAAGCTGATAAATATTTAGAAAAGTGGATTGTTACACATCGGCTCAGTGATTTAATAATATCATGCTCAGAACACGGTTAAGATGTTCCGTAATGTATATTGTATGAAGTAGAAGAAATCCTCTGCCGAGAAGTCTCTAACTAAAACTTTACAGTTCCTTAGTACTTTCTTTCATTCGGTGGTTTTTCCTTAATCAGTGTTAATCAAAGATGCAAAGCCATTTATATGATTGTGTATAGTAATGCCTTTAACTCTTTAACGTACAAATTAAATACTATTTCCTTTGAGAAATTCTTTTTGACCACCCAGTTGGTATACAATTAGTTTTTCCGAAATGTTATAAGCTTATTAGATATTGAACAAACATATCAAATAATACTTACCACATCTACCTTGATCAGCATTTGAGTCTATTAGTTCTGACTGGTCAGTTTCTTGTTTCATTGGATAAACTGGATTAATGATGGATTTCATAGATGAAATAAAATTACACTTATTAAGTTGATTATTGGATGAATAAAAATCTTCAAGCAACTGTTGCTTTTCCAATTTTAGCGTCTCTATTAATTCTGTTGCATTATCTAAAGATTTTTGTGTTGAATTCAATTTCTCTCGTAGATAATTCCTCTCATCGCGTAATGAAGCCCATTTTTCTCGCCAGCTAGCTGTGCAGTCTGACCACCATCTCATCGTCTTTTCAAGTTGAACAGCACGTGAACGAGCCTAAAAAATAGAGTTTGAGTCAAAAAGATGATTCTTCATACGTATATATATGTATACATATACATATATACCGAATAATATATCCTTATCGAATTTAAATACACGTTTACAAAACATTGAAAAATTTACTCCATAAACAAATCTAGCCAGTTCATTAAGTTGAGCATTCTATATCTTGCATTTTCACTAATCATATTCCTTTATTACTTTTAACTGAATAAAATAAATTATTCACTAATTTTGGCATTTATCTTAAAGAAAATAGTAGGATAAGATATATTCTCCAACAATCTTTTAATTTGAATACTTTTCATGAATGGCAATAGTCAAAAAAGTTAAAAGGGCTTCTTTTAAATCATCATCACACTCACCAGTTCGAACATAAATTATGAATGTTGTTCAGCAAAAAATAATAAATAATTGTGGTGTTAAATACTGATAGAATTAAACCTGATACATAATAGCTAAAATGAGCAGCATTTCAGCAATATTTCTGAAAGAATTGAATACTTGTATGTGAGTAAAATACCTTTACTAGTCTTGCATAACAGTGTATCAATTAATGGCATTAGAGACAATTTTTAATATTTTAAACGAATTTATATTTAACATATGAAGATGAATGAACTCAAAAGCTTTAAAAATATCATGAGGTTTTGATATTTTTTTACTAGAATCAACTCATATATCATACTGAAAATTTACTAAATATATAAAAAATTTTACTTGAAAGTTATTAACGATGATAAGTGATACATCGTCAAAAATAATCAAGAGTACTCATGAAAATTAAGAACACCATCATTAAGATTTCCCATAGAAACATTTACTTTAACGCTTCAAACTTCGAACAAAATACTTACTTCTTCTAAATCTTTGTCGCGTTGTCTGCATTCTGAAGTACAGGAACGTGGATGAGATCGGTTATTAGTACATCGTGAATGTTGATCGGCAACGCGCATCGGAATGTGTCTTTAACTATGTTCAATTAAATAATTTAAGGTAATATTATTATTATAACAAATGTTGTACTGTATATTACTGAAAAACAAAACTAGAATAAATATTTAAAAATCCTTATAAGCTGTAAAATACTAACATTCAATCACTTTTGATAGATTAGGATGGTTGATGGAAATGATATTCAGACTGCACCTGCCTAATTTGGAAGTTGCAAGTAAGATATATCTGCATTCTACTTCTATATTTTACACCAAGACTCAAACTCCGCACGCATTGGCAACAAAGACTGATCAAAACGTAGTCATGAATATCAATATCAAGATAATACAAATATCCTCGTTATTTTAATGTAATCTGTTGCAAAACATCAGCGCAAAAACCTGTATGAATAAATACAACAAACTAATGAAAATAAACACAAATATACAAGTATATACTCGAATAAATAAAGACGAAATAGTTAAGTGTAATATTAGAGGGATTCTCCTTTCATCCAACTAAGGAGAAAGATAGTTGCTTGAACAAAACGGAAAGCTTGGAAACATTAAAAAGACAACGGGACACGAATAATTTTCTTCGTACTTACACCCACGAAAATCAATCAAGTTGAAAATTTAACAAAACAGGATTTAGTTTTCTACACAAAGTTAAATTTCCATTATTTAATACCACATATTGAATATAATTAACAAGGATATCAAAGTTTAAATTATCATATAAACAAACGAGACAAGATAAACATAAAACCCTAAGTCTGTTCACTGTTAAAAAATTTCTCTATGTACTGTACACATTTACATAAAACTAAATTGATCAGAACTATTTCGTAAATCTTCTCGAAAAATTGTTCATCGGTCAAAAATGAATTTCTCGGTACTACACGCAACGGTAATACTTCTATGATCACTACATTATATACGTAATTTAACTAATGGCTGTAGAGAAAAATAAAATAATTTAACTAGATTCTTATCGCTGTCATATTCAACACTTCTTATCTATTGTGGTCTGTGAACATTATTTACATTAGGATTTATTTATTTAAATGTATTTCGAAGCATTTTATCATAGCAACTATAAGCAACGGAGTTCAACTTCATCATATCTCATTCAAAATTTAAAGAACGAAAGTTTCCTACTTGAGAAATTTCTTCATCTTCTGAATACTCCGTAAAATACGAGGATCTGTTGTGGTTTTATTAATTTTAAAGACTAAACAATCAATCAGACAGATATTTCTACAACAATCTGTAGCCTAAAGTTTCGAAATATGTATTAGCATTCAACTGCTTCATAGTTGAACAAACGCTTTCAGTAAACTCTAACCCAACTGATGGTTATAATGAATCTAAATAAAGAAATCTGTACATACAACGGTTAATAATAATGACAGAGCATAATCTTAAAGCATGACCCTGACGTGTGCTGATCTTGACAAAACCGTAGAATTCAGTTAAATCATTTCAAACTGCGTTGCTAACATTCGAATCCTCCTATTTTTTGAATATTATGTAATTGACTCAAAATGAATAACTTTAAATGATGAACTTCAAGGGTAACTTTATCATTTACTGCCTTACCTAAAGGTTAGTAATTATCACCATTTTAAGATGACTACATAACTCTAAGCTTATATTTTCATGACAAGTAACGTATGACAACCACTTCTTACTAACATTTACTTAAACAATTTAAAGACGTGAATAAATTCTAAAATAGAATATATTTACTCTAGAAAGTGATGCATAGTTCTGAACATTTACGCCAGTCAAATTTCTAACAACTACTTGAGGCCAGTCACGCACGGCCTTTTTATGAAAGGTTTTTTGAGTATTAGCTCCACTCTTAAAGGCCCTTAGTGGGCACCCTTACCGTCGGAAACGGAAATCCGTGAGGTATGGTGAGGTGTGACATTTTTAGGGTAGACCTTTTCTAACCCTTCCTTCCTTTTGAGGAGGCAGCATCGCAGCGATGCTGTAGATGTTGGTTGTCCGAGGGAAACACCTTACTGCTGTCACGCCCCTCTACAGTCAGAAGTACGACTTCGCTCCTAGACCTTGAGTTGCTGCTTTTAGTCTCATCGTTCTTTAATGGACCTGCCCAGCACAGTAGAAGCTACAGGAATATATGTTCCAGACAATATAGCTCGGTTTGGTCATCATGATAGTCAAGCCAGACCACCACGTCAAGGTGGCAGCTACGGTCGGGGAAAATTACTATATATGAGCAGTACTAACATACGCATTTGTGCACTACCTAAAAGATAATATTCTCCACTCAGTGATGCTAATGGTTTCGTCTGCTTTTTTAGCACGAAAAGCCTTAGTACACACTTACATTGATGCCTCATGCATCTAGCCAATGTATTTGACTATAATTTTGCATATTAAGTAAACAAAATCTAAGAAATAGGAAGTTTTTTCATAAATTACTGTATTTTTACCCTTGATAAATTTCTATTTTTCGAATCTGGGATAATGGTTTTGTAGTATCAAGTTTGCGCGCACTTAATGTACAGCGAATTCTGGAAATAAGTCATTCGCAAAAATTATCATAAGTCGATCATTTCAACTTCTTCTATGTTTCGGGAAACTGTACGCTATTTTTTTATGAAATGAGAGGTTTATTAAGATAAACAAAAAACGTTACAAACATAATGTAACCTTCATCTTGACCGCTTAATGCGTTTGAGAGTACAGAATACAGTTTAACCATGTTATTCAAATATATTTGACGATAAAATAAATCATCAAAAACTATTTAGTTCTAAATACACTTGACACAACTATAAGGAGAATAAAGACCACGGAAAATGAATTATAAACAACCGAAACTAAAGATTAAAAAAAACCATTCGAAAATCAATATCGACGAGATGTGGTGTGTAAAAATAGGTTCAACCAATAGGACGTGTCCTAGCTTCGGACAGGTTAATCAGTCTTTCAACCCTGTTATTGACCAACATCATTCTCTTCGTAAATTTATTTCACTAGATTATACCCCTTTAATAACAACTTCAAACCCTAATCTTTACGATTACCGCTGAAACTTCAACAACATATACCGAGACAGGATTCGAAATGACGATTGCATCTTTTTGCTAACGTAGTTCGGCAACTTGAACTGATGAACGTATTAATGAAGTTCTACTTTATTGCTGAATGACCGACTGTCGCCTATTCGCTTATAAACTGGGCTTTTTTTATTCGTGAGTGAGTGTAAGTTTACTACGTTTATTAAATGTCTGGATTATTTTTGTATAAATACTTAATAATGCTTCATTGCACTGAGTTGAACTGCTCGACTTCTCCTTTTCACTTTGCTTAGCTTTTACGCTTTTTAATCTCATATCTGTCTATGTGAATGATTGAAAAAAAATAAATTGATCTGACTGAATCCTATTACCACCGAAGCATACAAAGGATTTGCCTAATACTGATACACCAAAGTTCAAAATAAGGTTTATTTCAGCGCATAACCGATTATTTGTATAATTTGTAATCAGATCGCGGAACATTGAGGAGTAATCAAAGCGAATCTTTACTATCACGAGAACAAACCTAGGTGATCAGCTTCTATTATCATCAAGGAGCGTTGAACAGTTATCTGTCACATAATTACTCAAATGTCAACTTTAATTTGTAAGAGTATATACTATTCATTGGATTGGTATGACATCCGCGTAATGTAAGAAAATACATTGATATAAGACACCACATATTTCTATCCGTTGATTGTGAAAAGTGGAAATAAAACACAAAAATATACTACTTACTACCTAAAATGTCGAATATGATTAGTCTCGGGAGCAGTAAGGCTGAACAAAAAAAAACTATTTAAGCAATTAAATATTACAGTATAAAAGCATTAGCACTCAATCGAATAAAGTCTTTCTTTAGCCTCGAAACGATGGATTTAGATAAAAAATACAGGGTCATCACATTACTCACGTCTTTTTAATGGCAACCCACAGAATCCGCACCATTACGTAAGGAATTCAAAAAGTTACTTAGGAACAAGGCCACATATAATATGTTCAATATCCAATTTTTAAGTAGTATAAACCAACTGTTTTCCTTATGCTCGATTCTAGTTCCTATAATACATCTGTATTGGCTTACTTTTACGAAGAAAACACAACTGCTGAAATACAAGCATTTATTATTGCACTTAATTCTGACAATAATTGTTATATTTTACACCTCTCATTTTTCTGTACCACAGACTATCTCTCACGCGCCAAGCGTGTTATTCCCATTCTCCTCTTCGCACGTCTCCTGCGTGGACTTTAGCCGTTTGAAAGCCCTCTTGCGTTGGTATTATTTCGAAATCACGAGGCAGGTATTAAATACACTTCTTCCTCTAGAATTTGCATCTTATTTGATTCTCAGAGTTCCGGGATTATTATTTGTTATCCCGAGAAGAAAGTAAATCGTATGAATCGCTATACTGATGAGCTACAAATTCGAATAGGCAGTAAATTCGGTGTTTCTGTATCCACAGCCATCTTAACTTCCGAGTTCGTTCCGTTTGCCCGAATCCCACGGCACACGAGCACACTCGCGAACCAGAAATGCTGCATGAACTCGCCCCCGGGGGGGCATCTTCCAAGCCACGCCGAAAGGCTGCTTCGGAGGCAAGCACCGACTGCTGTTGGTTCCAGCAAACTTTAAGGTCTGGAGCCCGTTATTCTCGAGCCCCACCCGCTCATGCAAGGTCGGAAACTTCAAAGCCAACGAGTAAACGTGGCCGTACTCGTCGGCCCCTCAACACAGATTGGCCGCCTATTTTGCGTACACGGTATCCGCAATAACCTCAGGTACCTAGCTGACACAGGTGCCCAATTTTTTGTCGTACCACTAAGTAGCAGCAAGTCTGAACCTATGATGCTTCGACTAGGCGCTGCGAATGAATCTGCAATCCTACCTATGGCACACGACAGCTAGTGGTCAACCTGAGCAACCGACCACATTATCGGTGGACGTTAATCATTGACGACTGTTAATTGTTAGTCGATTCATATAGGCTGCAGCTATTCGATACTTCGTCGAACAGCAAATCCACGGGCTCTCGAGATCAAACAGGTGCGCACCGAATTATAGGTGTATTTCATGCGCTTGATGACATTTTCCACTCTTTACTTGAAAAATTCCCCCAGCTAATTGAACCAATCGAGGAGATTCCATCGATGACTCAACATGTGGTACACCACATCGTCACCCGCCGACCACCAGTCACAGCACGACCTCGCCGACTGGCACCGGACAAATTAGCCTCCGCTAAGTGTGGGTTTGACAGTTTACTAGCTACAGGTATTATTCATCCTTCTCACAGTCCTTGAGCCTCATCACTCCACATGGTTCGCAAAAAGGATAGTATAAGTTGGTGACCATGTAGTAACGTAGTAACACGTTTCGATAGCTATCCCATCCCCCACATACACGACATCACGGTATCACTCTTGGGCATGACTATTTATTCTAAGATTGATCTTGTACGAGACTATCATCAGATATCAGTCACTCTTTTCGGTCTCTTTTCCGTCTTTTTGAGCCTTTACGAATGCCATTTGGATTAAAGAATGCTTCTCAAACTTTCCAAAGTTTTATCGATAGCGAAGTACGAGACCTCGATTTTGTTCACGTATATATTGATGATCTGCTAATCGCGTCATCAAACAAAGATGAAAATCATCAGCATCTTACACACTTATTCCAACGCCTTTCGGATTATGGAATAGTAGTTAGCCCAGACAAATGTGAACTGGGAAAGGCAGAAATAAAATATTTGAGTCACATCTTTAAGCGAGAGGGTATTCTACCTTGTGAAGATAAAGTACGTGCAATCATGGGGTAGTAAACTGTAACGTCCTCACTCAAGGAACTGAAGGCTTCCCTCGGTTTGATTAACTTCTACCGACGTTTCATTTCTCACGCGGCAGATCAGTTACGACCACTAACCGATTTACTTCGAGTTAACACACGTAAATTAGAATTGAACGATGCCACATTACTGCGTTTCAGCTCAAGCCACGCTCCTCGCCCATCCTGACCCATCAGTCACGCTTAGCTTAGCGGTTGATGCATCAGATTTCACCATAGGAACAGAACATCTTTGGAAGTTGGCAACCTCCTTACTTCCACCGAGATGAGATATAGCTCTTTTGGTCGCAAACTGCCATCAAACATTCCCGGAACGCAGTAGAAGGACGGTCCTTCATCTTATTTACCGATCATAAGCCTCTAACCTATGCTCTGCATACAAAGTCTGACTGCTACTCACCACGAAAGTTCAGAAATTTGGATTATATATTTCGGTTAACGACAGACCTTCATCATATTAAAGGGAGTCGAACTCTGGTGCTGACGCTCTCACCTAATCAAGTAAATGAAGTTACTTTACCAGTGCTCGATCTTCCTGCTATGGCCGCTGCCCAAGCAAATGATCCCTCTTTTACAGAAGCCCAAAAGTATACATCCCTTCAGTGCCAGATAGTGCTCCTAGCTACCACCTCAGGTACTATCACATGTGTCAACTATGTTGGTTTACCCCGACCCATTGCTCCTTCTGCCCATCGTCCTCGATGCCCTTCCTGGTTCGCCTCATTCAGACATCTCAGCGTCTCATCGCTGCACGATACATCTGACCGTCCATGAACAAAGATATCCTTATGTGGGTAAAGTAGTACTTACAATGTCAACGATCAAAAGTGCTCAGGCACGTAGCCACCCCATCGGCACATTTGCTACGCCTGATGCTGGCTTCGATCATGTTCATATTGAAATTGTACGACCATTGCCACCATCGCATGGGTATGATCACATACTCACGTGCATCGATCGCTTCACATGATGGCCCGAAGCTATTTCCATCACTTACGTTACGGCGGAGACAGTGTCTCACCACTTCGTAGAATGATGGATAGCGTTGTGCGGTTGTCCCTCGACTGTCTTAATTGAACGAGGAAAACAGTTCTAGTCCGAACTATTCTCCTCGCTAACCCGGCTGCTCAGTAAAGAGCGCATACGCACTACCACCTACCATGCACCTTCGAATGGTTTAGTCGAACAGTTCCATCGCCAACTTAAAAGTGCTCTTCGAGCACACGAAAACAACAGCTGGTACGAAACCTTACAGCTCGTCCTCCTAGGTATCAAAACAAGTTTAAAGACAGATATTTAATGTTCCGCCGCTGAATTGGTATACGGCAGGACACTGCGTCTGCCTGGGGAATTTTTCACATCACGGAGCAGTGATAACTTCAATAAATCGGACTGAATTTATGCGAGCACTGCCTCCGGTGTCAACTCGAGTACAACATTGACAAGTCACTCTCCCTCGAGAGTTATCTACCTGCTCACATGTTTTCAATCGGGTCGATTCGGTACGCAAACTTCTGCAACAACCTTACGAAAGACATTTTTACGTGATTTCTCGTCATAAAAAGACCTTTAAGGTTGCTCGTCATGGCCGCGTCGAGGTCGTCATCATTGAACGTCTCAAGCCACCACACGTCAATGACAGTGCCCTACTTGCCAATTTGAGACTCAATGCTAGACCTATCTAACCTATTAGCGGGATCCATAAACCTTATTTAAGTCCCACACCAGACAAGTCAGAGACCTCATTCTCACTTCTCTAAATGGAAGACAAATTTATTACCAGTTAGCTAACAGTGAGTTTACGTCTAACATTTACTACCCAAATTCGATCACATTGGAATGGAATCCATTCAATGCGGAGGCTTAAATGACAGTAGAAAGCAAATGAAATATCACCAAACTAATGGTATTATTCGGGATAGAAGAGATCGAAAATGAGTGCACAGAGGACACTGACGGGTAGCTGAGCCGTAGCGTGTCATAAAATATTCCGGTCTGTTTTGTCCTCTTCAAAACTCAACAAGCAACTTAACCTTCAACGAGATATCAACTGGCATAAAACGGTATAACTCGGTGAACTGTTTTTCAAAAGCTCAGCTATATTGGATTGGCACTTTGCCGTTAATAAATGTATTCATTGATTACTTCGGAGACCACAACTCACAATTCACTACACTCTTAAAAGCAATGTATGATGAACGATTGAGAAATGTAACGAGAACAGAATAGTTTTGAACGAGCAACTAAATGGGTGATAGAGTTGGAGAACAAAGAACAATAAGTGGATGCAAAGAAATACATTGGTTGATACTAGCTCATGAAAATGTTATCGGATATCATATACATACCTTATTCCAACCAATGTCTAGTCTTTTCAAATAACAGTAGATCTAACAGAAATCAGCGAAATTATGGAACTAAAATCAAAAATCAGTAGAGTGGAAGGCAAGAAATCGGATGATAAAATTAATTCGTTACGAATATTTTGTATATTGGTTTGCTTGCTTTTCCAGACTAGCCGCGTTATTGTAGAATGTACGCTACGAAGACGCACTGACTATTCTTAGTCGTCCTGGTCGTCATCATTTTTTATGTATCGAAGCAAATTAGTAGATACGAAAACACTGATTTGTGCCTTAATTTAATTGATTTTCGATTCGCAAGATTGATTTTACTATGTGGTGACCAGTACTTATATATGTACAACTTCATTGATTGCAGAGATGAATTGTGACGTGTGGGAATAAAAGTTAACTTCCTAAGTATTGTAGTCTGTTCAGTTTAGCCGAAAACTTAGACTTATACATGTTCATTGAGCAGAGGAATAGACAATTAGCCGTTCATTTCGTTGGAAGGAAAACATTTCGGTATTAATTATAAGAATAAACTAGACCTCGGGAACGTAACCGTAATAATTTGAGGCATTTCCCAAAAAAGGGTTAACTTGGGAAATGGCCTTACTATTTACGATAGGCTTAGGAAGAGACAACTATTTGACCCATTATCACCTGTATCCACAATGGGCTTACCGAAGGATTCTCCTCAAAGTTCTCCCTTATTTTCTTTTTTGAATTGCTGGAGATGCTTCGCCTCTTTATTACTGGGTATTGAGACTATGTGAAAGAAAGTGTATACTTTTTATTTCTATTCTTACATAGTTGAGAAATACAGACTATAACATTGCTTCGTTTCAAACGAACCAAAGTGCCAGTTGATACTAAAAGACGTGAGCAACATTTCATGAGATCATTAGCGGTACCATACTGTAATCAAAGTCTGATTCCTGTATGCACAATTCAATACTGGGGCCGTACGTGTTTGTAATTAAAATTCAGTGTGGAAGCATAATACACCATGAATGGTCAACACATGGAAATTGCAATTGTACAGTATATTGTGTACAACTTTAGGTATGGAGCAACGTTGATTTGATACAGGGTTGTCTTTCTGGCTAGTCGGGTAGACAAAAAATATGTCTTTTGGTGGTGTTCACTATTTTATCAATTTTTTGTGCAGTTCAGATGTCAGTAATACTTTTATGTAACCCCTGCTTTGTTTCACTTTAGATTCTGGTGATTCTGTTTCATAGAATACAGGATGTTCTTAAAACCATTCTCCGTGAGATCTAATTCTCAAATTAAATCTTGTGAAAGGTTGGGTCTTGTCTATGTACTTATTTTTAATTTATAGGAAGCAACTTTTGAACTCATTCTATGATCAGTATAAGTTAGATCCTACAAATATTTTAGAAGTTTTTAAAATAAAAGATGTCCATCGTTTAAAAGTCATAACTTCATCGGAGACAAAAGTAAATATCTACAAATTCGGGAATACTCCTTTAATTATCGAAAATGAGAAAGAATATCTCCCTACAAGTAGTTATTAATTTTCTATAGTGCATATTAGATGAGTTTACCTTCTATGGCATTTACCTGATCTTCTTCCACACTTCAAAATACATGAAAACATAGTCCCCGTTTTGATGAAAGGGGCTGGTAAATACAGCTTTTTTAGAGTAAGATTTTTTGTAGACCTTATGCTTCCTGGAATAGTAACTGATGGTCCAGTCCTTCCTTGTACCTTTAATAAGATAGAAAAGGATGTTCTTTGTTGTATTAGCACAACTTCCAATCGGTAATTCTATAGATTTTATGTATTGTAATATAGTTCACCGATAGCTGTCGGGCGCACAGCCATGTCAAACTACGATATGTACATGAGTGCCGGTAAAGGAAAGGCTGTATCTATACTTCATGTGATGGGTGATCATGTGTGGTACGTTTCCAAACTTAAATATTTATTTTCGACTCCTTATGAATATATGGCATATTTTGTTTTATCAGTATATATTGTCAGACATTTCAAAGTAATCAACAGAAAGCTCCTAACTTATACTCTATCCCATAGCTTCAGTGGCTTATTTTCGGAGACTTAAGCTGTTGCATAAGTTCCACTTCCTAATGACGCCTAAAGTTTTTCAAAGTTTTCTAATGCTGTTTGCTAATCAACGTCAAGAATTTGATATCTATGTTCAAAGCATCTTGGCAACCGCCTCTAAGTAATCTTTACTGAACCATTACTTTTCGTTTGGGATATTTCCTGATACCTTATAGTTTCAAACTTTCTGTTACGACTAAAATTAAGGTAAAACTGATGCACTCCGTGCGGACAATATCTACAACCCATCTATACTCCCGACCGAAGCTGCTACCTTGACGTGGTGGTCGGGCTTGCCTATCGTGATGACCCAACCGAGCTATACTGGCTGGAACATATGTTCCTGCAGGTCCTACCATGCCAGGCTGGTCGATTGGAGAACGATGAGACTAAAAGCAGCTACCGAAGGTCTGAGGGCGAAGTCGTACTGCTGACTGCAGAGGGGTGTGACAGCAGTAAGGTGTTTCCATCGGACAACCAGCATCTGCAGCGATGCTGCCTTCTCACAAGGAAGGAAGGGTTAGAAAAGGTCGGCCCTAAAAATGTCACACTCCCCCTAACTCACGGATTTCCGTCTCCTTGGGTAAGGGTGCCCACTAAGGGCCTTTAAGAACGGAGCCAATTCTCAAAATACCTTTCATAAAAAGGCCGTGCGTGACCGGCCTCAAGCAGTTGTCCCTTGGGCTCTGCGGTCACGCACCAACACTAATCCATCTTCCTTTTCAGGTCCCTCAAGAAACAACCTTCCACGGTGTGGGCAGCCGGGAAGTGATAACCGCCCTCATACCCGTAACAGCACGCGAGACCAAATTGGTCAAAATCAAATCCTTCCTACACCCCCTAATGTCTCTTTTATCTCTACAACTAACTACTCACACTCCCTTTTCTCACTGCACCGCTAATGCAGACGAAGCGAGATCACGAAACGTCGTTCCTGGTCTCTTGAAACCCCGTTCTAGACTACATATTGGAGCTTTTAATGTACGGACATTGTGTCAAATAGGGCAACAGGCATCATTAGCTAGGACTTTAGAAACTCGTGCCATCGATGTATGCTGCGTCTCGGAAACGCGCATACAGGATCCTAGTAAAGTCATTAACCTGATTCCACCTTGTCAAAACGAAGAAGCAGCTCGATTTACTCTTCGGGTATCCGGTAGCCCTGATGCTGCTTCCAGGGGTCTTGCTGGTGTAGGCATAGCGTTGAGTCCTAGGGCAGAATTATCTCTCCTAGACTGGATCCCAGTAGATAGTCGTTTGTGCGCTGTCCGACTAAGCGGGACAGTAAGGACTCGTAAGGATAGGGACACTCGCTGTTGCCTCTTCGTCATATCTGCCTATGCCCCCACTGACTGCAGTGCAGACGAGGTTAAGGATGAGTTTTACAGAAAGCTTTCGGACCTCCTCCAAAAAGCTAGGCGCTCTGACATAGTAATAATGGCTGGTGACTTTAATGCTCAAGTAGGTAGACTAGGTGAAAAGGAAAGACATCTTGGTGGATGTTATGGTGTAGCGACTGAGAGAACAGACAATGGTGACCGTCTGTTGCAACTGTGCTCAGATAACCGCCTATTCTTAGCGAACACCAACTTTAGGCATAAGGAAAAGCATCTGTTGACCTGGCGACCTCCAAAGTCGTCTCAACGTTGGACTCTTTAAAAATTTTCAAAGAACATAAGAATAAGTGATCAAAGAGCAATAATTTTTTACAATGATGTAATTTCATTATATGTCTAAATAAAAAAAGCCTCCGGTTAAATTAAAAGCATTTGTTCAGTTCTCTTTAAAAAAAAAGTCGACAATTCCGATGTTAGTGGAAACTATGGTATGTTGATAGTTCACACCATCTTTCTCATGTATAATACGTCACTGTACTTCTCAACTTCTTTCTATTTAATATATGCATTTAATTATATTTTCCTATATTCAGTCAGTTATGAACAACTCCACTTTTGATCATTTGACTGTCGCTCGTTCTGGAGCACATGTCTAGATTCAGATCATGCCCTAGTGCGAGCGCGTATTTGTTTGAAGCTTACTGGGCGTAGGAAAGACACCGTAAGGAAGCCTCTTAGGGCTTTACTTGATGATAATCAAGCTAAGAAAATATTTCAGGAGCAACTAGAAAGAGAGTTAAGCAACCATGCAAGCGATTCCCATCCAGAAGCAGGTTGGTATGATATCAAAAAGGCTGTGGAAACAGCAGTGATATCTGCTAGGAAGGTAAACCATGAGGCTAGGATGAAGCCGTGGATTTCAGTCGCATCCACCGAACTGATGGATGCTCGAAAACGCATCCCACATGACTCTGAGCATGATGAAGAGCGTAGTCAGCTTAGGCGCAGACTTATAAAAAGTCTGCGTAACGACCGCGAACAGTGGTGGGTGGCTAAAGCAAAAGCGATGGAAAAGGCAGCGGCGATAGGCAACACTAGACAACTTTTCCGCCTTATCAAAGAAACCGGTATTAGGAACCCGAATGTGAGTGAGACTATCTCGGAAAAGGATGGTCTTATTATCCATTCTCAATCCAGGAGGCTGGATCGATGGGCAGAACACTTTAGGGATCAGTTCAACTGGCCACGAGCCACTCTTCAGTTACCCACGATCTCCAGTCATCCTGAATGGCAAATCGACGTAAGTCCCCCTAGTCTTAATGACGTTGAGAAAGCGTTAGGAAATCTGAAACGAGGACGAGCTGCAGGTCCTGATAGACTGACCCCTGAGATATTCAAGGATGGTGGTCCAGTTTTAGCAGCTAGATTGACTGAGATCTTAGGTAAAATCTGGGAACTGGACGTAATCCCATCCGACTGGTCTCAATCCTTGATTGTCCCAATCTATAAGAAAGGACAAAAGTCTTCTTGTGACAATCACAGAGGAATAAGTCTAACTAATATAGTATCTAAAATATTGGCCTCAATAATACTTCGACGCTTAACGAAAGCTCGTGAAGAGCAGACTCGAGAAAACCAGGCTGGTTTTCGACCTGGACGTGGCTGTATAGACCACGTCTTCACACTCAGACAGGTCCTGGAACATAGACACATTTAGGCGTCCTACAATAGTTGTTTTCCTAGACCTTAAGGCGGCATTTGACTCTGTTGATCGTGAGGTTCTGTGGCAGTGTCTGTCATTGAAAGGTGTACCAAAGAAGTACATTAACCTTATACAAGCTCTTTACTCGAACACCACTGGTCGGGTGAGGGCTTATGGCGAACTGTCACCGGAATTCTCTACATCAAGTGGTGTCCGTCAGGGATGTCCACTTTCTCCATTCTTGTTTAATTTTGTCATAGACATGCTCCTAGACATAACATTATCCTCGTCTGAATTTTCAGGAGTAGACCTTCTTCCAGGTGGCTCGCTTATTGACTTAGAATATGCCGACGACATAGTCCTACTTGGTGAAGACGCTGACAAAATGCAGAGTCTTCTGACTACCCTAAGCAACAATGCAAGCATGTTCGGGATGCGGTTTTCCCCCTCGAAATGCAAAATGTTGCTTCAAGATTGGGTTGCATTGGCACCTGAACTAGTGATAAGGAGTGAAGTGGTTGAACGTGTAGACCGCTTCACTTATCTTGGGAGTCTCATCAGTGCCGATGGCCTGGTGACTGACGAAATCTCAGCTCGGATACAGAAGGCTCGATTGGCTTTTGCCAACCTGCGTCACTTATGGCGTAGGCGAGATATCCGTTTGCTGACTAAAGGACGAGTGTACTGCGCAGTAGTTCGCTCCGTCTTACTTTATGGCTGTGAAACATGGCCAGTGAGAGTAGAAGATATTCGTAGGTTACTGGTTTTCGATCATAGGTGTCTTCGAAGCATTGCTCGTATATCGTGGGACACCCGAGTGAGCAACGCTGTTATTAGGAATCGGGTGCTAGGTAAGAATGGCAGATCAATCGATGAAGTATTGAAACTTCACCAGTTGAGGTGGTTGGGACATGTGTTGCGTATGCCGAACCACCGACTGCCTCGAAGAGCTTTGTTTTGTAGTGTAGGAGTAGTTTGGAAGAAAGTTAGGGGCGGCCAAACCAAAACATGGCAGAAATCCATGAAGTCATTGACTAGTGGACTGAGCCATGTCGGTAATTGTCGACTACCTGGTTGGGGTCCGCGAGATGATAATAATCGATGGTTAGAGACCTTGAATGACATGGCTCAAAATCGTTCGCAATGGCGCCAGTGCATTCATTCTCTGTGTTCTCTCAAATCCTAATCTTCTGGATTCTTCAACACCTCTCGTTTTGACTTTCTAACCTTATCTCACTGAACCATACTTCTTGAATAATAATATCTTCTAATCCTAACCTCTCCGATTATTTCTAATTCCCTTACTACTTCTTCTACTATTGGATTTGAATTGACGATTACTTCTCTGTGCTGATGTGGTATGGCAACATGAACTGATGTACTTATGTACAAAGTTCTACGTTGCATCTGACTGACTGACTGACCCATCTATACTTACAAAAGCGTGTTCGCATATCCTCTGAGTCCTACTGATTTATCATCGTATTGTAACAAATTTTCTCGTAGTAAATAGGGTCGATCGCAAATCGTCCAACTAACCTGTGTTATTTTTCAAATACACGTAACAATAAAGCTTTCCACGGTTTGTCATTTAGCTATAAATCCTTATATTATCTTAGGTAGTTTTTGAAGATTGGTAGTTCATCCTATCATACTTCATTCTCACTGTTTGCTTTGAATAAACTATTTTTTCATTCTGTGTCCGTAATTGCATTTAATTTATAATTATATTGTGTTATTTTTTATTTGTATTGTTTAGTTCTCTGACTTCATCACTCAGTCGTCCTACTCTCCCGTGGCCTATCACTGAAGAAAGTTCTCTAAAAACAAGCGAAGACATAATTGATAATTTCGATAGTGAATCGAAATCCACAATAAATAAATTGTCTCCGCCCCTACTGGATAGTAAAAATGTCAACAACATACTGAACGACCCTCATTTGGAAGAACCAGATGGTTAGTGGCAGCATTCATTTGATGTGTTTGTCAGTCAATCAGTTACAACGTAGAACTTCGTACGTGCGTACGTCGGCTCAAGTTGTCAATTAAAGTCCCTTAGTAGTAGAGATACAAATATTAGCGGTAATGAAGAAGATTAAGGTTCGAAGATATTATTCAAGAAGTATAATTATGTGAATTAAATTTAGAAAGTGGTGATAAGGAATTCAAAATACTAGAATTTGAAAGAAGTCAGAATGGATGAACCTGCGCCATTGCAAACGATTTTGAGCCATGTCGTTTAAGGTCTCTAACCATCGGTTATTATTGTTTCGCGGACTCCAACCAGGTAGTCTACACCTACTAACATGGCTCAGTCTAGTTCTTAGTGACTTCATGGATTTGTGCCATGTTTTAGTTTGACTACCCCTAAGTTTCTTCCAACCTACTATTACACCATAAAACATCGCTCGTCAGTCGCATATCTATTACTAAGTTCATCTCCTTTTTGTTTCACAGTACAATTCTGTAGAAACCATTTCTAAGTCTGTGACGGAATCGACTTACCGTAACATATAATGAATGCAGAATTGAATATTACTGTTCTTTACTTTATATCAAACTAAAGATAATAGCTGCTGCTCTCGTTCGCTTCAGGTTTCCTATCTCTTTTTGAACTTCATAAAGAGTCGGACGATTTACGTCGATTTGCCATTCAGGTTGACTGGAGATCGTGGGCTATAGAAGTGTGGCTGAAGGCCAATTGAATTTATCCCCGAAGTGTTCTGTCCATCGATCTGATCTACTAGGTTGAGAATGAACGATACGACCATCCTTTTCTGAGATAGTTTCGTTAACAGACGGATTCCTAATACCAGTTTCCTCGATAAGTCGGAACGGTTGTCTACTATGGCCGATCGCTGCTGCTGAGTTTCCGAGCATCCATTAGTTTAGTACGTGCTCCTGAAATCAACCGTTTCTACCTAAACTTATGGTTTACCTTGCTAGCAGATATTACTGCTGTTTCCGAGGCTTTTTGGATTTCGTTCCAAGCTGCCTTGCGGTGGGGATTACTTACATGTCCCCTAACTTTTTCTAGTTGTTCCTAAAATATGCTTAGCTATGCTATCATTAAGTAGAACCCTAAGAGATTGACTTGCAGTGTCTATCCTACGTCCAGTAAGACGCAAACAAATACTTTCCTGTACTAGAACATGATCTGAATCCAAACACATGCTCCAGAACGAGCGACAGTCTTCTATCAAACCTCTCCATCGGTGGCTGATAGTAATGTGATCTGGTTTGGTCGACTTTGGCGTTAGCCATGTCAAAAGGTGTTTGCCCTTGTGCTCTTAAGTTAGCACTTACAAGAATTAGGCGGTTATCTGAGCATATTTGCAACAGACGGTTGTGATTATCTGTTCGATCGGGTGCGACACCATAAGATCCACTCAGGCGTCTTTCCTTTTCGCTTAGTCTACCTACTTGGGCATTGACGTCACTGGCCACTATAACAACATCAGAGCGCTAGGCATTTTGAAAAAGGTTAGAAAGTTTTCTGCAAAGCAGATCTTTTATCTCGTCTGAGTTGCAGTCAGTGGGAGCGTAGGCAGAGACGACAAAGAGGCGATGGCGTGTGTCCCAGTCTTTGCGAGTTATAGTTTTCCGGTGTAGTCGGTCAGAACATGAATGAGTATCTAATTGGATCCAGTTCAAGTGATCTAGTTCTGCCCTAGGACTCAATGCTTTACCTAAGGATGTTTGGTCATGGAGGTAAGAGAGATGTTCGGAGGTTCAGGAAGTCAGTAGCCCCAGACGGAGTTGATCCGTGTTCGTCTACTATATTACCATCATACTTACTAATTTTCTGCATTTTATCAGTGGAGAGACATCGTAGAGAACGTTTTGCACTCATCTCCCATAGATTTTATAAACCACAGATTCGAAGCGTTGCTGTATTTGTTTGGTTTGACAGTTGGTTTCTTAAAATCGTTTCTTTATGTTCTATAATTGCCAATCGGTCATCATTGATGTAGGACCCCGGGGCGAATGCACACCCGTCCAAATTGTTAGACAACCCGGAACGAGAGGAGAAATTAACAAAATGATATGCAAAGGAGAGGGATCGACCTCAAAAATGCAACAACTTATTACTATATACACAAGCTATCCAATTATGCAATGTTTCGAGTGAAAAATAAGATTTAGCTAATTTATAGTTTATGCATCAATGTGTAATTAAAAAAATCATTACTTCCAAAATTTGAAAAACTCAAAATGAAATTATTTACTCTACTTTGGCTTATTTCGGGCAATATTGCACATAACCGCTACCTATTTCAATGTTTAAGCCCACAAAGCAATAACCACCGACTTGTCTCATATTCTGCTTAACGGTCTTAAAACTTCTCATCCTATAAGCCTACTTATTCCGACATCATAATTTGAGCTTGTTGACTGGCCATACACAACATTAACCATCATAGCTGTGGCGAATTCACAAGGTCAAGTAACAAATTACCCTTCGTAGGTTTAACCTTCCACTTGTGCCTGATATTTGTAAATTTCATGGTTTCATAAATCGCTGCATGGCTATTCAGATGATTATTAGCTTTCATTTTTTTATCTTCAACATCTTTTCCCGCAGTTAAAACTAGTTAATCCCATTCATGTCTATATTTTGTTCCTATTTTATTTTTTCAGAGTTACAACCATCACTTGACCTAGATAAGATTCTACGGGAGTGTTTTTTAAAAGGTCTTAAATTGATCAAAGTAAATCAACTTCCAATTCAAGTGAATATTTTTTATTCTCAATACGTTTTAGTGCACAAGTAAGTTCTTTTGTAAATATCAATATATTGGTGGCTTCTCTTCATTATATAATGATGGACCCCTACTCACTTATAACCACGATGGTTTATTTACTGAAGAAATCTCAAAGGTATTTTTAGTGTGATCTAGTTGGAATCACAAATACCTAATCTTACGTAATCCATCTCACCTTTGAGCTGTAATTTTTTGTCGTAACCTTTAGTACTACTCGACTGTTCGAATCAATGTAGGTAAAACACAACGTATGCATATCAGGGCAATGCATATCTCCTCAAGATTTATTTACAAATACTGTTAAAATTTTACATTTATTATATCAATTCACCCTCAATTGACAGGGGTAATTTTACATTGGTTTTCAGGAAAATCAGACACTGCCCACATGGTAACACTACAACGTGAAAAGTACAGTCACAGCACAACCATTCAAGCACCTGACACCCTAATGAACCAAAATATTGTTACAAACAATTAAGTATTGTATGAGTTATCAACCTATTGTTTATTGGTTAAAGCATTTGGTCTTAAGATAGTAAGTTGTAGATTTGAACTTGACTTTACCTACTAAAGCTTATGCAGATGGGTAATATCACTGCCTACTATACAAACTGTAACCCAAGCAGGATTCATGAACATTATTATTATTATTATTATTATTGTTATTATAGTAGTAGTAGTGTGGTGCGCGCTACTTATAAGTAGTATATGATGCGAGTGAAAACGTAATGTCTGGCAGCAGAAGATGGGGGAAGATCAAGAAAGGAAGAGTGGGAACACAATGGAATTTGTATGAAACGCATGAATAGTGAAATGTCAGACAATGGATTGATGATGGATTGAAGATTTGCAAATTAACCGTTTACAATATGGTTTTCCTATTTTACTGATTAACTCTGTAATTCACGATAAATACAATTCGGTTGCCCTCACCTGTGTTCTCCTTCACTACATTTGGTGCCGCTGCCTACACAAAGGATGAAGATACCATGACCGAAGGAATTTCAGGACGGAGATGTGCGGAGCTTCCTGGAGGAGTTTGAGGCCGTGGCGGAGCTGGTGGGTGTGAAGGAGCCGAAGGCGAAGTTGGTGGTGCTGGGGACGCTGCCGACGACGGAGTTCGACAGCCCAGTGGACAGGGAGAAAGCGCTGCAGGAGTTCCGGTTGGCGAGGCTGTCGGTGACCCGCTGGTGCTTGCTGTGGAGCTCAACAGATTGTTGCGCCGTGCTCTGCCGAACACCGATGAGGAATCGGAGGCACAGTTGTTGACGTCGCAGTTTATCGAGAGTGTGTCTGCCGCCCTGTCCCAGCAGCTGAGACCAGTAAACGCAGAGCGACCTATGGATATCGGTGAACTGGCGAAGGTGACTCGTCAGCTGATGACACGAACAGTAGCTCCGGTCGGGTGCGGAAAGCAGGAGATAAATACTGTTGAGAAGAAGATTGAGGAGTTAGAGCGTGAGATGATATCAGCATTACGAGTAAATCATAAAAGGAACGATAAATGTTACGCTTGTGGAGGGGCAGGACATTGGAAGATTAACTGTCCAACAACACGACAATGATATTTTAAACATAACGTGTGTTCTTTCCGCCCTAGGAATCTGGAGGTTCTTGCACTAGTAGATAGAGGGGCAATTTATGCCAAAGTGTACATAAATGAACAGGAGTTAGTGTGTTTGATCGATACAGGAGCAGCTATATCGTTAATAGGCAAAGAGCAATATAAGACAATCAAACCATATACATTAGCTGTTCACACCATAGAAGGGCATATGCTAGAGGTGTTGGGGGTATCTAACAGTATTGTAAAAATGAGTGGAGCTGAGATAAATTTTCCGTTCGTGGTAACCACAAGCTTATCGAGACAGATATTAGGAGCAGATTTCCTAAGAGAGGTAAAAGCGATAATTGACTTGAGAAGCGGTAAAATGGTCACAAAGTACGGTTCATTGCCAAAACACGAAAGTAGCGAAGTGGCTGAGATAAAGATGACAACGGACGTCTCAACCAAGAAACCAAACATTAACGAGTAATGCGCAAAGTATGCGAAACTGTTCACTGGGGATGGGGTGCCGTATGGATTTTGTGACAAAGTGAAGCATGAAATTCCTATAAAGAACGACCGAGTAAATATATTTGCAACACGTCATGTCCCGATGCATTTAGAGGCCAAGGTAAATCGACAGGTCCAGGAAATGTTGAAGGAAGGTATAATTGAGGAAGCAGACAGTCCGTATAGCTCGCCGGTACTCTTGGTAAAGAAACCCAATGGAAAGTATAGATTTTGTGTCGACTTTAGAGAACTGAGTAATATAACAGACCTGAAACCTTGCGCAATGCCAACAGTAGTAGAAACATTAGATCGGCTACAGAATGCCAGTGTTCACAGTACTGGATCTATGATCAGGGTATTGACAACTGCCGATAAAAGAGAGTGATCGAAATAAAACAGCATTTACTGTACGTGATAAGCAGTACCAGTTCAGACGAATGCCGTTCGGGTTGGCAGGTGCACCGTTTACATTCAGAAGATTAATGATGCTGCTGCTCAAGAACCTAGAGAATGTTGAGGTGTATGGCGACGATGTAGTGGTGTACAGCCGAACAGAAGCGGATCATGTTAACCATGTGGAAGCTGTCCTAAAGCGGATTGAAGAATTCGGACTACGAATTAATAGGGACAAATCACAAATAGCGAAAAGTAGTGTCATCTTGTGTGGGCATAAAGTTGATAATGGAGGAATAAAACCGTTGCCGGAGAAAATCCTAGCCATAAAGAACATTGCGGTACCTAATTCCAAAAGGAAGCTGAGACAGTTTCTTGGAAGGGTGGCGTTCTACAGTCGATTCGTCAAGAACTTTAACGAAGAAGCAGCACCCATCTATAAGTTGTTAAGTGACACTAAGTTTACGTGGACAGAGACTGCCCAGCAAACATTCTACCGGATCGAAAACCTATTGGACGACCGCCGGGTGTCGCTACGATTACCTGAACCTGAAAAACTGTTTACAGTGACAACAGATGCGAGTGACCGTGGAATAGGCGCCGTCTTAAGTCAATCTAACAGTGTGATAGAATATGCGAGTCGCGTTCTCACACCCTCTGAGCAGAAGTATTCAACGATCGAAAAAGAGTGTTTAGCGGTTGTCTGGGCAATAGAAAAATGGAGGCCATATCTGCTAGATAGGCGGTTCCACGTCGAGACTGATCATAAACCACTGCAGTGGCTGAAAACAGCAAAAGACCCCTGTGGTAAGTTGGCGCGATGGATGATTCGTCTGCAGGAGTACGACTTCAGTATCGGCCACGTTCCAGGAAGAGAAAATTTGGTGGCGGACTACTTATCGAGGCCGGAGATGGATGTTGAGCTCCCAATGACAGCATACGCAGTCAATAGCCTTGACGGAGACCCACTAGAACTCGTCCGGCAGCAAAAGGCTGACCCTAACCTTCGAGAGGTGATCAGAGTGATAAAAGAAGAGGCAGATATTGACGAACGGCAGATGAACAATGAGGTATTAATGCTGCTTCGACAAAAAGAAAGACTGAGGATCAGCACATATGGAGCCCTGATCTGGCGAGATAATGATGAAAATTGGGTGGCAGTGATCCCGAAGAACATGCGGCATAAGATGATACAGGAGTGTCACCGGGTAGCTCATACAGGTATCACACGAACGACTCATCTAGTAAGACAAAGTGCATATTGGCCAGGCATGAGAGACGATGTGGCACAATATGTATTGACTTGCCAGCAGTGCCAACTAATGAAAAGTAATCGATACGTACGGCCGCCATCGCAGTCAGTTGCCGTAACTGCAGTTGGTGATCGATGGTCAGTGGATGTGATGGGACCGTCCCCGCAGACGGCCAGCGGCAATCAATACCTGGTGGTGATGACAGAACATGCCACACGGTGGGTAGACGCCGTACCAATTCCAGATCAGCGGGCAAAAACAGTGACGGAAGTAGTCATCGGGCACATTGTGGCATGTCACGGAATACCGAAAACAATATTAACTGATCAGAGTCCCTGTTTTGAAAGTGACGAGTTTAGGTCCCGTCTGGAACAGTTCGGTATCAAGAGAATACGAACTACACCATATCATCCACAGACTAACGGGCTTACAGAAAGAAACAACCGAACGTTAAAGGAATGGTTAGCCTCTAAAAAAGGGAATTGAGAGAAGGAATTACCACTAAACTTGCTGGCGCATCGTGCCTTAATACAAGGAACAACCAAGAAATCACCTTTCCTGCTTATGTACGAGAGACATCCGCGACTTCCAATGCACAATAAGATATGGCCGCAACAACAGAAGTGGACGGCAACAAGGTTAGAGAAGGGGAGGAGGGAGGCAGTCAGCAATATAAAGAAGAAACAGATGTCGCACACAACGACAGAACAGCAGAGTAGGCGGTGGAAGCCGTTTGAAGTCGGGGACCTGGTAAAATGTAGAGAACGGAAAAGCACCGCAGCATGGGGACAAGGATCAGGGAAGCTGCTCCCGAAATGGGAAGGACCGTACATTGTTATTGAGAGACGTGGCTCTGTTTACACGATACGGAAAGGAGACAACCAAAAACGCGTGAATGCCAGTCAACTGCAGAGGTGGTTTCAAGATTATCAAGCGTGTGAGTCACGGAAAGCACCAAAGAAGACAGCGATACGGAGATCAGAAAGACTACGACGACAGCTTATTAAAACGGGTGACGAGTTTGGTGCGCGCTACTTATAAGTAGTATATGATGCGAGTGAAAACGTAATGTCTGGCAGCAGAAGATGGGGGAAGATCAAGAAAGGAAGAGTGGGAACACAATGGAATTTGTATGAAACGCATGAATAGTGAAATGTCAGACAATGGATTGATGATGGATTGAAGATTTGCAAATTAACCGTTTACAATATGGTTTTCCTATTTTACTGATTAACTCTGTAATTCACGATAAATACAATTCGGTTGCCCTCACCTGTGTTCTCCTTCACTACATTTGGTGCCGCTGCCTACACAAAGGATGAAGATACCATGACCGAAGGAATTTCAGGACGGAGATGTGCGGAGCTTCCTGGAGGAGTTTGAGGCCGTGGCGGAGCTGGTGGGTGTGAAGGAGCCGAAGGCGAAGTTGGTGGTGCTGGGGACGCTGCCGACGACGGAGTTCGACAGCCCAGTGGACAGGGAGAAAGCGCTGCAGGAGTTCCGGTTGGCGAGGCTGTCGGTGACCCGCTGGTGCTTGCTGTGGAGCTCAACAGATTGTTGCGCCGTGCTCTGCCGTTTACAATATGGTTTTCCTATTTTACTGATTAACTCTGTAATTCACGATAAATACAATTCGGTTGCCCTCATCGGTGTTCTCCTTCACTACAGTAGTAGTAGTAGTAGTTTGTTTCTTATCTTTCGATTAAGTATTGATCTATAATACTGATAAATGTTAGACTTAGTAAATCCTCATTTGTTAGTTTTCCAATAATATCAAGTAATAAAAATGCAACATTTCAGTAAATATATTAGGAAGCATGTGTTTTCTTTGCTTTAGTAAAACTAACTGTTCCAATCATAGCTAAGTAAATTTCTTTTTAATCATGAAAATCTTAGTGTACATTTTCACCGTTGACTATATTTATTATCACTACAGGTCTCCATCAGTGGATCTAGACATCAAGAAAACAAAATTCAAAAAGGTGAATCATTTTTTATGTTACCACTTAATAGTTTATTAAATTTGTAGCAGTTATATGTTAAAGTGATAAAATATATTCAATATAAGTAGTGTAGTGTGTGTAGAGATATGTCGAGCCCACCCAGTCTTTGAACAAACTAATTAATCCATTCTTCTCGAGTCACACGCTTTTCGACCTTGTCAATTGTTCGCTTATACCTTCGTTATTTCTATTTATGTGTGTGCATGCATATTACCTCCACATGCATTTGAATTCAGTTACATCTTTTGATTAACTTATTTAACCGAGTCGTTTGTATAGCAGCGGGTTCCGATAGATTGACTCCTGAGATTTTTTTGGTTGGTGGTCCAGTCTAAGCAGCTGGGTTGACTGAGATCTTGGGTAGAATCTGGGAACTGGACGTACTACCATCAGATTGGTCTCAACATTATCTTCGTCTCAACTTTCAGGAGTAGACCTTTTACCAGGAGGCTCGCTTATTGACTTAGAATATGCCAATATCATAGTTCTATTCGATGAAGACGCTGACAAAATGCAGTCTTCTGACTACCCTGAGCAACAATGCAAGTAAGTTCGGTATGCGGTCTTCCCCTTCGAAATGCTAAATGTTGCTTCGAGATTGGGTTGCATCAGTACCTGAACTAGTGATACGGAGTGAAGTAGTCGAGCGCGTTGACTGATTCGCTTATCTTGGGAGTCTCATCAGTGCTGACGGTCTGGTGTCTGGCGAAATCTCAGCACGGATTCAGAAGGCTCGACTGGCTTCTGCCAACTTGCGTCACTTATGGCGTAGGCGATATATCCGTTCGCTGACTAAACGACGAGTGTACTGTGCAGTAGTTCGCTCCGTCTTACTTTATGGCTGTGAAACATGGCCAATGAGAGTAGAAGATATTCGTAGGTTACTGGTTTTCGATCATAGGTGTCTTCGAAGCATTGCTCATGTATCGTGGGACAGCCGAGTAAGCAATGCTGCCATTAGGAAACGAGAACTAGGTAAGAATGGCAGGTCAATAGATGAAGTACTGAAACTGCATCAGTTGAGGTGGTTGGGATATGTGTTGTGTATGCCTGACCACAGACTGCCTCGTCGAGCTATGTTTTGCGGTGTGGGAATAGGTTGGTATGAAGCTAGGGGCGGTCAAAACAAAACATGACAGTACTTCATAAGATCACTGACAAGTGGACTGAGTCATTCTAGTAGGTATCGACTATCTAGTTGGGGCCCGCGAGACGATAGTAACCGGTGTTTAGAGACCCTGAATGACATGGCTCAAAACCGTTTGCAATGGTGCAGGTGTATTCATTCTTTGTGTCCTTTCAAATACTAAGCTTCTGAATCCTTCATCACCTTTATGTTTCTTTTAAGTTTATTTCACTAGATTTTACATCTTGCATAATATCTTCGAACCCTAATCTCTCCGATTACTGCTAATACCTTTACTACCTCTACTACTATGAGATTTGAATTGACAATTGCGATTCTGTACTTATGTGGTATGGCAACTTGAACTGCTGTACTTACTTGCAAAGTTGCCGGTTGCTGTTGATGATGACAATAGTGATTTTTTTTATGAAACGAAAATTAAATATTTGAGAATCGTGTATTATTTTTGCAGTTGTAGTTGTGGGAGTTCGACTATACCGCTTCTGCTATCGTCACTACTTCGTTGCTACCAATCAGCGTGTAAAATCTGTCATCACGTGTTTGCAACTACTTAAATTTTGCATAGAGAAGTTGAATAACAATAGGAAAACAAAGGAACTTTTTGTCTGCAAGTTAAGATGTTCACAGCTATCACAGTTAATTGAAATTTCAAATCACTTAAAGTACCCAACTCTCAATTATAACTCTCCTTGGTCAGATTAGACATCAGTAAAGACTAGTCATAAAATAATGTTTAGCAATCAAATGTATCAAAACATAAACGGTCCGAACTAATTTTTTTAAAGTTAGATTATACAATGGTCATCGTTCTAAGAGCATATTTATGTTTAGAAATAAACGAAGAAAGTTTTCTGGTAATATGTCTATTCACTTAAAACCACTGTAAATATAACTAGAATATCCACTTTCAAATTTTAAAAGGTTTGTAGCCAAGATATCCAGTTGAATGGTATGAGGAATTGCAGAATTTCTTAACTAAGTCGTTCAGGTAGATAAAGTACAAGACTTAAAATCATTTATTAATAAGCATGTGTTAACTTTCTCAAAATCTTAAACGTCTTATTGTATAGCATTTCAACTATTGGGTTTATCATCCTTTTATTGGTCTGTAGCTCAGCAACATTTATAATCCCGTATCCCACCATTGCATCTACCTGTAAACTTCAGGGGGGGTATCACTCGTCTTCTAATTATAATAAGCCCAATTCGTTTTCTGTTCTATTAATCTAGGTCGGCTTATTTTTAAAAGCCATGCAAGATGAAGGTTTTGTCGAGGTGACCGAACCGAAATCTGGTGTATTAGTATTAAATCATGTTAACAAGGATCACATTGAGTAAGTATAGATATGTTTCTTCCGCGAAAAGAGATCAATAAAAGAGTTTTTTGTAATGCTACGGTTCAAATATAAGTTTTTAAATGCTAAATAATCTGTTACGTTTAGATTTCGATCAAAAAGTTGTACCTTTAAACATTGCTCAACCCAATTCGGTTTTAAATGTCGAGTAGCATCACTGTGATGTAAACAATGTGCAACTTGAAACCAAGCATCTAAATTTGTACCTCAGTAAATAAATTACATCAAAACGTACTTTTAGTTTAGTTTTAAAGTATTCATCTTTTTAGAAAGACCTTAAAACTTAGTAACAGATTATATTATGCATATATTAGTTGGTTGAGGTTGGCAACGTCTCATGATGAAAGCCGAGTTCATTCGGAAGTCACAAAGCCGATTTCCCTTCTGACAACTGGAGCCATTCTACGGTTTGGGCGGTCGTGAAGTAACATCCACCCTCATACACATTAAAGCACACGATACCAGATTGGTTACAATCAAATACTTAACCTCTTAATGACTCTATAATCTCCACGACCAACCCTTCTTTTGATCATTTGTCACCTCGTGCCACTGAAGCGAACGGTTTGATCCCACGAAACGTTATTTCTGGTCTCCTGAAACCCCGCTCTAAACTATGTATTGGAGCTTTTATTGTTCGAACCTTGTGCCAAATAGGTCAACAGGCTTCCTTAGCTAGAACTCTGGAATCCCGTGCCATCGATATGTGTTGCTTCCCCGAAACGCGCATACAAGATCCGAGTAAAATCATTAATTTGATTTCACCGTGTCCAGATATAAAATCAACACGGTTTACGCTGACCGTTTGCAATGGCGCAGGTGTATTCATTCATTGTGTTCTCCCAAACTTTTTAATTCCTCATCATCTTTATCTTTTTCTTTTAAGTTTATTTCACTAGATTCCATTCCTTGAATAATGTCTTCGAACCCTAATCTCTCCGATTACTGCTAATACGTTTACTACCTCTACTACTATGAGATTTGAATTGACAATTGCGATTCTGTACTCATGTGGTATGGCAACTTGGACTGATATACTTGCGTACGCAGTTCTTCCTTGTAACTGACTGACTGATTAGTTGACTCCAGGCTATCATTCAATATCTTGGGTACAATGTGATGCTAATCGAATCATATAATATAACACACGTATCAAGCACATATTTATGTATTTCATCTTGAGCTGCACCTCCTATATGGTGACTAGTGTTACTGCCCAAACAGAAGTGTGTTGGGCGTTGTACAGACTTGTGATCTATAAGTTTCAAATTGATTACCTAAACTACCAAGATCACATCAAATTAGTTTAATATATATTACCGATTATTATTATTATTATTAGCTTATGAATGATTATCACTTACGTATATACTGAATGATATCATTTCTTTCCTTTTTACACGTGTTCATTCGCACCCGACAAATCTTATACATCTTATTCTGTTGGAGCCTAGTCCCGGTTACATCATTATCCATTTTATGATATCAAGAGCTTGAACTAATCAAAATGCCGAATAGGTACTCAGGGGACTTCATAATGTATATATATATATATATATATATATATATATATATATATATAATGTATTTCTGTCACTAGTTTCTGATTTAAGCTAGTCGGTTCAGTAGTATCTTTCATGTTATTTGTTAGCCTATGCAATCTAATATATTACAATAGTCTGATTATTATGCTGTCATAATCTGCACTCATCTAGATTACGTGGAGTAACCGTTCCTCCTTCAATGACAAATCCCAAAGTTGAGTGTCATTGGCCAGATGATTATATGGGCCCACCTCAAGTTGAAGATATTCGAATAATTAAAGGACCTGTTACAGCTTTATTTTCACAGTTTGGTTATAAGTAAGTTTAGCGTCTGTTTTCGATCCTAGAAATTTTTTTAGAAATGTAACTGAAAACATATTCTTGATAAACTAAAAGTAAGCGACTGGATTTTTTTGTACTGCAGTTTCAATTAGTGAACCATGGTTTGAGTTCTAACTAATGATAATAACCATACATATCTTGTTGTTTACTTAATCCTTAGCCGAAAATTATCTCGAAATTTCAAAGGCACAATTGTTAATAGATTTAACTAAAATCCCTAAAGGTAAATAAAACTAAATATATAAAAATATATATATATAAAAATACGACGTACGCCTTCATAGTGAATGCTGTTTTTGCATACTATAATCATTTAAACTGACATCTAAGGGACACAGTCATTGAACTCCTAACCAATTTATGCGACCAGTCGACATGCCCGTTTGTATACTTTGATTTATATGACCAGTTAGCATTCTTCGCTTTCATACAAAATTGGTGCAATTTGAAATCCTGTACATCAACTTTCAGCCATTTATTAAAGTTCACTATTTTTAATTAGAACCTCTGTAATTAAAAGAAAGGTATTTTTGCATTACAAATCCTTCATACCATTGATGAACCAAACAACAAATTGAATAATTAAAGGTACTTGTCCGCTCCATATTTACGTTTTTTAGTTTTTATGAACTGCATATTCTTCTTTTTGATAGAACAATGAGAAGATGTAGTTGATCTGAATAATCTGATGTATTTGCGCTATACACTCCGAACAGTCTGGTCACACATATACATGTCAAGTCATTTTATATGAAAGTTAATAAAAGGTCAACTAAGCAAAGGTTCAAATAAACAAAAGGTGATAATTGTAAATAAAGGAGAGAGAGAATTAACATAGTATAGAAAGCGTAGGAAATTGACATATTACCCTAGGCCATTAAATGGCTTAAAGATTACCTAGGTGAATTAAAGGTTATAACAAACATAAGGGGGGGCTGGAATTTACGAATAGCCTAGGCTTCCATTAACCTCAAAATTCGTCCTTGGACGTTTCTATACAATGTTTTAAAGGCTGTCTTAATGTCAATCTTATGCCCTGTCTCATTTATGTGTTTTGCAATTGATGAACATGGTTTTCTGCATCCCACGTTTATCGGGTCATCTGAAGTTAACTGATTTTGAAGCCATTAAGGTATATGTTCCATAACCTTTGATTGCAATGTCCGATTACTCCTCTCTATGTGTGTGACCAAACAAACATGTAAATTGATAAATGCAATGGGATGTGATATAATCGTTCTAGCAATGTCTAGGCCTATGTGAAATGATGGACTGTCCCTTCATTTATAATCAGTTTAGCAGCATAGTATGTTTTCACTATGGCTGATTTTAGTTTGTCTTACAATGGAACCGTTTGATTCACCTCTAAATGGTAGAGATATCAACACTTCTTTCCTACAGAATCAAAGAGAGGGTTCATCTTAACTGATTTTTACAAATATTTATGAACTTGAATGGAAAACCGTTTGAAATCAGTGTTTCAGGCAAGAGTTTCACATGGTCTTCAAATGTATCTGTAGTGCATATTCTTTTTGCCCTACTGAGGAGGCATTTTATCAAGCCTCGATTGTGCTTCAGTGGAAAAAACTGGAAATTTAAATATTTTCCAGTCCAGGTTGGCTTCCTGTAAAGCTAACCGATTATAACTAGAAGTACATGTAGAGACAAGGACGTTAAGTGAAGGTTTATCAGTGATTGATAACTTAGTAAAGTTAAATGGCAGCTGGTTTTGTTTACTGTCAGTCAATATTCAGGTATGGTACAAAAAAGTGTATTCTGTCAAACAGTAGTCGAACATACTGAAGCATAGGTCTTGGAAATGCCAACTCTCAAGGAACTAACAATAAGTAAATTTCACCGTTTAGTTAATACTAGTAGTCATAATTTATTAAATATTTATTTATTTAAATGATAAATGTTTATTGTTATTGAAACAACTTAACAATCGCTCGATGGTCAGCCAAACGGTATTCGTGTTCAAGTAATTGGGGAAACATAGATCACCAAACTGTCAATGTAAATGTTTTTTATTTCGGATAAGCAATGATATAAGGTCGCGTTTTACAGTTAAACCTTAGGATGATCTATAGGGAAATATACTGGTTTTTATTCTGCTCTCTGCTAACAAAAAGAAATAATGGTTACCATAAGATGTAATTGTTAAACGCTTTCACTGATATCAATCGAAACTCAATGAATTTATATATTTTTTCATTTGAAATCAGAACACGAAGATAAGTAGGTTGTTTCGAAATTTAGCATAATATTACCTACTTACGCCTGTTACCCCCAATAGAACAAAGGCCGCCGATCAGCAATCTCCAACCTACTCTGTCCTTAGCCTTCCTTTCCAGTTCTATCCAATAGAATTCATTCTTTTCGTATCTGCTTCCAATTCTCGGCATAATGTGTTTTTTGGTCTTCCTCTTTTCCTTTGACCTTCAGGACTTCAAGTTGGAGTTACCTAGTGATGCAGTTGGGTGATTTCAGCAATGTGCATCCCATCCTAATTTCTTTCTCAGCTATAATCTGGTTTGATCTCTCCCACACTAGGTTGTCACTGATGGTGTCTGGCCAACGGATAAGCAGTATCTTGCGTAGAAAACTCTTAATAAACACCTGTATCTTTTGTATAATGATTTTTGTAGTTCTCCAAGTTTCCACTTCATAGAATAGAACACTTTTGACGTTTGTTCTGAGAATTCTGACTTTGGTGTTGATTGATAGTTGTTTTGAGTTCCACATGATCTTCAATTGTAGAAATACTGCGCTTGATCTGCCAATGCGTGCCTTCACATCTGCGTCAGATCCACCCTGCTTATCAATTATGCTGACCAGGTATGTAAAGGTTTCTACATCTTCCACAGCTTTTCCATCAAGTTTGATTTAGTTCGTGCATGCTGTGTTGTATTGGATGATATTAGTTTCTCATTTTGTATGTTTAAACATACTGCTGCAGAGGTTGCTGCTACATTGACCGTCTTCTCCTGCATTTGTCGTTGTTTGTGGGTTAAAGGGGCTAATTCATCTGCGAAGTCCAGGTAGTACAGCTGCACCCAAATTGTACAATGTATTCCGTGCTTCCCCCCAGATGTTGACGTCTTCATACTGCAGCCAACCACCAAGAAAAGAGAAAGGGTGAGAGCAGTCTACCTCGCCTGACAACAGTCTTCACTTGGAACAAGTCTGAGATGTTCAAGTTTTTGCTTCTCTGGTTTTTTCCAGTTGTTCTCAATGGTAATTTCCTCTTCATTGAGTTGATCGTGAAAGGCCTGGAACTTGTCACTAACGACTGTCTTGAATTCGTCGAACTTGCCAGTATTCTGAAGAAAAGCCATATTAAACTTTTGTTATGTTGTTGGCCAAGTTGTTGAGTGCTTCTTTAGTTCCGGTTTCATCTTTGCCACCACCAAATGATGATCTAAAGCTGTCTCAGCTGCTCTCTCTGTTCTCACATTCTCCATGATCCTTCTGAAATTTGTATTGATGTAGATGTAATCAATTTGGTTATGTGTAGTGTTATCCGGTGATTTTGTGTATGTGTTTGTGTGAAACAGGGTACTATCTACAATCATTTTGTTGAAGGAACATAGGTTTGCAAATCTCTCACCATTTTCGTTCCTTTCTCGCAGTCAATGTCTTCATATCCAGTGTTGTCCATTCCAACCTTGGTGTTCAGGTCTCCTATAAGAATGGTCAAGTCCTATGTTGGGCGTTTCTCAACTACTGACTGCAGACTCTCATAGAATTGAACTTTACCGTCCTCATTGTTATCGTTGGTGGGCGGAAAGCACTGAACGATGTTCATTGTGATCTCCTCTTTCTTTGTTTTGAACAAGGCTTCGCTGATCCTAGGTCCATGAGATTCCTATCCTATAAGTGCATTATATGCTTCTTTGGACAGCATAATTCCAATTCCTTGTGTATATGAGGCATTTCGTTTTGAATGTTCGAAGTAGAACATCATCTCTACGTAATCTACTCTGTCCAACCTACATCTAATGTGTCTCACTTATGTCAAGCACCACCAGATTGTAGATTTTCATTTCCTCAGCAACTTGGTTAGTTCTTCCGGTCTCCTACAATGTACGAACATCCCATGTACCTATATTAATTGTTGTTCTGGTTGTGAGAAGTGTCATCGATCTGGTGACTTCCGAAGAAACTCGGCTTTCATCGTGAGGTTTGATAACTCTCAAGATGAAGACCTTCCAACTCTCAGAGTAGAGTTTAAATGGTTTGAATTATTTTTTCTGGTTAGCGAGTTGTTTTTCTATGGGATGCGATCGCCAACAGCCCAATCCTCCTCCTTTTTCCCAGAAAAACTCCAGGCGGAATAAACAAAAATATACGATAAAATTTATGCGTATAAAATAAAATAATAGCTTTTAGCTGTACAGCTTCTTACTTCTACATGCACAAATTTACCGCATATACGAAAGAATTGAAAACAATTTAGACAAGTTTAAAAGCTCCAAAGAATCACAAACTACCACTTAAAGGCATTCAATGAACAAGGTAACCCAGTGGGTTTTTTTGAGGAAAATTTAGCCTGTCGGTAAATTATGGCTTTATAATCACTATAGATTATCTACAAATGGTTAGGTTTGTTAGTTTAAGGCTGCTAAAGGCAAACCAAATTAATGAATAAATTCATTTGACGTATGATCATAAAAATACTTCAATACGGAATCAATAGAAAAGTCATACTTAAATACTGACTATTATCTAACGATTAAGGATTTCATCGTTAGATTCATGTAAAGATCATGTAAACAAGATATTAGATATTAAATGTATTTATGTTGAAATGCCAGGTACCTTCTAAATTCACCAGTTCCAACTTATTCTTGCATCCTTCTAAACATGCCAATCATTCTTCTCTTTTCTTAGGTCAGGTGAATGTATTAGTCAATCAGAAGCTCGAAAAACCATTGACAGCTATGTTCGAAACAATCAGCTACAGTTGACTACAGATCAGAGGTAAATACAGACTATTTTAGTGCTTGCTTAGTGACATGTTTTTCTTTTTATCATTATTTCTTTTGGTAATATTCTGATCTAGTTAATAAATAAAATAATTGTCCATAAAATTTTCCTCTTCAACGGACAACAGCTGGCGATACAATATTTAGTTACCTAGATAAATGTTCACACGGATCTATGATCATGAAATCGATTGTCAGTATAGGTACATAAGTGGCAAATATTTAATCGTGCGAGGTTCTGCAAACGGCGTATTTGTTTTGTCATTTTGTTGTGTGTTGTTTTTTTTTTACCCTAAAAGTTTCAATTCAACTAACCTGTTCACAACTTGAAAATTATCTATTTTTCTCATAGTCTAGTTCGTTTAGACAAACTGTTAACAAGCATATGTGAGCCGAAAACGTTTATTGAATCGTCCGAAAGTACTATAGCAAATCCAATTTTTCACATCCGTTTCGGTGATCTTATTTCTCAAGCTTTAAAAAATTTAACTACTGCCTATCGTATAATTTATCCTGACTTGTCCACCCCTGTAATCTGGAATAAAAAAGAGCCACCGTTTATACATTTGTATACTGTTACGAAAGCGGGAAAAAAATTAGTAAGTTACTGACGGCGATCAACATTTTTGCTTTATGTATTATAAGCGTCGGTATCCTATTTCAAAAAAAGTATCAATTAATTTTAAGTTAAAAATCGCGTTTTTGCTCGAAATTGTCAGCCACTATACCAAACATGTACCAAACAAGTATTTAATCTAGAGAACATACATTTTCATAGTTCATATTTTACAACTACCACAACGTATCTTAATTTTGACGAATTGTTTCATGTCGATTTATTTGTAATCAAGCTATATTGAAACAAGGTTTGTAATTTTGCTTCAAACAAAAGGAAAACTTATACTCATCATAATTCATTTATCTACAAACTTCTGAATATGGAGAAAATGATCAAGATAGATTTGTACAGTGAAAAGACATAAAAGTTGTTTTAAGTGATTTATAGTTCCGAACGTAACGTAAACGTATATAAATCAAGTACTATTTTTTTATTGTTCCTCAATTATTCGAAAACAATTTGTTCATAACTCTAATTTCAACTCATCTCATTGTCTTACCTAAAACTTTGCAAAAACCAATAACCATCTAATCCGTTTATTTTATACAACGAATAGTCTACAGTCAGCTTGGCTGGTTACACGGTGAAAGTTTATATACTTACCATTTAGTTCCATGTTGGTACTTGTTATACATCTAGAAAATACATAATTCAAGAGTGCTTGGGAGGGTGTTAGCTGAATAAACACACTAATCTAAGTTGCTCAAAAAAGAACAAGATTAAAAACCTAGTAGCCATGAATGGGATTTGATTTGCCTACACATAAAATTTCTTGAATAGGTCCCTGTACTGTCTCATAACATAGTCTTAACAGGGCTGTAGTCAAAACATTTAACCGGAAATATAGCCAGCATTTGTAATCCGTTTCTAAAGTGTAGATCAATAAAATTAATACAAAACCAGAAACTGATAGTCACTTACGACGAGAACAATTAACACACACACCGAATAATAGCTGCGACATTAAAAAGGTTAGTGATGTTGATACAACTTATGCGATTTCATGATCGGTAATTAAATAAAGAGGATCAGAGTAATCAGTATTCTGGGATTAAATGAGCTTTAAGTGGTTAGCCTTTAACTCAAACATTATTATTCGGTTCACTCCTGTCGCTTGAAATCAACAATAACCAAACAGTAACTTATAATCGGGAATCTTCGTTTTATCTGACTTAATGTGACATCTATCCATTCATCGGAAATGCAATCCGTGCAACCTAAACTCATTCAAAAAACAATCTGGCCGCCCTATAGCTACTAACTCCCCATATTCAAAAAATATAATCCAATCCTTCCCAGTCGATGGTTACCGTTTTATTTTAATAATTTAATTAACCGTACAAATGTTTGGCAGTCACTACATGTGATATTCTGAATTGCGATCCTTTTGATGTGAACTATTGAGAAATCTCAAACGAAGAAAGAACAAGTTATCATTTATTTTATTGGTTTCTTTTCCAACGTTTCATCGACTGTTAATAATTGAAAATAGTGTAAACGACCTTCAAAATAACAAGTTTATCAATGATACAAATAAACTCTATTTGTAAATTATATCTTCAAATCTTTCGTATTATATATGTGATTTTCATGCTTAAATGAAACTTTTCAACTAACGTATCCTAACAACAATCTCTACCTTGGCTCAGTAGTCAAGCGTATCTTTCGTGATCAAACTGAGTTTTATTGGCTTGAACATTTATTCCTTTCGGTTTTATCATACCGTGTAAGTTGGTTAGAAAGTGATAAAATTAAAGTAGGAAACTCCAAAGTCATACTGCCGAATGTGCTGGAATTCAAGTGCAGTAAAATATTTATCTTTTAAAACCAGCATCTCCAGCCATGTTCAATACTAACAAATATTGACCATAAAGTTGCCGCATTTCAGCTTGTCTCATGGATTTTCGCTGTTAGTTTATGGAGCGAATGCATCCAAAACTACTCGAATGTTGTTCATGATCAACTTCAATTAGCTTATCCCTTAGTCTCTTCAAGATCATTGAGACCAATCTACAAAACCAGTTAGCTTTTCTAACCCAGAAAAAAGCATGCTTTCACAATTCGAACAACGTAAATGTTAAAGCTACGCATTTACCTAGTAGAACGACACTGGTGATAGTACATTAAATTCAATTTTACTGTATTGAAAATTTATAGGCATTATTAAAATTAACATTATATACAACTAATCCTAACCAATCATATGTTATTGAAGAAAATAAATAGTCAAATGACTCCAGACTGTTGTTAACAAAGAAAATAAACAGTTTCTCTAACTTACCTGAGTTAATTACTTGTTTATTTATTGAATTCCTCGTATATTTAGACTCGAATAGCAGAATTGGAAAATTTTCACATTAATCATGAATCATTTTCTAAACAGCTAAAAATAAATTTAGCTTGTTCAGTTGGGAAAACTGAGGATCAACAATATCCGGGTAAAATTGTCATTCAAGCCCAAGGTGTTCACCTTGCAGCTATCTCCAAATTACTTACAGGTAAGATGAATAAAATCTCTGAGCAAAAAATATATTTTGTCATACACATACCTGTTTTAATCGTATACGGATCATGGAGAAATCAAGATACATTTTGTGTAAATGCTCCAGTCTTCCTGAATTGAAGGACAAAATGAAGTAAGAAGATTGTACAACTTAGGAGATTATACAACTTATATATACTCAGTTAACAGCGTAATCGATATCATCAGGATAATTAGCTAACAAAACAAAGTATCACATTTCCATCTAACGAAAATTGTTCCGACCTACAATACATCGGTGTTAAACCGATTAAATATTATAAAAAAGTCCTACTACTGACAATCATCCAGGTTAACGCATAAATAGTTTAAATTCTTGGCTGTCTTCGTCATATATTTGAGTTCTTGTTTTAATGGCCCGCGACTTGGCTCCAGTTTGAATGAATGACCGAGTATGCTATGAAATAAATTTTGAGCGAAAACTTGTGACACTCTAATAAAATGTGCTATTCAAAATTAAAGATCCAACTAGTTTGTCAGTTACCTTATTTTAGTTCTCTGTTCAAACCCCTCACGTTTTATATCAAACAACTTGAAGTTTAGAGTTTGTTTGTATATACCAATAATAAGTAGAATAATCAGTGTCTATGTCTTGCAATACTTGTTGTACTTAGATTAATGAATATTTATTGACTGTCTTTCAGTATTCAAACATTCTTAGGATTTATGTTACATTTTATTCTACGGTTGCAACAACCAAAAACCAATTATTAAGTATCAACACATGTCTTTTACCTAATCTCAGGACTATTTTCGTAATTTATATGCAAAATGTTGACTGATATCATGGAATTGGCTGACCGACTAACCGTTGATCAACTATGGTGAAATAGTGTTGTGCAATGAAAGCTTGCCTGGCTTTCAATACTTATCCAATTTGATTGAACCTCAATCATCCGAATAACGAAACTCATTTTTCAAATTACGATTTACTTTGAATTTTTTTATTTCTTCATTATAGAATCTTATGCAATATCAAAGCGATTTATTAAAGGTTACACGGAACCAGATAAAAAGAAGTAAATATAAATTTAATCACTTACAAAAATGAACAATTTACTTCTTTGTACACAGATTTATCAAATGTTTTCTGTACAACTGGTTGAATTCAATGTACATTTTGAGAAAAATACTTCAATAATTCTAATCTACTTCAAATGCTAAACTGAATCATTTATCTAGAGCGTTAGTCAATGAATTCCAAGGGAGTGTGACAATCACATTGTCAGTTCAGCAGCTGGGAAATATATTTATTTTACCCAGTCATCACGCGAAAACATTCTAATGAACTGTACGTCGTTCCCACACTTGGAAGGTATATTATAGTTGAATTGCCTTACCCTAGCTTCTGTGCGCATAAAAGCTATTATTATTCACTTGATCCGTGAAACGATTCAGTATTAAACTATTTTTCCAAAATATATTAATCAGCTAGTGTTTCCAAAACTCGTAACAAGTAAAAATTATTTAGCACTGATGAATTTGGTCTCTAGTTGATTCGTTCATCAGTTCAGTAACAATACACATCAAGGAATATTATGATGCATTTATAGTGATTCTATTTAAAGCGATATACAGACCAAAATATTCGATCTGAGTAGTCGTAATGTTGATTTCGTAATTATTCCAAAATGATTATAAACAGTTGTCTGCTGCTAGTAATACATATATGTTGGTCCTTGTACTTATCCATCCGGAATCAACAATACTGCTTATAAATACATCAGTGTCTAGTTTTCATAAATACATATTTTACGATGTTTTTGTTTTCTCACAGTGAGTTAAGGCCATTAGGTACAGAGTTAACACACACTCAAACAGTTATCCCTCAGCTTCTGCGGTCATACTCCCAGGTCTCTAAGACCACTATTATTCTGGTTTCCTTCTAAGGCACTTTAGGAAGAAATACCTAGTCATCATTCTGTCACCTTGACTTGACCACCTCGCGTCCCCGTTGCTGTTAATTCAATTTCACTAAACGGTTCCCTGAAACTGTGCTTTAAACTACATATAGGAGCTCTCAATGTTCGAACTCTAATAGGCCAAGCCGTTTTACCTAGTATCTCGTGTCACTGATGTATGCTCTATCTAAGAAACCCTGCATGCAGTATCCAAATGCTATCATCCAATTGACCTCACCTATTCAATATGAAGAACCGGTGTGATTTACCCTTCATATGTCTGATGACTCGACTGCTATTCCGTATAACCTTGCTGGTGTAAGTACGGCACAACACGCCCATTAAGCCTGAGGTTCGACGTATAGTCGGCTATGAAATGTCTGACTAAATGGGAGGGACGTACACCAAGCATCTAAATATAGACACCCGACCGTAGCTGTTACCCTGACGTGGTGGTCGGGCTTGCCTATGGTGTTGATCCAACCAAGCTATACTGGCTGGGACATATGTTCCTAAAGGTTCTACCATGCCAGGCAGGTCGATTGGAGAACGATGAGACTAAAAACAGCTACTCAAGGTCTGAGGGCTAAGTCGTATCGCTGAATGCAAAGGAGTGTGACAGCAGTAAGGTGTTTCCCTTGGACAACCAGCATCTGCAGCGATGCTGCCTTCTCAAAATCATCAACAGCAACGTAGAACATTGCATATAAGTACAACAGTTCAAGTTGCCATAACGGAGTAGCACAGAGATATAACTGTCAATCCAAATCACCTAGTAAGAGTATTAGAAGTTATCGGAGAGATTAGGGTTCCAAGATGTTATTCAAGAAGTATAATTCAGTGAGGTAAATTTAAAAAGAGAAAGAGGCGATGAGGAATTCAGGTTAAGATTTCATAGAACACAAAGAGTAAATGCACCTGCGCCATTGCAAATGATTATGAGCCATGTCACTCTGGGTATCTAATCATCGATTTTTATCATCTCGCGGACACTGACCAGTTAGTTGACACCTACCGACATAACTCAGTCCACTTGTCAGTGACTTCATGGATTTCTGCCGTATTTTGGTTTAGCCGCCTCTAGATTTCCTGCCACCTATTACCACACCACAAAACATAGCTCGACGAGGCAATCTGTGGTCAGGCATACACAACACATATCCTAACCACCTCAACTGATGCAGTTTCAGTACTTCATCTATTGACGCGCCATCCTTACCTAGCACCCGTCCCCTAACAACAGTATCGCTTACTGGGCTGTCCCTCGATACTCGAGCAATGCTTCGAAGGCACCTATGATCGAAAACCAATAACCGACGAGTATCTCCTACTCTCACTGGCCATGTTTTACAGCCATAAAGTAAGACGGAGCGAACTACTGCGCAGTACACTCGTCGTTTAGTCAGCGAACGGATATATCGCCTACGCCATAAGTGACGCAGGTTGGCAAAAGCCAATCGAGCCTTCTGTATGCGTGCCGAGATTTCGTCAGTCACGAGGCCATCAGCACTGATGAGACTCCCAAGATAAGTGAAGCGGTCTACACGTTCGAACACTTCACTCCCTATCATTAGTTCAGGTGCCGATGAAACCCAATCTTGAAGCAACATTTTGCATTTCGAGGGGGGAAAACCGCATACCGAACATGCTTGCATTGTTGCTTAGGGTAGTCAGAAGACTCTGCATTTTGTCAGCGTCTTCACCAAGTAGGACTATGTCATCGGCATATTCTAAGTCAATAAGCGAGCCACCAGGTAAAAGGTTGTTGTAACGGTTGAGTACGATATTTCCCGGCTAAATCTTATTGCTTAGTATTCTTGACACAAGACACTGGACAAGTAACACAAATCAGAACACGGTTGAACAGGAAGGATTGTATTCCAAAATAGCAAGGAAAGAAGCTGGAGGTGATGGCGAAAGCCAAGGCAAAAAGGCTTGAAAGCGAAGAAGGCTAGAAGGCCAAGATAAATACAATGCTAGTCTATTTATAGCCTTTGCATTAGAAAACTTCTGGAAGGAAATTCACGTGATCGACTGGACTGGATTTGACCAATCAGCATGCAGCTAATAATACGAGAATTTTCTATCCTGTTCTCCAAGCTTCGATCAGGCGCTGATTGGATAGGAAATTAGCCAATCAGCGCGTAGTGACGTAATCATGCTTTAAATCCATCTATGTCCCACTAACAAAGGTCTACTCCAGAAAATTCAGACGAGGATAAGGTTATTTCTAGGAGCATGTCTATGATAAAATTAAACAAGAATGGAGAAAGTGGACATCCCTGACGGACACCACTTGAAGTGAAGAATTCCGGTGACAGTTCACCATAAGCTCTCACTCGACCAGTGGTGCTTGAGTAGAGAGCTTGTATGACCAGAGAAAGCGCAGTAATTATGAAAACGAAATTTATAACGATTAGCGCTTTTATATACATAGTGATAAGTGCTAACAAGTACTCCTAGCTAAATACTATTTGGAAGTTTAATTCGTTTGAATATGAATTTGGAAAACACCGCTACTAAGAATTCATTGAAAATGACGCTTTCAATGAACAGCCATAACCTTTATATCAACAGTAAATCAATCTAAATGATACCGTATCTAACATAAAAAGTCAATCATTTTAAAAAAATAAAGTTATATATAATCTGAATAGAAAATATTAAACTAAATATACGACCAATTACAATGAAGGTAACAGTCGAATCAATGATTCACTTGTTTACATGGAACAATTGAAATAAAAAAGTATGAAGCTAATCTTGTTGCTTGACAGGACTCTGAAGTCGACGACGTAGCGCATTTGTGAACCGTTCAAAAACACTAGGTGGATTTTGTGAATCAATACGACGTTGTAAACGGGATAAATAGTTAGCTGCTTTCTCTTCATTGCGAAAACGTAACCAAAATACATCTGGATGAGATTTGCGAAACTGTTAATGAAAACGTGTAAACAATATAAGAAATGAGAGGACTGTAATAACCACTTCTTGTAAACTCTTAACAGTAATATATCGGAAAATAATGAATGACAAACGTATTCCCTAACCACTAAATACATTAAAAGACTAATATTAATTTGGATGAAATTTAGCGAAGAACAACTTATACCTGTACTGCTTTTGTGGTTATTTCCTGTTACACTAAATTAAAACAGATAGCAAAAACCAGAAGATTCAGCAGTAGTTAATTTCGGCATATAAAAAACTCAACTTCAACTTACATCTTGAAGACATTTCATCTTTCTACGTGGATTCATGTCACGGTCATTGAGAATTTGATTTAAAAGTTTAATCAGATGAGCTGTATTACCTAATGCAGCTAATCGTTTAGGATCTAGATCAGACTAAAAAATTTCGAAAAATAAACTATGCATATTTATGTTTCAATGATAATAAGTAACATGAAAATTATTACACGTGAAATCATAAGTAGTGATGTACAATAATGAAAACCGCTTCATAAACTTCCTTAAAATGTTAACTAACTGGAGGCGGTCAGAAAAAACCGAACGTTTGCCCAGGTTTGTACTCATCCGTAAAGTATAACTACATTCATTAGCTTCTTCAAAACAAAATTCAGGTTAACCTATTTGCTACCCAAGATTTCAGACGTCGCAACTGGAGAACGCCTAAAATTAATCTCCAACACTATACACCCACTCTTCAAGGAAATAAAACCTAACTTGTAAACAATAAACTTTATGCAAAGAATATTACTTTTAAACAAAGGTCTTTAAGGCGATTATTCAGTCAGTCAATAACAACGCAGAACTTGGTGAAGACGCTGACAAAATGCACTGTCTCCTGACTACCCTAAACAACAAGGTAACATGTTCGGGATGCGATGCTCCCTCTTGGAATGCAAAATGTTACTTTAAGATTCACTTGTGACGGCACCTAAACTAGTGATAGGGATTGAAGTAGTCGGGCGTGTTGACCGCTTCACTTATCTGAGGAGTCTCATCAGTGCCGATGGCTTGGTGACTGACGAAATCTCAACACCGACACAGAAGGCTCGATTGGCTTTAGCCAAGTTGCAGCACTTGTGGCACAGGAGAGATATCCGTTTGCTAACGGAAAGACGAGCGTACTGCGCAGAATTTCTCTCCGTCCAACTTCAAGGCTGCGAAACATAGCCAGTGAGAGTAGAAGATATTCGTAGGTTACTGGTTTTCGATCATAGGTGTCTTCAAAGTACCGCTCGTATATCCCGGGACTATCGAGTAAGTAATGCTATTGTTAGGGCACGGGTTCTAGGTAAGGATAGGAGGTCAGCAGATGAAGTATTGAATTTTCATCAGTTGAGGTGGTTGGGACATGTGCTACATATACCCAACCACTGACTACCTCGTCCAGCTATGTTTTGTGGTGTGGGAATAGGTTGGTAGAAAGGTAGGGGCGGCCAGACCATAACATGGCAGAAATTCATGAAGTCTGGACTGAGTCATCTTGGCAAGTGTAGACTACCGGGACGGTGTCCGCGAGACGAAAGTCACCGATGCTAAGAGACCTTGAACGTCATGGTTCAATATCATTTGCAATGGCACAGGTGCATCCACTCTGTCTTCTCTCAAATTCTAGTGTTCCGAGTTTCTCCTCACTTTTCTTTTTAAGTTTATTTCACTAGATTCTACTACTTGAATATCTTCGAACACTAATCTCTCTGATAACAGCTAATACTTCTCTTGCAACTACGACTAGGGGAACTGTTCTGAGTATTCCATCTCTCTTCGATAATGTAGTTTGGCGACTCGAATTGTTGTACGTAAGTACGCAGTTCTCTGTTGTTGTTGTTGACTGACTTATTTCATCAATTCATCTGCGATCTTTACAGATTACCCTTTTTTAAACCTACGGTTTACATTGAAATAATTCAAATTAGAGAGAAATGTCAGAGACAAGTAAAGACATAAGAATATTATATATATATATATATATATATATATATATATATATATATATATATATATAATTCATAACATAATACCATTTCAAACATTCAAACGTACAAAACTCTTCCATTTTATTAATTGAAACTGCCGAAGTCCGATTGATCATTAGTGGGAACGATCATCACAATAGACTAATCAATAAAAAACCCTCTTCTTCTAAATGATTTTCGTGAACATAAGAATCGCCAGACTACAATCAAGTTTTGGGTTATTGTAGCGACCAGTCATTATGTGACATAAACATTTTTTTATTTGATGACGAGTTTGTCATATTGAATACTTTGAATGGTTTCCTGTATTTTGTGTTCACTGTTTCTGGAATGCCTGGATTTTTTGACGATAATTGTCGCCACGTAAATAATAATTATTTATTTATTTGTTAGATAGTATATCAGAAACAGATATTCTAAATTTTATCCAAGTTTTTCTATATCTTGATGTGTCTATGCAATTTGCAAAACATTTTACCGATTTAAATGGCGAGTGAATAAAAAAGCTTCAAAAAACTGTGCTTTACATGGTTAAGCAATGAACATGATCCCTCTACGATGTAATTGAAACCTTTTACAAAACTTTCATGTACATAATAAACATAATTAAGAATTCCTTAGCAACAAAACAGCAATAACATATAAATAATACCTGCAAAAATATACTTGAATTTGAACCAGTGAGAGAATTTTCTACACTCCAATTCTCAGAACGACCAAACCGATCAGAAGACTCTTCACTGATAAAAAATGTAGAATGTGATTTTATACTTAGATTTCCAATACCTAAATTATTTTTATCAAACATAAGATGACAATTTAAAGTATCAGTAGAACGTGGAGAGTTTTGTAAACTGCTACTTCTACCATTTTTTGTAGGAGTTGATGCAAATTCAATTGGATTATCTCGTGAATTAATTAATTTTAGCATTCTACAGTCTAAGCCAAAATTCGATACTGATCTGGTTGACGGAATACATGCTGGAGAAGATACACATTCCGATGATGACGATGATGAATGAGCTAATCGTGGCTTTCTTGAACCCTGTGATTCGAAACCAACTAATCCAATAAGCTAAATCGATTGAAAATGAACAGATAAAAAAGTTGGTTACTCTCTACAAATATAAAATATGATAGAAGTTTAGAGAATACTAGTGACGAAGTTTTTATTATTTAAAATTTTAATGAGCAAGCATTTCACAATAAGATATAATTAACAGGGTTGATACTTGTAAAAGATTCTTATGATTATGAGTATTATTGCTAATATAACTTGATCATTACTAATATTTTGCTACACTAACCTCTTCCAAGTGCAAAATAGTTTTTTCTGTTTTTAAATTATTACTGGTCATACTGTTGTTATTGTTAACAGATTGCAAATAATACTGTAAACTGTTGGGTAATGTTAAAAGAAAGTTTTCTGAATCACAAAGTAGTAAACAAAGAAGACATTCTCTCCAACAAATACGTGAATTTGTCCTATTAACTGCATTTTCATTGGCGGAATCACTTGACACACGTAAAAGTAGTGGCCCAAAATGTTTTACAATCTTTGGGAAAAAAAATTGAAAAATAAATATTGAAATATAAAATGAAAAAGAAATACAACGAAAGTATATTTCGAATAGCATGCAAAAGAGAATCTCCGTTAATTGGTGTAAATGCACAAACAATGGATGTTTCAATGGGTAATTAGAACTTGCAGTTGAGTACAAAAGGTTAAGGATGGTAATTTCAGACAAGAGTATCAAACCACAGACTAAAACATAAGCTTCTAAATTAAGTGCCATGAAATTACTATTACTAATATTAGAAAACACCAAGTGAATGGTTATCGCATTGGTAGTTTGAAATGAAAGGTACTAGATTCAAGTTTCGACTGTGAACATCAACACAGGGCTGCGTGTATACTCAGCAGACTAGTTCGAAAAGCGATCAAACGAACAATTTAAATCTCACAGCTAGCTACTTTAAAACCGTGGTTAATACAAAATGGTATGCATTGATAGGTTTCATTCATATTATCACTCGTTTTCTTTGTCTCTTCTCATATTTTCTTCCTACTGTAAGTGATAATAAATAAACTACCATACTAATCTTCTTCACTTGTATATGTTTGATTGTATTACAATCAAATAGCTACATAACTATACAATTGTATATTCGAAATATGAAATATAGGATAATAAAGATTCTAAGTATGAAGATATTTTTTGGTGACCAGAATTCATAGTCCTATAATTGGTTTTTATAGTCTCAGTTGAGGACAAACTTTCCTACCTTAGAGAGGTTGATTTGACTTATAATCAATATGTCACAGGTTCGAAACCCGTTTTAAATCAAATTCACTTGCACAAAATGACTACTGAATACTAAATCATAGTTAAATAATAAGCCAATGGGAAATCGAATTCAAATTTCAATACATTTACACAGAAATCATAAAAAGTATTAATTGTGAAAGAAACGTTTTCTTTCATAAAAACGGGAAAAGAAAATCATTTGACACTTTTTATGACAGTGCATTTTTATACGCAAAAACAATGTTCACATTGCCCATTTAAAACTACATACATAAATATATTTTTAGAAAATTATGGGCGTGCAACCACACATGTCATGATATTATACTATTTTTACTACTACAAATATTAAACAAATGGTGATTTGTATTGAAAAGGAAATGACGAGATTATGCTAGAAAAAGAACGTGTGACTTAGAGCTATTAAAACGAAATCATTTCATTGAATATTAGTGATAAGTTAAGAAACAGTGTTTTTCCTTCAAGGAAAAAAAAGAGGGACAATCAGAATCTTTTGAAAATATATGATGGAAAATCTATACATCCAAATTTTTGCAGATAAAAATTACCTAGATTAAGTGCAGCACTTTTTTCCTTAATGATCTTATTTCTATAACCACTGTAAAGAAATCATGAAAATAACGCGAATATGCTTGCATCCGAACGAAACCAAGCTTATCGGTAAGATAAACATTCAAAGAAATTGTAATACATACAGTTGTGATTAGAATAGATAAGCATAACAAAATATATCACAAAAAAGTGAAGGGACTTCAGATAGTACATAACTCAACAGTGAACAAATAGAGAACTAGCACAAAGGAAATGATATGGAAATATGATATATGAGTACGAGAAAACTAGGTATATCAGTACTAACAATAATTACATGTATTTGTGCTCCAGTAAGGTCGATTATGAATCATATTAACTAGGCTCTTCAATGACCGATTCTGTACAATTCAGGACTTTACAAAATTCATGATACTTAACTAAGCACACAGATCCAGAAAATTTCGTATGATCCTCCTGCAGACTAAAAAATACACACACTAGCTCTTATATGTATTATAGACTTTATTTGAGTCAGTTTACATTTATTAGTAAAATAAACTTATTGAAGAATAGATGGAGCAATATGGTATTTGGAGAAAAAACTTCGTCATATATACAAAAACATACCGTATGCAATGTAATTTCCAACGATGATGGAACATCGGATGCTAAAATGCTTGCAGATTTATTTTCAATATTTTCATATGAACCATAGTTTACAAACCACGAGGCTAAATGTTCATGATTTGATAGTACTCCACGTAATAGATCAACCATCATTTTTAACCGGGAAAACATTAAAGGTGGTAAAAAAAGTAAAACCAGCTGGCAAGCAAGAGCTAAATCATAAGTCTCCATGATAGGCCAGTGATGTTGAATAGACGAGATTGGATCATTTGGTATCTGATCGGATAAACAATATGAACCAAGATTTGAATGTTGAGTATATGAGGTAGTAGGCAAATTACGCTCATCGTTAGATTTGCCAGAATCTCCTTGATAATTAGTTGTGATATATTTATTGATGCGATATGACTCACTAAAATTAAATATGTTCATTGCATAAACTACTGGTGAAAACTACTAAAAACCATATTTCAGAAGTGTTCTTAGTAAGTACCTAAGGTCATAAAATGCTTTAACGGAATAAAAACACAAAAAAAACGAGCATTATTTGGGAAAAATCTAAAATTTTAGTTCAGGAACTAGGTAGACATGACTAGTCCACTAGACTTATGATTGCCTCATAAATTTCCTAAATAACTGGGGAATATTAAACTCAGTCATTGGAAAAGTGTGTGAAGTTTACTGATAGTATGTTGTTCCGTGTTTATAGAAACAGCATTTACAAAAGCTGTACGTAGTTATTGAAATTCAACCAACACAGATGAATAAGAAAAATATCTTCGAGTTAAATATCACGAGAAAAGAATATAGTCCAGTGAAACAGTTAATTTACCTTCGATTGATACGTTCATTCGAGTGATTACTACATTCATTCAAGTAGCATAAAAACATCTTCAGGAATTCCAAATTAGACAATAAGTTCTATTAAATTCTTTTTAGCTGTATTTACGTAGTTACTCTTAAATGAAGTATCACAGACCTCCATTCTATAATGGAATAGCTTTCTATAACACTTTTTAAGTATTACCCTTGAGAATTAACACCGCCTATAGACCCTTCAAGGCTACTGCCAGTCCCGAGCCCGAATAAAGGATGAGGGTTGAGCTTCGAGTTGGCGACCACATGCTGTAGAAAAATAACTCGCTAAAAAACGCTAACAAGAAGAAATGTTTCAAACAACAAACTCCGCTCTGGGAGTAAGATCTTCATTCAGAAGAGTTATGACGTTTCATGATAAAAGCCGAGTTCCTTCGGAAGATGGGAAGGAGGCCGGTGCCCCTTCTGACAACCGGAGCCATTCCACGGTGTGGGCAGCCGTGAAGAAACATCCACCCTCACACCCGAATAGGTCAAAATCAAATTCCACCTATACCCCCTACCAACTCCCTTATATCCACCATTAACTCTTCCCACATTCCTCTATCACCCTGCACCACTAAAGCAAACAATGCGAGTTCATGCAGTGTCATTCCTGGTCTCCCGCAACCCCGTTCTAAATTAAATGTTGGAGCATTTAATGTTCGAAGATTGTGTCAAATATGGCAACAGGCTTCATTAGCTAGAACTCTGGAATCCCGTGAAATCGCTGTGTGTTCCGTCTCCGAAACACGCATACAAGATCCGAGTAAAATCATCAATTTGATTTCACTTAGTGCAAATAAAGACACAAAACGGTTTAAACTTCGTGTTTCTGGTAGCCCTGATGCTACCTCCCGTGACCTCGTCGGTGTAGGTATAGTATTAAGTCCTAGGGCAGAACTAGCTCTCGCACATTGGATCCCGGTAGACAGTCGCTTAAGCGCTGTCCAACTAAACGCGACAGTACGGACTCGTAAAGATTGGGACATTCGCCGTTGCCTCTTTGTCATCTCCGCCTACCTCTCCCACTGACTGCAGTTCAGACGAGGTGAAGGATGAGTTTTACAGAAAGCTTCCAGGCCTCCTCAAAAAGTTAGGTGCTCTGATACGTAGTAATGGCTAGTGACTTTTGTGCTTAAGTAGACTAGGTGATAAGGAAAGACACATAGGTAGATCTTACGGTGTCACTGCTGACCGAACAGATAATGGCGACCGTCTTCTGTAGCTATGCTCAGATAACCGCCTATTCCTAGCAAACGCTAACTTTGAGCATAAGGCAAAACACCTTTTGACTTGGCGACCCCAACGCCGACCCAACTAGATCACATTGCCATATGCATCAGTGGAGAAGCTCTATTGAAGACTTCCACCCATTCTGGAGCACTTGTTTAGTCTCAGACCATGCTCTAGTACGTGCGCGTATTTGTTTGGACGCAAGAAAAATATCGCAATGTAACCTCTTAGGGCTATATTAATGATAATAAAGCTAAGAATATATTTCAGTAACAATTAGAAAAACAGTTAGGCGATGATGTATGCAGTGATATCTGCTAGTAAGATAAAACATAAGGATTTCAGTAGCAATTATCGAACTGATACATGCTCGGAAACGCATCGCACTCAGAACCAGGTGGGGAGTCAGTTTAGGCGCAGGCTGGTAGAAAGCCTACGCAATGATCGTGAACAGTGGTGGGTAGAGAAAGTGAGAGAGATGAAAAAGGCAGTGGCGATAAGCGACTATTCAGACTTACCAAGGATACCGGTATTAGGAACCCGATTGAAAGTGAGGAAAATGATAGGTAGATTGACCCCTGAGATTTTTAAGGATGGTGGTCAAGTTTTAGCAGCTAGATTGACTGAGATCTTAGGTAGAATCTGGGAACTAGACGTAATACCACCCGACTGGTCTCAATTAAGATGAAACGATAAAAGTCTTCTTGTGACAATCACAGAGAAATCAGTCTAACGAATATGATGTCCGAAATATTAACTTCAATAATACGTTGACGCCTAAGTAGAGCTCGTGAAGAGCATACTATAGAAAACCAGGCTGGTTTCAGACATGAACGTAGGTATGTAGACCACATTTTCACACTACGACTGGTCCTGGAACACAGACACACATTAACCTTATAAAACCTCTCTACTCGAATACCACTGGTAGAGAGAGCTTACGGAATTCTTTATTTTAAGTGGTGTCTGTCAGGGCTGTCCATTCTCTCCATTCCTGTTTAAGGCTGTCGTAGATATGCTTTTAAATTTAGCATTGTCTTCATCCGACTCTTCAGGAGTAGACCTTCTACCAGGGGATTCATTGGTTGACTAAAAGTATGCTGATGACATAGTCCTATTAGGTGAAGACGCTGACAAAATGCATTCATCTGATTACCCTAAACAACAATGTAAGCGATGTTACGCTTGGAATGCAAAATTTTGCTTCGAGATTGGGTTGCATCGGCACCAAAACTAGTGATACGGAGTTAAGTAGTCGAGCGCGTTAACCCATTCACTTATCTGGGGAGTTGCATCAGTCCTAATGGTCTGGTGTCTGACGAAATCTCAGCACCGATACAGAAGGCTCAATTGGTGTCACTTATGGCATAGGCGAGATATCCGTTTGCTAACAGAAAGATGAGTGTACTGAGCAGAAATTCGCTTAGTCCTACTATACGGGTATGAAAAATGGAAACTAAGAATGGAAGATGATCGTAAGTTGCTGGTTTTCTATCATAGGTGTCTCCGAAGCATCGCTCGTATCTCCCTGGGACCATCGAGTAAGTAATGCTGTCGTTAGGAAACGTGTACTAGGTAAGGAAGGAAGGTCAATAGATGAAGTATTGAATTATCATCAGTTGAGGCGGTATGAATATGTGCTATAAATGCCCAAGCGCCGACTACCTCGTCGAGCTATGTTTTGCGATGTTGGAATGGGTTGGTAGAAAGCTAGGGGCGGCCAAACCAAAACATGGCAGAAATCCATGAAGTCACTGACAAGTGGACTGAGTCATGCTGGTAGATGTAGGCTACCTGATTGGGGTCCGCGAGTCGAAAGTCACCGACGGTTGGAGACCTTGAACGACATTGCTCAGAATCGTTTGCAATGGCGCAGTTGCATGCTTTCTTTGTGTTCCATGAAATTCTAAGCTTCTGCGTTCCTCATAATCTCTCTCTTTCTCCTTCTAAATTTATCTCACTGAACTATACTTTTCGAATCATATCTTCGCTCCCTAATCTTCTTCATTACTGCTAATACTTCTATTATTGGATTTGAAGTCACAGTTGCGTCTCTGTGCTGATGGGGCATGGCAACCTGAACTGATGTACTTATGTACGAAGTTCTGCGTTGTATCTGTCTGTCTATCCCCGTAAATTATAGTTTACTCACAAAATGAAGGCATGTATAGAAAAGTCATAAGACACAAACTGAAATTAATCAATTACACCTTACAAATTAACTCACTGGTAAAATGATTCTGAGCCACTGAGCCTCCTCGTTTTGCCCGTTTGAAGTAACATACTACTTAACTGGATTGAAACAAATACACAAGAACAAAATCTCTTAACGACTGATTTGGTGCTTATATGATTTAACACAAATGTTTAAAGAAATTTTACGCATCTAGGATTCACTGAGATTAATTTTGTTTTCAAATCAGTCAGTCAGTCAGTCAGTTGCAACGTAGAACTTCGTACGTAAGTACATCAGTTCATGTCGCCATACCACATCAGCACAGAGAAGTAATCGTCAATTCAAATCCAATAGTAGAAGAGGTAGTAAAGGTATTAGAAGTAATCAGAGAGGTTAGAATTAGAAGATATTATTCAAGAAGTATGATTCAGTGAGAAAACTTTAGAAAGTCAAAAGTAGAGAGGTTGGAGAATCCAGAAGATTAGGATTTGACAGAACACAGAGAATGAATGCACCGGCGCCAGTGCGAACGATTATGAGCCATGTCATTCAAGGTCTCTAACCATCGATTATTATCAACTCGCGGACCCCAACCAGGTAGTCGACAATTACCGACATGGCTAAGTCCACTAGTCAATGACTTCATGGATTTCTGCCATGTTTTGGTTTGGCCGCCCCTAACTATCTTCCAACCTATTCCTACACCACAAAACAAAGCACGACGAGGCAGTCGGTGGTTCGGCATATGCAACACGTGTCCAAACTACCTCAACTGATGAAGTTTCACCACTTCATCGATTGATCTGCCATTCTTACCTAGTACCCGTTTCCTAATAACAGCGTTGCTCACTCGGTTGTCCCACGATATACGAGCAATGCTTCCAAGACACCTATGATCGAAAACCAATAACCGACGAGTATCTTCTACTCTTAACGGCCATGTTTCACAGCCATAAAGTAAGACGGAGCGAACCACTGCGCAGTACACTCGTCGCTTAGTCAGCGAACGGATATATCGCCTACGCCATAAGTGACGCAGGTTGGCAAAAGCCAATCGAGCCTTCTGTATGCGTGCCGAGATTTCGTCCATCACCAGGCCATCAGCACTGATGAGACTCCCAAGATAAGTGAAGCGGTCTACACGTTCGAACACTTCACTCCCTATCACTAGTTCAGGTGCCGATGAAACCCAATCTTGAAGCAACATTTTGCATTTCGAGGGGGAAAACCGCATACCGAACATGCTTGCGTTGTTGCTTAGGGTAGTCAGAAGACTCTGCATTTTGTCAGCGTCTTCACCAAGTAGGACTATGTCATCGGCATATTCTAAGTCAATAAGCGAGCCACCAGGTAAAAGGTCTACTCCTGAAAATTCAGACGAGGATAAGGTTATTTCTAGGAGCATGTCTTTGATAAAATTAAACAAGAATGGAGAAAGTGGACATCCCTGACGGACACCACTTGAAGTGAAGAATTCCGGTGACAGTTCGCCATATGCTCTCACTCGACCAGTGGTGTTCGAGTAGAGAGCTTGTATGAGGTTAATGTACTTCTTTGGTACACCTTTCAATGACAGACACTGCCACAGAACCTCACCATCAACTGAGTCAAATGCCGCCTTAAGGTCCAGGAAAACAACTATTGTAGGACGCCTAAATGTGTGTCTGTGTTCCAGGACCTGTCGTAGTGTGAAAATGTGGTCTATACAGCCACGTCCAGGTCGAAAACCAGCCTGGTTTTCTCGAGTTTGCTCTTCACGAGCTTTCGTTAAGCGTCGAAGTATTACTGAGGCCAATATTTTAGATACTATATTAGTTAGACTTATTCCTCTGTGATTGTCACAAGAAGACTTCTGTCCTTTCTTATAGATTGGGACAATCAGTGATTGAGACCAGCCGGATTGGATCACGTCCAGTTCCCAGATTCTACCTAAGATCTCAGTCAATCTAGCTGTTAAAACTGGACCACCATCCTTAAACATCTCAGGGGTCAGTCTATCAGGACCTGCGGCTCGCCCTCGCTTCAGATTTCCTAACGCTTTCTCAACTTCATTAAGACTAGGGGGACTTAGGTCGATTTGCCATTCAGGATGACTGGAGATCGTGGGTAACTGAAGAGTGGCTCGAGGCCAGTTGAACTGATCCCTAAAGTGTTCTGCCCATCGATCCAGTCTCCTGGATTGAGAATAAATAATAGTCCCGTCATTTTCTGAGATAGTCGCACTTACACTAGGATTCCTAATACCAGTTTCCTTGATAAGTCGGAAAAGTTGTCTACTGTTGCCTATCGCCGCTGCCTTTTCCATCGCTTTTGCTTTCGCCACCCACCACTGTTCGCGATCGTTACGTAGGCTTTTTATAAGTCTGCGCCTAAGTTGACTTCGTTCTTCATCATGTTCAGAGTCAGGTGGGATGAGTTTTCGAGCATCCATCAGATCGGTGGATGCTACTGAGATCCACGGTTTCATTCTAGCCTTATGGTCAACCTTACTAGCAGATATCACTGCTGTTTCCACAGCCTTTTTGATATCATTCCATCCAGCTTCCGGATGGGAATCGCTTAAATGGTCGCCTAACTGTCTTTCTAGTTGTTCCTGAAATATATTTTTCGCCTTATTATCATTAAGTAAAACCCTAAGAGGCTTTCTTACGGTGTCTTTCCTACGCCCAGTAAGCTTCAAACAAATACGCGCTCGCACTAGGGCATGATCTGAATCTAGACATGTGCTCCAGAACGAGCGACAGTCAAATGATCAAAAGTGGAGTTGTTCATAACTGACTGAATATAGGAAAATATAATTAAATGCATATATTAAATAGAAAGAAGTTGAGAAGTACAGTGACGTATTATACATGAGAAAGATGGTGTGAACTATCAACATACCATAGTTTCCACTAACATCGGAATTGTCGACTTTTTTTTAAAAGAGAACTGAACAAATGCATTTAATTTAACCGGAGGCTTTTTTTATTTAGACATATAATGAAATTACATCATTGTAAAAAATTATTGCTCTTTGATCACTTATTCTTATGTTCTTTGAAAATTTTTAAAGAGTTTATAATAATATTAACCATGCATCAGACACTCTACCGTAGATACTACTTTAACGTAGTGGTCCAAAGGAGCAACTTAAGGTCCACGGGAGAAGTCGTACTGATGACTATAGTAAAGTTTTTTCCTAGGAGAATCAGCATCTGTAGTGATGCTGTCTTTCCACAACGGAAGAGGTTAGAAAAGGTCGGTTGTAAAACTGTTACACTTTACCCTACCCCGCTTCTAGCAGTAAGGCTTTTTGAAAAACGGAGACAAGGCATCAACAGTTTGCCACAGCAAGACCATTAAGAATAGCTCACCGGTGTTTTTGACGCATTGCTTATGTATTCTGAGACAATCGAGTAAGCGATGTTGGAGTAAGGAGAACGGAACTAATTAAGGATGGCAAATCAATTGACAAAGTAGTGAATCTTCATCGGTTGAGGCAACCTGAACAAATGTTAAGTATGTTTAACCACCGCCTACCTTCACAATCGACGTTGTCTGTAGTAGGAATAGATTGGGAAAAAGTAGGAACAGTCAAAACAAAGCATGCCACTAGCCCATGGAGTCACTGTCAGTTGAACTTAGTCATGTTAATAGGTGCAGACTACCTGGGGTCCACGTAGTATTTGTAACCAGTGGTTAGAGACTTTGTATGACATGACTCAAAATCATTTACAATGGCATCTATTCTTATTCGTCCTCCAAATCCTAAAATTTTGAATTCCTCATAATTTTTTGTCTATTTTCATGAATCGTATCTTAGATCCCTAGTCTTTCTGAATACCGATGATACTGTTATCACCTCTACTACTCTGGAATTTGGCCTGACAATTTTATCGCTATGAACTAATGTGGTGTGACAACTTGAAATGATGGCGTACCAGGTTCGATATTGAAACTGACCAACTAGTCAGAGACACGTCGAAGTATGGAAAATTCGCTTCATGACTTTGATTTTGAACGACCATTTCATACATTAAATCTTTCAAAGTCATTTCAGTAAATCAAGGATGCTTTACACCATTAAAATTTGCTGAACAGAACACATAAATAAATTGAAGATAGATCAACAAACGTCATGTAATTGACCAAAAAATGTAATATTTCCATTCAAAAAATTAATTTAGTGAACGAAGTTGAAAATATGCATAGTCATGAAAGTATACTGATGCTAATAAGTTAAACTTACGTTTTCATATTTCTGACAAGGATCAGATGTCCTTACGTGAAATCTTCGACAGTGCACAATCGGTGAAATAGGGTGGTATTCAGTGACTATAGGAAAATTAAAGTATTATGAAGGAAAATAATTAAATTTCACTATGATAGATTAAAACTCAACAAAATTAGGTCGGACAACCTGAACAACCGGCCCACAAGATAACATGAGCAAATTATCACACATTAAAGTAGATAAATAATGAGAAGTTAGATTTGCATACACAATTTTCGCTTTCAACTTTGAACTGCTCAAATTTCTCTCATACAGACCAAGAGTATTCCTATTTTTTTTGAAATAAATACGAAATAAACTTTCACCTCGATAAGTGGTGCGCGCTACTTATAAGTAGTACATGATGAGAGTGAAAACGTAATGTCTGGCAGCAGAAGATGGGGGAAGATCAAGAAAGGAAGAGTGGGAACACAATGGAATTTGTATGAAACGCATGAATAGTGAAAATGTCAGACAATGGATTGATGATGGATTGAAGATTTGCAAATTATCGGTTACGATATGGTTTCCTATTTTACTGAGTAACTCTGTAATTTTCGTTTAATACAATTCGGTTGCCCTCACCGGTGTTCTCCTTCACTACATTTGGTGTCGCTGCCTACACAAAGGATGAAGCTACCATGGCCGAAGGAGTTTGAGGACGGAGATGTGCGGAGCTTCCTGAAGGAGTTCGAGGCCGTGGCGGGGCTGGTGGGGGTGAAGGAGCCGAGGACGAAGTTGGTGGTGCTGGGGACGCTGCTGAGAGGTAGGGCAAAGGCCGTATATTACAGCTTGGACGGTGCTGGCGGAGACGACGTGGGAGACGGGCACCGGGCGGCTGATGACGGAGTTCGATAGCCCAGTGGACAGGGAGAAAGCGCAGCAGGAGTTCCGGTTGGCGAGGCTGTCGGTGACCCGCTGGTGCTTGCTGTGGAGCTCAACAGATTGTTGCGCCGTGCTCTGCCGAACATCGATTAGGAGTCGAAAGCACAGTTGTTGGCGTCGCAATTTATTGAGAGTGTGCCTGCCGCCTTGTCCCATGCAGCGCAACCTATGGACATCGGTGAACTGGCGAAGGTGACTCGTCAGCTGATGACACCACAAGCTTATCGAGACCGATATTAGGAGCAGATTTTCTAAGAGAGGTAAAGGCGATAATTGACTTGAGAAGCGGTAAAATGGTCACAAAGTACGGTTCATTGACAATACACGAAAGTAGCGAAGTGGCTGAAATAAAGATGACAACGGACGTCTCAACCAAGAAACCAAACATTAACGAGTAATGCGCAAAGTATGCGAAACTGTTCACTGGGGATGGGGTGCCGTATGGATTTTGTGACAAAGTGAAGCATGAAATTCCTATAAAGAACGACCGAGTAAATATATTTGCAACACGTCATGTCCCGATGCATTTAGAGGCCGGTAAACAAGATGATGCATGGAAGACTCGATTGTTGCTGCGTAAGTTGGGAAGCGATGAATATGCACGTTATGCTGACCACATACTACCGAAGTTACCTCGAGAGCTCAGTTTCGAGGAGACAGTAACTCAGCTGTCAGATATTTTCGGCGAATCATCATCATTGTTTAGTATTAGATATCAGTGTCTAAATCTGGTGAAACACGAAGATGATGAATATGCGGTTCTTGCAGAAGTCGTCAACAGAGAATGTGAACGGTTCAAGTTACGCTCGTTGACAGAAGACCAGTTTAAATGTCTACTATTCATCAAAGCTCTTCAGTCACCGCAAGATGCTGAAATCAGAACTAGACTTTTGCTTCGACTGGATCAAGACCCGAACGTCACACTCAGAACGTTGACAGATGAGTGTAAACAACTACAAAGTATCAGAAACGATAACATGTTGATTGAACAGGTAAATCCTAATTTAACCCGACCGAAGCTGCTACCTTGACGTGGTAGTCAGGCTTGCCTATCGTGATGACCCAACCGAGCTATACTGGCTGGAACACATGTTCCTGCATGTCCTACCATGCCAGGCGGGTCGATTGGAGAACGATGAGACTAAAAGCAGCTACCCAAGGTCTGAGGGCGAAGTCGTAATGCTGACTGCAGAGGGGTGTGACAGCAGTAAGGTGTTTCCCTCGGACAACCAGCATCTGCAGCGATGCTGCCTTCTCACAAGGAAGGAAGGGTTAGAAAAGGTCGGCCCTAAAAATGTCACACCTCCCCTAACTCATGGATTTCCGTCTCCTTGGGTAAGGGTGCCCACTAAGGGCCTTTAAGAACGGAGCTAATCCTCTAAATACCTCTCATAAAAAGGCCGTGAGTGACCGGCCTCAAGCAGTTGTCCCTTGGACTCTGCGGTCACGCACCAACACTAATCCATCTTCCTTTTCAGGTTCGTCAAGAAACAACCTTCCACGGTGTGGGCAGCCGGGAAGTGATAACCGCCCTCATACCCGCAACAGCACACGAGACAAAATTGTTCAAAATCAAATCCTTCCTACATTCCCTAATACCTCTCTTACCTCCACAACTAACTCTCCTCACATTCATTTATTACAGTGCACAGCTAATGCAAACGATGCGAGTTTGCGAAACGTCGTTCCTGGTCTCCTTAAACCCCGTTCCAAACTACATGTTGGAGCATTCAATGTACGGACATTGTGTCAAATAGGGCAACAGGCATCATTAGCTAGGACTTTAGAATCTCGTTCCATCGATGTGTGCTGCGTCTCGGAAACGCGCATACAGGATCCGAGTAGCATCACTCATTTGACCTCACCATGTCAAGATAAAGAAGCAGCTCGATTTACTCTTCGTGTATCCGGTAGCCCTGATGCTGCTTCTAGGGGCCTCGCCGGTGTAGGTATAGCATTGAGTCGTAGGGCAGAACAATCTCTCCTTGACTGGATCCCTGTAGATAGTCGCTTGTGCGCCGTCCGACTCAACGGGACAGTAAGGACTCGGAAAGATAGGGACACTCGCCGTTGCCTCTTCGTCATATCAGCCTACGCCCCCACTGACTGCAGCCCAGATGATGTAAAAGATGAGTTTTACAGAAAGCTTTCGGACCTCCTCCAAAAAGTTAAGCGCTCTGATATAGTTATAATGGCTGGTGACTTCAATGCACAAGTAGGTAGACTAAGTGAAAATGAAAGACACCTAGGTGGATGTTACGGTCTCGCGGCTCAAAGAACAGACAATGGCGACCGTCTGTTGCAACTGTGCTCAGATAACCGCCTATTCTTAGCGAACACCAACTTTAGGCATAAGGAAAAGCATCTGTTGACCTGGCGACCTCCAAAGTCGTCTCAACGTTGGACTCTTTAAAAATTTTCAAAGAACATAAGAATAAGTGATCAAAGAGCAATAATTTTTTACAATGATGTAATTTCATTATATGTCTAAATAAAAAAAGCCTCCGGTTAAATTAAATGCATTTGTTCAGTTCTCTTTTAAAAAAAAGTCGACAATTCCGATGTTAGTGGAAACTATGGTATGTTGATAGTTCACACCATCTTTCTCATGTATAATACGTCACTGTACTTCTCAACTTCTTTCTATTTAATATATGCATTTAATTATATTTTCCTATATTCAGTCAGTTATGAACAACTCCACTTTTGATCATTTGACTGTCGCTCGTTCTGGAGCACATGTCTAGATTCAGATCATGCCCTAGTGCGAGCGCGTATTTGTTTGAAGCTTACTGGGTGTAGGAAAGACACCGTAAGGAAGCCTCTTAGGGCTTTACTTGATGATAATCATGTTAAGAAAATATTTCAGGAGGAACTAGAAAAACAGTTAGGCGGCCATGCAAGTGATTCCCATCTTGAAGCAGGTTGGAATCATATCAAGAAGGCTGTGGAAACAGCAATGGTATCTGCTAGTAAGGTAAACCACAATGCTAGGATGAAGCAGTGGATCTCAGTCGCATCCACCGAACTGATGGATGCTCGAAAACGCATCCCACCTGACTCTGAACATGATGAAGAGCGTAGTCAGCTTAGGTGCAGACTTATAAAAAGCCTACGTAACGACCGTGAACAGTGGTGGGTGGCGAGAGCAAAAGCGATGGAAAAAGCAGCGGCGATCGGCAACAGTAGACAACTTTTCCGCCTTATTAAAGAAACCGGTATTAGGAACCCGAATGTGAGTGAGACTATCTCGGAAAAGGAAGGTCTTATTATCCATTCTCAATCTAGGAGGCTGGACCGATGGGCAGAACACTTTAGGGATCAGTTCAACTAGCCTTCAGCCACTCTTCGGTTGCCCACGATCTCCAGTCATCCTGAATGGCAAATCGATTTAAGTCCTCCCAGTTTACATGAAGTTGAGAAAGCTATAGGAAATATAAGGAGAGGTAGAGCGACAGGTCCCGATAGGCTTATCCCTGAGATGTTTAAGGATGGTGGTCCAGTTTTAACGGTTAAACTGACCGAGATCCTAGGTAGAATCTGGGAAATGGACGTAATCCCATCTGACTGGTCTCAGTCGCTAATTGTCCCAATCTACAAGAAAGGACAGAAGTCCTCTTGTGACAATCACAGTGGAATAAGTTTAACTAATATAGTTTCTAAATTGTTAGCCTCGATTATACTTAGACGTCTAACTAGAGCTCGCAAAGAGCAGACTCGAGAAAACCAGGCTGGTTTTCGACCTGGACGTGGTTGTATAGACCACATCTTCACACTACGACAGGTCCTGGAACACAGACACACATTTAGACGTCCGACAATAGTCGTGTTCCTGGACCTTAAGGCGGCATTCGACTCAGTGGATCGTGAGGTTCTGTGGCAGTGTCTGTCATTGAAAGGTGTACCAAAGAAGTACATTAACCTTATACAAGCACTCTACTCGAACACCACTGGTCGGGTGAGAGCATATGGCGAACTGTCATCTGAATTCTCTACATCAAGTGGTGTCCGTCAGGGATGTCCACTCTCACCATTCTTGTTCAACTTTGTCGTAGACATCCTCTTAGAGTTAACATTAAGCTCGTCAGATTTTTCAGGGGTTGACCTTCTACCAGGAAAGTCGCTTACTGATCTAGAATATGCCGATGACATAGTTCTATTCGGTGAAGACGCTGACAAAATGCAGAGTCTTCTGACTACCATAAGCAACAATGCGAGCATGTTCGGGATGCGGTTTTCCCCCTCGAAATGCAAAATGTTGCTTCAAGACTGGGTTGCTTCGGCACCTGAACTAGTGATAGGGAGTGAAGGAGTCGAGCGTGTAGATCACTTCACTTATCTGGGGAGTCTCATCAGTGCTGACGGTCTGGTGACTGACGAAATCTCAGCTCGGATACAGAAAGCTCGATTGGCTTTTGCCAACCTGCGTCACTTATGGCGTAGGCGTGATATCCGTTCGCTAACCAAAGGGCGGGTGTACTGCGCAGCAGTTCGTTCCGTTCTCTTATATGGCTGTGAAACATGGCCGTTAAGAGTAGATGTTCGTAGGTTACTAGTATTCGATCATAGATGTTTAAGAAGCATTGCTCGTATATCGTGGGACAGCCGAGTAAGCAACGCTGTTATTAGGAAACGGGTACTAGGTAAGAATGGCAGATCAATCGATGAAGTGGTGAAACTTCATCAGTTGAGGTGGTTGGGACATGTGTTACGTATGCCTAACCACCGACTGCCTCGACGAGCTATGTTTTGTGGTGTAGGAGTAGGTTGGAAGAAAGCTAGGGGCGGCCAGACCAAAACATGGCAGAAATCCATGAAGTCACTGACAAGTGGACTGAGTCATGTTGGTAGATGTAGACTGCCTGGTTGGGGTCCGCGAGACGAAAGTCATCAATGGTTAGAGACCTTGAACGACATGGCTCAAAATCGTTTGCAATGGCGCAGGTGCATCCATTCTTTGAGCTCTCTCAAATCCTAATCTTCTGGATTAGCCAGCACCTCTACCTTTGTCTTTCTAACCTTATCTCACTGAATTATATTTTTTGAATAATATCTTAAACCCTAGTCTTCTTTATTATAACATTAATACCTCTACTATCTTTATCACTATGGGATTTGATTTGACATTTGCATCTCTGTGCTAATAATGTGGTATGGCAACATGAACTTATGTACATACGTACGAAGTTCTACGTTGCAAATGACCGACTGACTAACCAGCAGTAGTATTAATGCTATTACTAGGTTAAAAGTTCAGAAGCCGAAAACATCTTGTAACAAACCAACGACGGCATGTTGGTTATGGGGTGATTGACACTACGTACGGTTCTGTCCATTTAAAAAACATAAATGTCAGATGTGCAACAAACGTGGACATAAAGAAGGCCATTGTCAACCAAATCGTACGTCTCAGCCCAGGAAGAAGCACAAACGTACTCGACATGTGGTGAAATTAGCCGAGTCTAAATCACTTTCTCTCGTAGCTGCTTTCCAAACAGACTATGACGTTCGGAGAAAGTATGTTGTTATCCAGATCAACGGCGCATCAGCTCGTTTTCAAATCGACACGGCATCAGATATCACCTTAATGTCTAGAGAAACGTACAACTTGCTGGGAAAACCGCCAATGAAGCCATCTAAGAAAACAGCTAAAAGCGCTTCAGGTGGTGTGTTAAAACTGGTTGGGGAGTTCCAGTGTAAATTTTCCTTCAACGGAACAAAATGTACAGGAATATGCTATCTGACAGAACAGCCAAACCTTGATCTTCTTGGTCTAGATATGCTAGAAAAGCTGGGAATAATGGATTTACCCATTAACACTGTCTGCAGCGTATCGTGTTCATCAGTGGACACCCATATATTTACACAGGTGACCTGTGTTATCCTTCACTACAGATATACTTTGTTTTAGACACCTATGTAGTTTCTGCATAATGACTGTGGCTTAGAGCCCAGAGAAAATGAACAATTTGGTAAATCCGATTGTATACAATAGGTGATACCGGATGCGACTGTTACCAAGAATGTTGAAAAAAGGATTGTTGATGGGTCTCTAATTGCTCTTAGTGAACCAAGTTGGGCTGTGGTTATATGTCCATTGAAACAAAAACCTCTGTATTCGGGCACAAAGTAGTAGGTTAATTTATGCATGACCATCGAAGTTACTGACAACCACAGTTCTTTGAATGTGTATTTACCAACGGATGATCAGCATTGATATTATATAGCGTTATCAAGATAACTCGCGTTGATCAACAACGTACAAACTCCGCTCTATTGAACATAACAATTGCGTGGTGCAATCCAACTACGATTACTGAAATGTAACTTGCCCATCTAGATCATGTACGATAGGGCAAACATCCAGCATAAAAGCATAGCTAAAAATAGACACCCTATGTAATTCCATTGTTCCGAAATGCATGTAAAGTACGTATCGTTTGAAAGAAATTTTCGTGAAGAAACGAAGATAATGGAAACACAGACTAATAGATGGTAAAAAAAACTTCCGAGGGTTTTTGGAAAGCTAGGATAACTCGATTAAATTTTCGACTTAACACTATTGCACAGGCACTAGCCCTCCATCGAAATAATTATCAGGTACAAAAATAGAGTAACAAACTTGCTTTATTTATTTACTTGTTAAGAACAGTGATAAAATGCACATGTAAACTTACATGAGTTGTCGTCAGGTGCAACAGCTTTAGATATTGAATGTCTATAGACTTTTTTATTTAAATTGTTTGTATCCTTCAAGGGTGTAGTCGAAGGTGGGAGTAAAACATTTTGAAAACTATTTTTATCATTAACATGTGAATTTATCACATTAGGAGAATGTGTCTTTTCTAACAGCTTTAATTCATTTGCATTATTCGAAACAGAATTAATCCAACCTTTAAGAAGACTATTCATTATTGCTAAAAGTTTTACATCTGGACAGCTGCCTGAAAATAAAATTGCACTATATATTACTTCTTTTAAAATAACCAAGTGTTATACTGCTCTATTCTTAATTACTTACCTACGCCTGTTACCCATAATAGAACATAGGCCGCTGACCAGCATTCTCCAGCCTAGTCTGTTTTGGGCCTTCCTGTCCGGTTCCATCCATTAGAGGCTGTTGCTACATTGATCGTCTTCTCCTGCATTTGTCGTTGTGTGTGGGATAGAGGAGCTAATTCATCTGCGAAGTCCAGGTAGTACAACTGCATCCAAGTTGTCCAATGTATTCCGTGCTTCCCCTCAGATGTTGACGTCTTCATACTGCAGCCAACCACCAAAAGAGAAGGGGTGAGAGTAATCTACCTCGCCTGACAACAGTCTTCACTTGGAACAAGTCTGAGATGCCCTCCATGCATAAAAGTGCGGTTTAACCCATCGTCAGAATTCCGTATGATGTTAGGCATCTTCTCAAGCCAACGTAGTAGTGTCGAAGTAGACTCCGTGGTGTCATCCTGTACTTGCTACTGAATGCTTTCTCATAGTCAGTCAAATTGATGCACAGTGGTGAATTCCTTTCAATTAATTGCTCCACAACTATACGTAGTGTCTAGATTTGATCGGTACACGACCGATCCCTCCGGAATCCTGCCTGTTGATCTCGAAGTTGGGTGTCTACTAAACCTCTCATTCGGCTAAACAACACTCTGTTGAAGACTTTCCCTGATATTGAGATTAGAGTGATGCCTCTGTAGTTCTCACCCTTGCTGAGATCTACTTTCTTTTGTATCTTGACGAAGTATCCTTCTTTCCAGTCTGTTGGTACTTATTCTTCCTCCCTAACCTTGCTGAACAGAGCATTCAACATATTTGTGGTCACTTACATGTTTGCTTTCAACGTCTCAGTTGACATGTTGTCTGGTCCTGCTGCTTTACCGCTCTTGATTTGCCTGATGGCCATGCTGATTTTTCCAGTTGTCGATGGTGGGTCAACATCAATTAGGAAGTACGTGTAGGTGCTGCTACCGTTGACATGGTTTCATACTAGACTCCTGCTTCTTTTGATCATGCACTCGCTAGCGCTTATCTTATCTTACGCTTTATTGGCCAACAAACCGATCATCTTAGACGGATTGATGTCATCAATTTGGCTCCAGCTTTGGTTACAACTAAATACCAAACCGAACTAAGTTTGGGGCTAGTTATAAACCTAATGAAAAATATAGATGAGCACTGGCAGCATTTATATGACGTTATGAAAGCAGCGAGTAAAGTTGCTTGCAGGTTCGCAAAACGTCCCGCTCATAAGCACTTGGTTTCTATAGGCTCCTTACAGCTCCTCGAGACACCTCAGTTTACTCTGGTTAATCTCACAAAGTCTTTGTGGACACCAAGAAGCCCGGTAGTCAAAGCGCGCTAACGGGATGGAAGTAGTAGCTGCCTCTGATAACTGCAAATCATTTTAAATTATCTGAGCCACTAGTAGCAGGAAGTCTTGTGTAAGTGAGACAATCCGTGAGGCTGATAGGACGCCAATCAATAACATCTACTAGCGTGTTGAACGATAAGCTGAGTTCTTCAAGAAACAGTTAAGTTGGTTTGCTGTCTTAGCAACATCGATCAGAATATCCAGTCCTCATCAGTGGCCCGAGATGTTACTAGACGTGACCCATAATAGAAGTCAGTGGCAGTTCTGCCTTAACTTGACTTCAGTCATAAAAGTGAGAATATCTTCATTATCTGAAAGAATCATTTTTGGTCGTATTTCTCCTAAATGAATTATTTTTTCATTATTTACTGCACCCATTTATCTATTTTCATTCATCTATCGCTTTCCATTACATCAACTTTTCTTTCTTTATCTCTTCACAATCTCATTTTCTTATTCAGTTGTGTATACTCATTTGGCGCCGATTAGTATGAATATCCGTATAAGTAAATAGTAAATAAATATCTATCTCTGATGAACAAAAACTTTGAACATATTTGTTATCTTACTCTTTCTCAATCATTTTAAACCTAGAATACATAATAACCTATTTAAAGTGTAAACTTAATGTCGATAGTGTAGAAAAATACAAAGATTATCGACTTACGAAAAATATAATCCAAAAGTAATTCTACTGTCTTTGGGATATAGCAGTGTTGGAGGATTTTTAAATGAGAAATTGCAACAGACAAAAATGAATTCGGTGAATGTTTCTTTTCACAAACTTCTGATTGATGATCAATATTATTTGGCCCTAAAAAAACAATTATGGTTTGAGTTCAGAATTAATGATGCTTACATTTGGACAATTCATCTAGACAAGTAATAGCCACAGGATCGACTAATTCTCCCGTTGAATTCTTTAAACAATTATGCCAATTTTCTAACACTATACTGTTTGTGTAAGCAGCAGTACCCATATTTATTGAAAAATCATTAAGATCTTGTGGTAGTGGTGGAACAGTTGATTTCATTATCGATATCAGTTCATCTCTATTTGTTTCCATTAAACAGGATAAACTGAAGATAATAAAAGGATTGAAAGTAATGGAAAAAAAGTGTTAGCAAGAAATCCAAATGTTCAACTACATTATCAAATAGGTAAATGATTAATCCATTACTGTTTAGTGTTTTGTTTTGTACGAATACAAAAGATCATAGATTTTGACGGTTTAATGTAACGAATTAACTCTTTTTTATTAGCTTACCGTCTAATTATCTCTTCGAACCATAAGTGAGATTTTTTATTGGTTAAGACAGATTTACAACAGCAATTACTTTCAAATTCCAAAGATTCAAATGATATATCGTCTTGAGAATTCTCGAGAGATCGGATACCGGACTCATCAGAATTTTTTATTCGGATTTTCCCTAAATGATAAACAATAGAAAATAATATTGATAGACAAAATAGACAGGAATATTTTATGTACGAATGGCTTTCTCATCTTAGTGAGGCAAAAAAATAACATAAAATCCATCAAGAGTGACTGCTATAGAAAAAGTGGATTAGATTGTCTAAATTCAGACAAAATAGATGCAACTCTAATGTACTTAGCCGTAAATAATATCTTTTTATGTGAAGGATAGAGATACCATCCGATTGTCTTGACTGAAGTAGATGAAGCGGCATTCGAAACGGAAAATAAATAATTAAGAGTTGAGGTTTTTAACCATTACGCTACTACTCCACAATGAAGTACAATCAGAGTACAAGTTAAATAACTCCAATATTCCCTTTTATATGAATTACTACGATTCTAACAATGAACTATTATCTATTAAGTGGTTAATGAACACAATCCTACCATCGGAGAGAAAACTTTAGCATTTTATTCTGAGTTTGATATAACATCACCAGAAATTTGATCACAAATTGATTCACTTGTCTGCCATTGATTTTGAATTTCACTTGGTACACTTGTATTCATCATGCTACTCTTACTAGTTTCTGAATCTAAGCGCTTCCTGGAGAAATAGGACGTGGATCATAAATTTGTTTTGACTGGAATTTAACATTGAAGTCCCCCTGCAGTGCCAAAATTTTATGTACATTTAATAAGACCTTATCTTGTTGTGAGCTTGACAATTCACCAGTTCGCCCAGCACTATTGACCTCGAGTTAGCGGAGAAAACGTAATACAGAACGAAAGACCTAACTAACACTTAAAAATAACTTGAAAACAAACGTGAGAGAAAAACTGAAACTAACCTTTCATAGACCTTTCGTTAATCGACCCACAAAAGGTGCTGAAAAATTCCTCAATCCTTTCCACATTAAAGCTACAAATGTTAAGAAAGAAATAAAATCTTACTAATATCTGGAAAAGAAAATGTTTTGGTCAACCTGACACAAGAATCCCAGGCTCAGGATAAATTCTAAAAACACGCCAACGGTTTCAACGTTACCACCTTCACGTGCAAAGTAGCTTTCACACCATTTAGTTGCTTCAGAGAGTCGAAACGGAGAATTAAACCGTGCTTGAAATTCTTTTAAGATTTTGAACAACTAAAAACTAAAATATCTCTATAAAAGCAATACTTTTTCTTTGGAAGAGAAGTTTTTTGCTGACATTGTCGAATAATAGGACGTCCAAAAAATGTTTACGAAATCACTTATTCTCACCAAGAAGTAATCAATATGAAATGGAGGCTATCTACAAAAGACAATGTTAAAACCAAAACATGAGAAGTAAATTTACGCTTAATTGACCTTTTACAATATTTAAAGTATAAAGAAAACTACTACCTGAGATTACTTGTTGTGCTATTCAGAATATCAAGTTCTAAAAAAGGATACTTTGAAGAGTGCGCAAGTACGCATGGAATCGGACTGTCATTATATTAAAAATAACGATATAAACACCAAATATTCATTTGTAACGTGAGAGCTTGATACAAATGATGTACCATGTAAGAAGAAATTATAATGGCATGAAGGAGCAGAAGGTAAATCATGAGATAATAACCAAGATATTTATCAATACAAATTAAATAAAAAAGCGACCAATACATTATTCATCTCAATTCCACAGCTCTCGTATATGAATTCAAAGACAACTATCACTATAAAATCGGAACCAGACAATCAATGGTTTAGAAATAAACATTAAACATTTCAAAGTGAGCAAAAAATAAACAGAACCACGGTCACTTGTCGAATCACTAAATATGCTTCATTTTTTAATCCCAAAATTTTACGAACGTTTTATAAACTCATAAATGTTCACGAACAATGACCAGCTGAAGAAGTACAATTTGAATGACTGTCATATGATCGTACGACAAGACGACACTATCCACATACTCATGACTGAAAAGTTTTTCCCCAAGTGACAGATCACCATCACTATTATTTACTTCCTTAAAAGCTGCTAACAGCACGAAATTGTAAAAGAATAGTGAGATGAGACATCTTTATTTGACTTTAATGGAAAGTAGTGGTTGCTATCCTTGTCTGAGATGCTTTGGATTGGCTTTCAAGTTCACACCCACTCGTCTAAAGTTCATGTTAAGAAATTTAACAATTACTAGGCTGTTGTGTTTGATGCATCTATAACCAATATGGTGCCCAAGAATCAGGTATTCAGAAGTCATTATTTCATATGAAACTGACAGCAGACTTGTATCTAAACAATTTTCATCGCAACCTTTTGATGGGTAAGGCAACCAATTTTCACACTTAGTTTGTCCTCATCTATTTTTAAAAACCAAAAAGATTACGCCTCCACCCTCAGTGTGGTCAGACTTTAAGTTAGATGTCGTGTATATTTGGCCCTTATAAACTTCTGCTTTGCTAGATAGGTGGTCAATCTTTGTTAGCACAGGTACAAATAACGGTTCGTCCAGTACTTTTGGAGTGATAGACAGGTTAATCTGATATTTGGAAGGCTTTAACCAGAGTTCCAGAAGTGTTCATGAAGAAGTGGGCTAAGTCATTTTCAATATCTCATCAGCAAGAAAGTGAATGCAAAGGGTATGTAGAAGCTTGACCAAGAGTCCCTATTTTGGTCTGAGGGCGAAGTCGTACTGACTGACGATCAGTGGTTGGTCATATCATCTGGAGGTCTGGTGAGTTAAAAAAGAGTCAATATACTACATAAGAAAAGGGCACCAAGTAACCAATTTGTTACCGTGAAGCGTTCCGTGCTTTATAAAGGCTTGAATGGTTAGACATTACAAAATAAGCCAAACTGAAATACCCGAAACGAGGCAGATGCGACCATTAATTCACAACTGTTATTTGATAGCAAACCCAGTGAAGATAAAGTACATCAAGTAATAAGCATTTCCAAACAAGTGGAACACCTATATTGCGGACGTGCTGTTAAGAAATGGATCTTGAGGGTTACAGGCCTGTTCAAATTAACGAGTCTCTTGGTGTGAAAAGTATGGGGACAAACGTTGAGGAAGTTCTGTAAGTTTCTTTAATTACAAACGTGATTTCTGACATAATAACAGCTGCATTATTCATAATTTCTGGCTCATAAAGCTTCCAGTTAACAGCACCTACATCTCATTCTCAAGTTTCCAAGACAGGTCGCTTTAACAGTAAAGTTCCTGAAATGAAACTTCGGGAAGAAGTGGTCGTAGTTATTATTCAGGCGATCTGAAGTCCAACTACAAAATTCCCGCTGACTGATGAAAAAACGAACTAATTAATGAGAACTTCAAGAAAGTTTCCCTAAGTTGTAAGACTTGCATCAAGATAATATGCTTATCAGTCTTTCGGCTTTTAAAGGCAATCAACAAGTAGATCACTGAAAGCGCTTGGTAAAGGTTATGAAGTGCGACAAACTGACAGGTAAAAACAAAATTATCAACATGACGTAACCTGGTCATAGCAAAATAAACTGGAGCGTTGGTCCAACGCGCCAGTGTTCTAAATGCCGCCTGAACAGTTACTAAACACCCTTCGATTTATTCCAACAACATCAAAAGTATAAGTGTTCTTATTTAGTTTTACTTATATTCGAATATTTACCAAGTCTGCGACCAATCATCAACATCTGAAAACGTTAAAGCAAACAACTAGAAAATAAATGAATTTTCTTTTATGGACAGAAATTAGATTCCTGTTGTGTTTGTCGAACCAAAAGTTATATTTAAGCTAATATTCAATGCTTTTAATACCTTTCTAGTTAATGAGGTAGTTTTCATACGATTCTACTTCTACTTTCACCAAACGGAGTTTTCTGTTAGTGCATACATGTGTATTCATATTCACCGTTTCGTCAACTTTTTTCCTGAATTTCATTTCCCGATGTTTTTCAAGCTTATTTGCTGTTAATAGCACATCGCCTGAATAAAAACTGGTTGAAAGTGGCGTGCCACTGATGGGTATCACAAGTCTTCTACCTTTTTTCTCTGAGTGGCTGAGTTTTCGGGATTGCTCAACTTTTCAACTCTGTTCCTCGATGACGATGTCAAAATCTGGAGGAAAAAAGTATCAAGACTGATCATACTGATCTCCAGATTCATTTATGTGGACCATTTAAATAGTCTCAAAGTTTGGGCTTTGGAATGAGTTTTATCAAAGACGTGCTAATGCACGTCGCACTCAGCGATGTCTATTAATATAACATCAACAGTTCATTGATTTAACGCGTGTAGAAATGAAAATACTTGAGAACAACGATGATTCACGACTTGAAAACGACTGTGTATTATAATACAGCAACCACCGGAGGTTTTCTAGTGGTGTGGCTTCTTCACCCATCATTCAAACGTTTTACGAGGACGTGTTTAAAGTTTTGTATCCTACTTATTTGAGACTCTAGAAATGTGGTGACACTAAAGCGAGTCCATCGTATAGGAACTTAGTTAGTGATGGTTATTTACAAACTGCTCTACGATGAGCGGTTAAAACGCCTAAACATTTTTCTTTATAATGTCGCACAGATCAGTCTTATCTTATGATGATATTCCGTATCCTTTGGCTAACTCAAGAATTAATCACCTCCGAGACAATCCAAAAGTTGATACCGAATAGACTCTGAGTGGGATTCCGTTTTTCTTATCGTGTGGTCGATTTCTTGACCTGTTATCCGAACAAGGAGCATAAGCCTTAACAGCTATCACTTTTAAGGAAAGGCTGGATCTTCACTGAAAAAGTAGCAGGTCTACCGACCTGCTGTCCTTATTACTGAAATCTGGAATTGAGTTTCAAAAAGTTGTTAGCAGATTTCTGTAGCAACCTAAAGGCAATATCGAGAAAATCCACACAGGATATACATAGGCTAAACAGACTGATCAATTGCAGTCCTAAGCTAAATGGCGAGATTTAAACGTGCAATACAAATCGGTGCGTTTCAAATGTTCTCATTTTCAGACTCCAAAATTTACCGAGCACGAAAAATGAACTTTTAGTTTAGGGTGCTACATTTATTCTGAACTGGACAACGCTTTTGTCTGCAATACAATTCGGATAGAGAATATTCAAAGCCAAGTCAAACAAAAAGTCGGGAATGAGGAGGATCGAAAGTATATTTGAATAACGTTCGGGGTATTAAGAAGCGAGTAAACTAAGCAGCAATTTCAAGAATGTCTACAGCTCCAACTGATTAGATCTTTGAAAACTCGGTTGTTTCCTTCAAGGTTGCCTTTAAGTTATGGAAGTGAGTCAACTGGTAACGATCGGAGGCGATTCATTAATATATAATCACTAGTTGGATGTTAATTATCGTAGTCCTTCATTAGGACCATATCCAACAGAGATGTTCATGGTCTGTTTAATGACTGGATAATCCATAAAGCTATCATGTGCTGGAGCGGATTTCGACAAGTCTTAGTTTTTCAGGAGCTAGTAAACGTTGCGTTTGCTGTGTATGACGATCAGTGCTTTAAATCCACTGTGAATTGGTTATCGTGTGATCAGAGGCTTAAAAAAGAAAGTTGGCCGATTTTGGTGACAGTTTTGTCTTCGGGAGATTTGAGACACATTTATCGATATTTAGCAGACTGACTGAAAGTTCAGAAATATAACCATGCATAAAGTCAATCGTCTTTTGGTTATCTGATCACCTATTATTCAGAAGTTGTGAAAATAACAATTTTTATGACCGTCAGTAATGTTAGAGAATACAAATCGAAAGTGTAAGCAGCATGATTAATTTGTCTCTACAAGATGATAAATGATGAGTTTATCATACTAGTTTGATGAGTGAAATGAAAAATACCCAATAAAACATAAAAAATCACAGAGTATCACTTTGCACTCCTGAAAATCATATTGGTACGATGCACTGTCATTGTACGGATGGATTCGATAATGTAGCTCCCAGTTTTCAGCAGACTTACTCGATTACGTACACTGATAATTCTCTCTAATTATCGTGTTGCCGAACCACTACTAGTCCGATTGGGCAAGTTTTAAATCGTTAAGCATATGGGCGGCCGATATACATACTGGAATAATCTGTTATATAACGTCCGCTAAGAAACAAAATTTATGTAATGAACAATTATATAATAGAATGATCGATGGGTTTCATTTTGATATCTATAACCGACTGCACCCATTATATTTGAGGTTGTTAAGCACCAAAAGTGACTAATGATGCTGCTGAAACATCAGCATGAATTAGCGTGTTGTGAGCGAATCCGGATACCTGATTGTCTATGCTCACCACTAAATGTTCCATACGGTCGCGTCACGAAAAGCAAAACAAAATAAATCAATACTCCATGGTTTTATTGAAGGAGAACGTTGGCATTACATGGGGAGCAGCAAATAGAGAAATATGGCGGCAACGCGAAGAGAACGTTGCGCGCAAGAAGTAGTAGAAGTGTTTTTGGTACAGTTAAACAAAACGAGTACAATAATGTTTACATTTCAAAAATCGCATTTTCTTCGTAGAAGCGTTCCACTACAAGCTTATCAAATGTTGATGAGTCGTCAGTACGCTGAAAAAAGGTCAACGCTACTTCGGGTATTTCAAATTACTTAGATGATTTTATTTGCCTACAAAATAAGTATGCTAAATCAGCATTTTATGGTGTGTTACATTATTAATGTAACATAACGGGGGCTAGCTCCAATGACCATATTGTTTAGAAACAAATTTAACTGTGCGTCTTCTAGATATATCAACTTTCGAACGCCATTGAAATTTACCTGGACTGTTGTAGCTATGTGAAAAAATTTGTAGGGGTTCGAGTGGTGGATGACTATGAACACTTCTGCGTTCTGGTCGACGCGCTATCCCGCTGTGAATTAATAACAAGGAGGAAGGGATAGTTTATATGAATGAATATATTTACTGGCTATTTCCTGTTATCGGAAGAATAGTGAAATAGTGCCAGAGAAAATGGGCTAAAGGGTAGAGAGCAGCAGAAACAAGATGGCGGCCGCGTAACAGGAAAGCATAATTCATAAGTATGAATTCACAAAAAGTTCAGTAAAACGTCCGCTGGTACAATTGGTTATATCAATAATTGTTTCCACTTAACCAATCGTGTTTTCTTCATAAAAGTGAAATTGCTATAGTCTAAACTCACTGGTGAACTTCTACATGACACAAACTATAACTTGGATTTAAAGTATGCAACATGAAATGGTTCTACATTTAAAGACAACATAAAATATTTAAAAGTGCAATAAACGAATTTATTATTCACTAAAACTTTCCTGTTCACAAATTCGCAAGTACGTATTTATTTTATGTCACTTAAAAACGGCGGATGTAATGATCTACAAACCACCGTTTAAGAACCAGAAATAGTTATTCACTGACCACTTACATACTCAGCACTGACAGGCGATTAAACATTATGACCACTTTATAGAGATAAAGCTAGGTAGAGATTTTTAACACGAATGGTTTACAAAGTGATGCACCTGAGCTTTTTAGTAAAACAACAGGCAAAATCTGTTAAACATCAAAATTTTTCCCTAATAAATTAAAATAATTCTGCATGCTTAAAATTAAAACTTTTAATGATAATGAAAACAGTTAAATAACTTCATTTACATCTATCTTTAGTACGTAAGGTACAACAACAATTTTAGGGATTGCAGCGAATTGAGAGTACTAATCGCGAGATAATCAAGTTAAATCCCGTTAAGGCCAAATATCAAAAGGCAGGCTGTTACTGGAGGATGAGATGTATTGACTGATGGTCTCATGATATCGAAAAGATATCAAGACAACACTTCAAAAGCAGATAAAACCACCGAGGCAGCCGAGCAACGTTAGCAACAAGTCGAGCGGGCGAGTAATTGATTTTAGTACAAAAGGAGTACAATAAAACAATTATTGCTACAGATGTGTAAAATAATAAATGTCTCCATTTCACCAATTGCGTTCTCTTCGTGAAAGCATTCCACTACATGATTGTAAATTTGGTCAGAATCATTTATATTTAGAGAACACTATATTTTCTACACAATCTTATGATTACCAATTAAATTTTAACTCAATATCTAGCTTTTTTCTTTTTCTCACTGTTTAATCACAAAACAGACCCTACACATTTTTAAATGGTCATGTTTTTTAACAGAATGATACAATACATTTTCAGCAACAATTTTCCATAGACTGAAATATTTTTCATAACTGCAAGTCATTTGGTAAGTTAGCGAAGATAAATGAACACATTTCTTTAGACCGAAACATTTCAGCTACAGTAATAATAAAACTACACTACCTGAATATTGGGAATCCTATTTCAGTCATATTTTGAGTTTCGAAGGTATCTCCTTCTAAGGAGTCCTAAACTAGAGTGACATAAATGTTTAATCCTCACTCGAAGATTTAATGTCTTTTTAGATAAGGAGGTTACCTATAATAATATTTTATTGGTGTGGTAATGGTTTTCAAAATCGTGTCGACATTGACTAATATCACCACTATAGACCAATTACATGCCCGTCACAGAGAAAAGACGTTTATCCGTACAAAAGAATGTTTTTGCTGACTATTTCTTGGTATCTAAAGAATACCGAAATCTTGCCAGAAAAGAGTGGCAGTGGAGCCGAAGAGGCAGCAACGCTAACAGAACGTTTGGGCGTACAAATTAGTAATAGACAATGAGGTCCAGTTAAACAATTACTGGTACAATTGGTTATAATAATAGATGTTTCTGTTAAGCCAATCACGTCCTCTTCATAAAAGTAGATCACTACAAAAGTAGCATATTAAATTTCACCATCTGAATGTATCTGTAAATTTATTGATTTTTGCAAACCGACAATTAAAATGAGTATCATGTTTAATGCACAATCAACTATAGTGGTCGCATGAGCTGAATCAAAATCAATCAAAAAGTAAGTGCAGCATATTTCTGAGTTCAAAAAGCTCAAAGATAAACGATCATTCATTACCTATTTAGAGATTCATACACAACTGCAATTATATTAAAGATTAATCATGCAAATGAAGTAAAAGGACTAATTTATTGACAAAATCTTTTAATTTAAAAAATTAATCAACCGTATTATATGAAGAGTAATATCACATGGTCATTTACCTTAATTGGTTGATATGAATCGAATGTATGCTTTATTCAATTAGAGCACCTCTTATTCTAAAACATACGTTTGTATCTCAGGGTAATTTAATCAAACAAAATCAACAAACATTTCGGTTATTAGTGATGAATTACTGAAACTGAATAAATCCATTTCAAACTCATCTCCATTAATATATATATATATATATATATATATATATATATATATATATATATCCAGCAGATTTCTTAAACCCAATGTCAGGACAATCATTTCTAAAGTGTTTAACTCTGATATTTTGCATACAAATGTGTTTAAAATCACTTCGACGAAAGAACAATGATGAAAATCACTGAAAACTTTAATACTGAGAGATTACCGTTTATCATAACGTAAGTACTGTTGTAAGTAAAAATATCATGAAACAATCTGAATAAATCAAACTGATAGGATGCCAAGAGTTTTTATCAATAAACTAACTATTATCTCTGGTCACCTTTTGAACGTCACTAATATCATTGCCAAATGATATATATTCATGCCTTATTTTACATAAATGCATGACTAGGAATCGATGGTTAGTTGTTCTGCTCTGAGAATTTATATATTTCGGATTAGTAATCCAAAAATTATTCAAATGGTAACAACAAGCAGGATTACAGACAGAGATGGATGATGGCTGGCAGCGTGATTCAGGATCCATGCATCGTCGTACTTGGGACTTGTTGGCTAGATGCACTTGCATCCCACAGTCGATATGTACCAAACGACTCGAAAACGCAATATTATTCGCTTCAAACCTCATCGCTTTAACCACTTAGCTATCGAATCCACATACTCACTCACTCACTCACTTGTGCAATGGCGTGAAATTTAATTCATTTATATTGATCGTTTGAATATTACCATTGATGTTTAAGATTCTAACTGATCAGGCACTTTTGACAAAAATTTGGGAATATTTATGAATGAATAGAAACTAATTGCGACAGTGTTACCTGAAGTCAGAAGTCTGAACCTCCCGACATTTCTTATGCTGAACTATCTCAACAGATCTGTTCGTCTCTCACTAGTTTTTAAATATTTTCCAATGAAATCAGTATGTAAAAGTTTCAACAGAAAAAAAAACCCATTTAACTTGAAAGGAAAATAAGTACAAACTGATGTCGTCATTTGAATACATGACCTAATTTATACGATAAATATCAATGTTGATTGATGGATTAGTTAGAAACAAGTCAATTATTTTTTTATACACAAAGCATTATATCAGTGAATAGGATCAGAAACAAATCTAATATCATGCATTCTCTGGTACATTCAAAGTATATATGGTTCATTTATTTACTAATTACAACTGTAATTTCTCTTTGAACCACATCACAGACGATACGATCGTCCGTCATCTTTTTAATCCAGTTCAATACATTTTGTTAAGTTCTCTTCTCATACTCTATCCAGATGTGAGTGTTCTAGCAACTTGGTACATTGATGCATATCTAAACTAAATTCAACCTTCCTCTTCATGAATGAATGATGATTCAGTTTGACGACTGTCTTACAAACTGATGAAAAGAAAACTTCAGTAGCAACTTTAACGAGATGCATTTCTATCCAAATAAAATAAAACTCTGATGAACAACTCATTGGTCATGTGGTACGTACGAATAATTGCAAAGACAATCAACATGGTAAATCGCTTAGGCCAATGTATACTTGAGTAATCTATTTTCCGAAGGGAACTCCCTCCTGATTGTTTGACTAAACCTTTTATAAGGTTGAATAGTGAATGTTCAACAACAATCTACTACTAAATTAATTCAACTTATACATTTGAATTCCTTATTCCACGGTGTGTTGCCCTCATCTCTCAACATTATTTGTCCCCACTGGTCTCTCCAAACATCTTAACTGATCAACATGAAATACATAAAACCTCAAAAGTCTTAACCAGTCTTTTAACTCATATAAGTTGATCATCTTTGTTAATCTATATCCAAATGGTTGTCTATGATTCATAGACTTCATTGAAACTTAACCATCAACGTTTCGCCAGCAAATATGGTGGACAAATCAAATCCTTAGATCACAACATACCAACAATCTAGTATTCAAGGGATTATCTGTCTTATGAATTCAATTTCAAATGTGTCTTGCCAACGTCTTAACTACTCACTCATTCAATCTAATGTCTGTATTTTGGATGATTAAGAAATTCGGAAATGCTACTAGCAACTCTATCAATAAATCTAGATGATTGTGATCCTCAAGGCTATGAGTAAGAATTGCGATTAAACTTATTTAAGGATTGAATTGTGTCTGCTGTTTATATTTTCATCTTATTTGTCACTTATCAAATGCAGTCATTTACATCAATCGGAACGTTCAAAAGATAAATACAAATGAATTCAGCAGACGTGATTGTTTTCATAACTATTAACAATTAAATCCTTTCAGCATCTAGTTTATTGGCGTAGTGTTGATTTTCAGTATCGATTCTCAACATACATATTATGGTCAGTTAGCATCTACTAGTTACTTGTTTTCAAAACCATCCTGAATGTTACCTATTATTTGATATTTGAAGCTATCCAGCTAATGAGTGTAATTTTGGTTTACATAATTCAACACAAAAGTATCCACCATTCTGATAGCCTCAATATCAATATCACCTTTTACAGTTTTATCTGTTTTCTGCTTCGTCAGAAAATTCATTGAATATTGTGAAATGTTGAAATGCATTTATCTTCCTAAATCCAATTTTCAAGTATCTACACTTTATCAACTGTGTTCAAAGCTCAAACGAAAATTGAATATACAACACAAATTTTGTTTTATCTCCAGCGATTTCATTAACAGTAACTAACTACATCAGTACTCTTGGATCTAAATACATTCTAAAATTACACATATTTTTATAAGACTGTTTGCTATCATCCTGAAATCTTTTCAACTTATGTATACAACAAATACTTCACTAATTGACTACCATTCAGATATTCATAGAAACCTAATCATTCACAATCTATCTATACATATTCCATTAAAGTCTTGAAAACGAGTGATGTATTGCAATAATGCACGATGCGTTTTATCAATCACAATATTTAAAAACGTCAAAAAAAAATAAGCAATATATACACTTTCCCTCATTCATTCTCTCTGGAATATGAGCCTACATTCAATCGTAAAATAGCAAATAAAACTCATCTTGAAATCAATCATTTGGTTTGAATGATCACTGCAATCTTATGATGATTAGAAGTATGTAAATTATTGAATAACTAATAATCCAAGAAACAACGTAAGTGAATCAAGAACTACGAGATGAGCACGAACGAATGTACTGTATTTAGAATTCGAAATCAAGCATTCAACAACAACCAAGAAGTCACTAGTTCATTCAAACACCACATCCGCCACAGCTTAAATTGGAATCCATGTGTCTGTAATGACTCTGTATTATCTAGAATGCTCTCATTAGTATTAGAATTAACAACCGAAATTGGAACAGACTCACCTGATTCCTGGAATTGTATTTGATCAACATTTCGATCGTGTGTACTTCAGTCATTGATATCTAGAAGTCGCACCATAGATTTCCCGACATTCTTCAGAACGATCCCCGTGGATGGTCGAAGATCATTGCCACGATAATATGTAACTTCTGCAGACTCCAAACATCTCATATTCGACCAAAGAATTCTTCCTTTTAATAGCTTTGATGGAGTCTCTTTCGTCACCGAATGTCTGGCATTTCTATATTGCAGTCGAAAGGTATCTACTCCCCTCTCCAGCTCAATAAATGTTGAGGCTGCCATAGAATCAATAGCAGTTTTCAACGTCCTGAAAAAATTTTCTGCCTGACCATTGGAACAAGGGTGTCTGGGAGCAGTAAACAGATGTTTGCACCCTATGCCATTTAACCAGGTAGTGACTGCATCTGCAGCAAAATGAGAGCCGTTATCAGTCACTAACACCACTGGAACCCCTTCTCGACTAAACACCTTTCTTAATGCTTGAATTGTGAAGTCAGAATTTGGTGAAGTTGTGAAAAAAAATTCAGGCCACTTCGAAAAAGAATCAATGACTACAAGCGCATAGTATTTGCCAAGAAACGGGCCACAGTAGTCTGCATGAATTCTCTGCCAGGCCTCAGACGATACTTGCCATGGAGTCCACTTCGAATGCTGATTTTTCAGCTTATGACACTTTTCGCAATTGTTTGCTGTACGACAAACATCTGCATTTATCTCTGGCCACCAACACGTGAGCCTCGCCAAGGACTTCATTTTCTCCACACCTAAATGTCCACTATGAAGATCTTCCAGGACAGCTTTACGCAATGAAGGAGGAATAACAACCCGATCATTTAAACACAAAATACCATCAGGAGTAGTGGATAGCTCATCCCGCTTTGGAAAATAGATAGGGAATCTGCGTTTCAGATTAGCGTTCCAACCTTTTCGTATAGCATTAATTATACATCCAAAGTTTCTACGAGTTTCTCTAATGAGGTCTGTACGTTTCACTGGTAAAGGTTGCACCAACAAGCAGTCTGAAGTATTAACAGGTTTATCTTGTAATGGCTGTCGAGAAATGTAGTCAACATGTTGAATTTGTTTGGCACTCCTGTGCTGAACCGTATAGTCATACGCACTCAAAGCAATACTCCATCGTTGAACCATAGCAGCTGAGGCACGTGCTAAGGATTTTCCAGGATGATAAATAAACTGTAAGCCTCATGATCAGTAACAATAGTGAACTTCTTTCCGAATAAATATTTATGAAGTCTTTTAACAGCCCAAAACACAGCTAATGCCTCTCGCTGAGTCTGTGAATAGCCTTGTTTAGTAACAGTAAGTTTGCGTGAAACACAAATAAATGGTATACCTTCCTGTTCCAAAACTGCGCCAATACCCACAGGTGATGCATCAGTGATAAGCACAGACTGTACACTAGGGGAGTAAGTTCGAAGAACAGCATCACTTTGAAGAGACTTTAGTAGACTGCGTAAGCAAGACTCTTGTTCCTCACCCCATTTGAATGAATTGGATGTCAAAATATTAAATAAACAATTTGCACGACAAGAAAAACTAGTCATAAAACGGGAATAGTATTGAAGAGCACCCACTAGTGAACGTATTTCCATAAGATTTTTCGGAGACGGTGCATTTGTCAGTGGAGCTAGTCGTTTCATATCTGGTCTAAAACCATTACCATCAACTAGGTATCCAAGACATTCAAAACTAGATACACAAAATGAACACTTATTTGGATTTGCTGTAATATTCTTCTCAATTAAAGGACGCAATAAGGCAATAAGTCTCTGGTCATGAACTCTCTTATCAGCACCATGAACTATCAGATCATCTTGATAAACTTCAACACCTTCAAGATCATTAACCACCTTATTCATAACTTCCTGGAATATGGCTGGAGAACAACTTAGACCAAATGGAAGGAAATTGTATTTAAACAGACCAAAAGGAGTATTAATTGTCGTCAAAACAAATGGGGATTGATCTAAAGGGATTTGAAGATAAGCATCTTTTAGGTCAACTTTCGAGAACACTTTAGAACCATTAAGTCGATTTAGAATATCTCCAGCCTCTACCGTCGTGCATGTTTGCTTCAAAAAAACGGAAGTTCAATGTTAGTCTATATTCACCACATATTCTAGGAGTCTTGCCATCCGATTTCAGTTGCGTAACAATAGGAGTACCCCATGCAGGAGACTGAACCGGTTCAATTATGCCTTTTGCACACAAATCATTCAATGTCTTATGCACTGCATCTAGAAGACCATAAGGAATTATTCGTCTTTCGAGAAAGACTGGATCACCCTGTACTTGAAGTTTTATAGGCTGAATTTTCATACCTCCACCGCACTTAGCACACGTGGCTATCGAATCTTCAAGTAAAGCATCAGAATTTTCTTTAGAAACTAGGAAAGACAACCCCATTCTAAGCCTTTTCAAATTCCTTAAACCCAGTATTGGCAGTCCTGTTTCGCTAACTAAAAATTCACAAGGTATGTGTGAGGAATTATCATCTCTTATTAGCAATTCACAACATCCTCGTATAGGCAGTCTGTGTCCAGTAATCCCCAATATTGATACTTCAGTGGGTCGAACCACAACGTTAGGACCTAACGATTTCAAGTTCTTGAATGAAATAATGGACTCTATACTGCCTGTGTCCACAATAAAGTCATGACATGAACCAAGTGATGTATATAATCGCTTTTGAATATGAGCATTACCTTTCGAAATGGTAGACAAAGATAAATGATCATTAGGATCAGCTGAATTATTGGGATCTAAATTACAAGATTTAGTACTACTTGAGGCAAAATGAACAGTAGCTTTGCATACTGCTTGAATGTGTCCTATCTTACCACATCTAAAACATTTAGCATTACGAAATGCACATGAATTACGAGCATGAAGTTTTCCACATGATAAACATTTGCCAAACTTGGTCTCACCTTTGTGATTTCCTTTGTAACTCTTTTTTGAGACACCGTTCATTTTTACACGAGAATAGGAACCTCTGTTAAACGAACACAATTTTGATTGACCCTGAGATTGCTTTTCATCATGACAACTAATCAAAGTATTGGAAATCTTCGTCGACTGAGTATCAAGTTCATTCAATGCCTCGTAATTAATGCACGCAGTTCTAACATCTTGAAAGGAACAGTTCGACATTCTTAACAGCTCTCTTTCCAAACTAGGTATGTTAATTCCTGCAATTAATCGGTCTCTCAGCTGCACATGAAGTTGATCACTGAAATTACATTTGACAGCTTGTTCCTGCAATTCAAGAATGAATTCCTTAACCTTTTGGTCATTTTGACGAGTCATCTTATGAAATTTCGGCCTTTCACGGCATTCAAAACCAGGGCACTTTAAATGATTCAATAATAACTCCTTTAGCATTGCATAGGGAAGTGAAATAGGTTTTTCTGGATATGCCAGTTTTTAATAAGCTGTACGCTTCTATTCCGATGAATGTCAGGAAATGAGCCACAATTTTATCATCTTTGACATCTTTCCTGGTCATACTCCAGATTTCAAACCTTTCCAAATAATCTTCAAAAGCTTCAGAAGTAGAATGAATATCTAACTGTTCCATCACCAGCTCCATCGCGACGCCAATATGATGATTAGAAGTATGCAAATTATTGAATAACTAATAATCCAAGAAACAACGTAAGTGAATCAAGAACTACGAGATGAGCACGAACGAATGTACTGTATTTAGAATTCGAAATCAAGCATTCAACAACAACAACAACAACAAGTTACTAGTTCATTCAAACACCACAAATCTCCATTAACAAAATGCAATCAATAAAAGCAAAAACAGAAAACAGCATTAATGTGCTTATATAGTTTATCAGCGCCTTATTGAATTCATTCTTCTGTACATATATACATTTTTGTACAAACCTTAATTACACATTCATTTTATATTAGTTATGTAAGCGAAGGTTGAATTTGATAATTTCTCAAATTTTCCTCATTATTCGGGAGAAGGAAGGTATTTAGATTTTAAGAGAATCAACAGGTGTTCGTCCCAGTGATAACTATCTTTTGTGTGAAATGATGAAACCCTTCATGATATTTAAAATCTGAAAAATCCATATATTTTAAGTCAGCTCACGTGTTGACATAATACAATTTTCAATATATATATATATATATATATATATATATATATATATATATATATATATATATATATCAACATTTACGGTTTACTGAAATTAAACAGATTTATTTTCACACAGTAAACAATTCATTTTAAACGAGAAATAACATAGCATGAAAGCACTAACTTTCTTGATTTATATAAGTTCGACTTTATATCTAAATTTCTTCCAAGCTGGTTCATTGTCTCAACTTGCACATCCTATTAAACATGATCTATTTCAATCCATTCTGAAAGTAAATAATAGTTTTAGCTATTATCAACATCGTTTGATAATTGGACATATTGTAACATTGCCATGTGAATATAACACAATGCATGATCATGATCATGATAATAATGACCGAATAATTAATGACCAACCAGTAATTTATGAATGGTTGTTCAATGGTAGACAAATATTACCGCACAGAGCATTTTTTAATGCAAACTGGGATATTCATGGTTACTTAACTATATGGGATATGATTTCGAGACAAACAACAATATGGTGTCATAAACAAACGATCGTTAATGATAACACTGAAACTCATCAGTATTTTTCACATCGAATTACTTTCATTAATTTAGCTATATTAAATCAAATTGTCGGTATAAAATTAGATATGAAAATGGATTGGCCAGCAATGGAGAATAAAATGGATTCACACGATGAATGTGATTATGAAGAAAAATTTACCCGGTTTCCAAGAGTCCGAGCGATCTCAACATATAAAGTAAAGGAAGATTTAGAAAATTACAGCCGATCTGTATGTGAAGAGTTAGCATTTTGTGAGTATTATTATATCAATGATTTTGTATGCGTAAATAGTGTGGAACAGTTACGTGCCATGTACTACGTTGAATATACATTTATTTTGGATAATTTTAGAAAATATACAATAGATGGCAGATCCAATAAACTTGAGGCTTCTGAACTTTTTAAAGAGGTTTGTTGATTGAAGTTATTTTTCAAGCAAATATTCACTTTCTTATTTCACATAATAACGATGCAAAAAAAGTATGCAAAAATACTTTTATTGACTGCACCAGCCTACTCGTAAGTAGCATTCATAAAATACAATAATTTTATAGCACTAATTAGGATACAATTATCCGTATCTATCTACCGCGGATATACCCAGTTTCCCACGGCTGGGTTAGCCAGCCGTGTGAAAGTTTGAAATTATTTGTATTTAATTTAAGCATCTTATAAAAACAATTACTAGATGACAAATCATAAAGTTCAAAATAAAAAATTAGGATAAGAGAAAATCTGAATCATTTCCCCTTGACTACATTGTTCAATTCAGTTGTTAAGTAAACTAAACATTTGTATTCACACGTTTTCAGTGCTAACAGAAAGAATTATGAACAAGTAGGGTGAGACAAGACAAATTTTACTAGAATTACTATAGTTGATCAGATATCAATCGAAAGGAATTACAATTTTCCACAAAATCCGAAAACCGGGGAGATGTTCCAGCCTGGTTATTCAAATAGTTGAATATTTCTTAGTTTTTTCTAAATTAGCAGAAGGTAAATGAATATATCCATAAGTGGTACTGTATCTCTTAGGAAAAAATAAATTTATCCTTCAAAGATAAACGATTCACATGAGAAACCACATAATTTAACTAATACAATACTAATTATCATTGCTTTTCATTTACAGTTCAAACGGAAATTCAACGATAAATTATCTGACATGAAAGAGGATTTGACAACGATGTTTAATACGGCATTGCACAGTCACTCCGTTGAACTTACGATTACTCCGTACTATCAATCTACACATTACTGTATGGGACCATCAGGAAATCTGGTTCCACAAAGCAGTGAATGTGGTAAGATTCTA